AGCAAAACCAAAAAAAAAAAAAAAAAAAAAAAAAAGAGAGAGAGAGAAGACTTACCGAATGGGTCCACGAACTAGCGCTCGTGACAACGTAGCGACCAGTAGGATCCCAGTCAATGTCCGTAACACCGTAGTGTTCAACAGTCGCCAGTAATTGAAGGTTGGCGGCGAAATCCTTCTCTCCCTCGGGCTTCTCGCCCTCAAAGTCCATGTCCCAGAAGTCCATATCGAAGCTGGTTTGCGAGTGAACGGTACCAACGACGACAAAACGGCCCTTGGGAGACCAGTAGATAGCGTTGTTGTTCTTCTTGTCAAGAGTGCGCACCAGCTTGAAGCTTCCTAGTTGGTGACCCTTCTTTTCAGGGGCGAAGAAAGAGACGGCGGTCTTGGGCGCAACGGCAGCACCAGCGACGGCTTCTCCGGTGGTGATAGCGACGAAACGGCTGCCATTGGGTTCCCAGGCGAAGTTGATTACGGTGTCCTTGAGACTGTCGACAACCTCGACAGGAACACCCTTCTCGCGCACGCGGAAAATCTCGAGGTTGGTAGCCAGCGACTTCTTGGACTTGGAGTGACGATCGACCTTGACACAGACGTAGGTACCCTGGGATTGCCAGTGCAGCTTGACATCGGAAACGTTGAAGAGGTTACGGGTACGGACGATCTCCTTGGAGGGAACGCTCATCATACCGACTCTGGCGGGGCTGCTGCCCATTTCAGGCGTCCAGAAGCACAGCAGTTGCTCGTACTGCTTGATACCCTCGCGCTGGGTTGTCGCAGGAGACCACTCAAAGTCCATCACACCATCAATCTTAACAGACGTCTTACCCAGCAAGTTCATCCGCGGCGCTTCGTAGATCGAAATCGACTGACCCTGGAGCATTCTGGCAACGTACTTCTCATCAGCGGACCACTTGAATGCAGGCCACTGCACCTTCTTCTTGGGTTGGTCACCCTCTCCTGTAGGACCAGCGGTTAAGTCGTGAGAAACGAACGACCGCAGAGGCTTCCCGGTAGCGATATCCCAAATGATGATGTTCTTTCCATCCTCCTCGTAGCTCAGAACCGGTTGACCCTCTTCGACCTGGATCGGGCGAGCGGACCAGGTGGTCAAGTAGCTCTCATTTGGCGAGAATTCGACCAACTGCACAAACGGATGGGGAAACTGCTTCTGTTTCGTGAACGACGGGCCGCCCCAGAGCTGAATACCCTGCGGGTGGACGGAGGCGAGGAAGGAACCCTTGGGCGACCACTGTACGAACAACTGTGTCCAGTGGGCACGGTCGACCACATTCTCAGGCTCGTTGCCTTTGTTATTCCAGAAAACACCGACCTTATCGCCCCGGAAGAGGGCAAACTGGTCGCGAGCGTTGGCGTCGCCCAACCACGAACGCAGGTGCTCCTTCTCCTTGAACGGCTCGACGGTTGGCGGCTTGTATTCCTCCTCGATACGTCCTTCACGGCCATAGCGATCGATATCCATCAACTTGTTCACGGAAAGGGTGTGCTTCTTGTCCAGGGGGACACCGTGGAGCTGCTTGACGGCGGCGACGGCTTGTTCGGGGGTCTCGTATTCGACGAAGGCGAAACTATCCAACCATGCATTAATTTTTTTCACTTTTCCTTGCTAAAGCGACCCTCCAAGTATTCCTTCTCCTCGCAATACGTACCCTTCGGACTTGCTCTTGTCGTTGACGGGCATGAAAACGGCATCTTCGGAGGTGTGGCCGACCGCGTTGAGTTTCCTCAACAAGAACTTGATGAGCTTTTGCCGGCTCTCTTCAGGAACGATGGGAAGGCCATCGATGACGATAAATGTATCCAAACCCTCCTCGAGTTTCACATCGTATTGCTCCTTGAGATCTAGTGGATGACAGCGGGCGTTAGAAGAGGGGCAACAAACAAAAGCGAGAAAAAATTCGATCCTCAGCCGGCTACTCACCCGAGAAATCAACCTCCTCCTCGACCTCCTCCTCGTGGAGATCCTGCTCGGTAAGGGTATCGAAACTGGGCGCCATCTTAGCGGACCGCGGGCTGCGCAAAAAAGGGCCTTTTTGACGGGGAATGCGAATGAATGAGAGTCTGGCTTTGCTTTGCTGGTCGCCGCTCCCCGGTTTAGGGCAAAAGCGAACAATTCCAGTCCTGTGTGCGATTGCGGCTGACTCAGGGCTGACTCAGCCCGAACTCGGTCCCTCTATTTCATCTTCCAGACTACTAGTTCAGGGGAACAACTCTACGCTACTGAGTAAAGACAGAGAATATGGATTATGATGCTTATTTATGTTGCTCTACTAACGAAATAACTAATCTTAAAAAAAAAAAAAAAGCTATGACAGCCCGAGTGTCCCCGACACCAATTAATGACCGCACCTCATTAACACCTACCTGCAGAGTACATACGAATTTCGCGTTATATACAGAGTACGTCAGACGATAAGATTATTACCGGAACCCAAAATACCATCATCGAGGAAGCCCCATGAGCTCGCGAGATGGACGGGTCTGCGTCGTTACGCTTGTCGCACCCGTTAAGAGATTGTTCGAGATCCCGCTACAGCTCAAAATTTCGATGACACCAGGTCAGCAATGGTGTCTGTCCCTTGCGAATGTGCCCCGCGGAATGGCCTGAATTGATAGCATGGATCCTGGAATCTTGCAGGAGTACTACGTATAGGTTAGGATACTATTTAGGACGGGGGATGGAAGACGGACAGGCGACCCATAGTGACAGACACCTGGGCCTGTCTCTACTCCGTACTGCTGCATGGAATAGGATCGCCATTGCAGACTGTTATTTTGTGGTGTCTGAATGTACTATTGGAAAATGCCTTACCGGGGATTCTGCGGCGTAGGAAACCTGTCTACAGTTACTCCGTACCCAGCTGGGTCTTCTCTGAAACAACCACCTAGCCGCACTACTAAGATACCTAGCCATAATACAGTTCTTATACTCCGTACTCCGATTCCATAGTAAACAGCTACTACTCCGTAGTCTGTAGTAACTTCCAGCCACACGTGTCACGTGTGACAATTTCCCCGGCCGCCCGCATTCATTACATAAGCACAGCATCATGAGTTGCTCTCCAGATCGGAAGATCAGACGTAGCGATGCATATACCTGTCTGAGCTCTGAAGGGAAAACACTCAAGGAACATACATCTCCTGCTCTGTGCTATTGACGGTATTAGCAACTGGACGTTCTTTTGCCCGGCTGTTTATGTTGTTGTCTCTGTTTGGGCTCCTTTCAATCCCGCCTGCTTCTATCGTCCTCCGTTCCTGTCGCGCGTTTCCTGGAGGTCTCATGCCCCGCCGGTCCTAAGCGCCCAGCGATATACTCAGTGGTCACCGTACCTTTTGATAACTCGAACTTGGTTATTGGGATATTCTTGTGCTCGTTGCAGAGTTTGCTTCCTCGGCGGCATATTCGAAGCACCTTCACATTGGTGCTAGTGCAATTGTTTGCTTTTGCTTAGGGAAGGGGACCATATACTTGGACAGGATGTCACGTAAGCTTGGCTTGCTCTATGGCACCTTACATTTATCTGCCGAACTTCGTGCTGACCTGCTTTCTTTGCCTCCTTGACAGTTTCCCTGGAGACTCGCGAACAGTATATCCAGGTTATCGACTCCATTCTGGCCCAAAGTGATCTGAACGTCATCTCCGAAAAGCGCATCCGCAGAGGCCTCCAGGATGCCGTCGGCCATGATCTCACACCGCAGAAGGTCTGTCGGCGGCTTTTCGCATAGATATGCTCTGTGAAGATGGAAGCCCTAGTGGAGCCTATGCTAACTCTTACCCCTAGGCTGCGATCAAGCAGCTTATCATGGAACGATTCGACATTTTCGCGGACCAGGATGGGGTAAATGCTTCTGGGGATGGGGATAAGTTGGCCGAATCGACGACCAACGGCCATGATAACAGCGGCGGCTCAGTCACGCCTGCCGAACCCTCGCCCTCCACGCTCTCCGCATCACCACAGAAACGCGCAGTAGAAAGCGAAGAACCAGCAGATAGCCCCGATGACACATCCCCACCGGCCAAGAAACAGAAGCCGGATCACGATATCGACGCAGATGCCCTCTTTGCGGCCAAATTACAAGCCGAAGAAAATTTGCGTGCCCGGCCCACTCGAGGTGCCAGCACACGGAGAGCGGCGCCTGTGAAGAAGAAAGCCAAGCCTAAATCCAAGACAAAGACGTCCAAGAAGGTCAAGGCAGAGGATGATTCGGATGTTGGTTCGGGATCCGAGTCGGGCAAGAAGGAGGTTAAACGGTCTGGCGGATTTCACGTATGTCTAGCCATGTCCCCCAGGGGCTGATCGACGCTAACGGGACTGAAGGCACCAATGTCACTTTCGCCTGCACTTTCGTCTCTTTTGAACGAAGAAATTGTATGACTCTGTTAACATTTTTCAATCTCGCACTATTTTCCTCCAATGCGTACTGACTGGCAAATAGCTATCGCGACCCCAAACAGTCAAGAAAATGTGGGAGTATATTCACAAAAATGAGCTTCAAGACCCCAGCGACCGACGCCACATCCTATGTGATGATGGAATGCGTGCCGTCTTTAAGCAGGATCGGATACACATGTTCGCCATGACCAAAATTCTCAATCAAAACCTGTACAGTCCAGACGATTAGTCCACATATCTGGAGCTCCATGACGATATGTCTGCTTTTCTCGTTTAAAGCTGGGTAGTCTAACCTGCCCTGCTGCATTTACGACGTTCGATATTCCCTTTTCAGCACTGTTCACTGCATAAATCCGGGGGCGCCATCCATTCGCCAAGCCGTTCAATCTGTTAATTCTTCATTGACTTGTTATCTACATTCATTACCCCGGTATATTTACTTCATTTCTTTTTTACAATTTTCCTTTTCTCATATTCCTCCAGCGGGAGTTGGTGCTGCCCTTGCATTGCAAGGAAGAAGATACTGATCGAGTTCTTTATTGCTTTTAGGATGGATACTATCTTATTCATACTGCTTAGCTATCAATAATTTGCTTTTATAGCGTGGAGTTTCTCTGCAAACCCCGTATTCTGTAGTTTTCTCCCACTTCCTGACAGCATCTCAACGTTAAATGTTCTCCATGAACATCTCTAAAAAAAAAAAAAAGAAAGAAAAAAAGTATACTCCTGCCTATACACTGTTTATAGAATGGATAATTAATGTGAGGTATGGGGGGCGATTTCCTTGTGCAAAGTTCTCCGACCAAGCACATTTCCGAATAGCACGTTACTCACCACGGCGTGAAACCAAATGGTGTCATTCTATCTAACTCAAACTCTTCTATAACTACAAGAAACTTTGCACTTCACCAGCAACCCCCTCCACATCTTCAAATACATGCCAATGCCCGACGTCCTTGAGCACAACCGGCGGCAAGCTCTGAGAAATTCTCTGCGAATAAGATGTACACAAAGCCGGAGGACTAACCTTGTCCTCCTCACCAGTGATTATCAAAGTCTCACACTTAATAGATTCAACAGGTAGTAACTTGCTCCCGGTCAAGGCTATACACGCCTTCGCGTATGATTCAGGCTCCGTCGCGAGCAGCGACAGTCGAATGGCCGTGAGTCCAACGCCAGACGCTTTAGTTCTGGTAGAGGACCCGGAAGCACAAACCGCATCGACTACTGCAAGCATGCCTTTTTCACGAACTAGCTCCGCACGGTCGTTGAATGCGCTGATAGCGGGCTCAGGTAAGGGGCTGGGTGCTGGACCGAGGAGAATGAGTTTGTGGACTAGGTCTGGATATTTGATGGCGAATTGCAGTGCCACGAGACAGCCCATTGAGTGGGCAACCACCGTTGTGCCAGACGTCGATGAGAGGCCAGCGACATCAAAAATGCCAGCTAGATCATTGGCAAGGGATTCAATGCTGATGACGGACAATGGTGATGTCGGGGATAGTCCATGTCCTTCCAAATCAACAAGGTGTATCTCGTGCGACTTGTCGAGATCCAAGGAGTTTATTAACGGCGTATAGAGTTCAGAGGAGCCTCCCAAGCCGTGCACAAACATAATTGGGCTGCTGCCGGAGCCCTGCTTCTTGTAGTAGAGTCGCTTGCCGTTGATATGAGTCAGACAGTCACCAGTTACGGTTCTGGAGGCGTTCGTCGATGAAAGTTCCAGATTAGTGGGAGCGGTTGCCAACGATGTAAGCCGATCTCCTTCTATGATCTTGTTGTTGAGTTGGCCCAGACCGGAGATGGACACCGTGACTTCATCTCCGGGATTAAGGAACACGGGGGGGTTTTGTCCAAAACCGACTCCCGCTGGCTGTTTACCACCACTGTTAGTATTATTATGTAGGTATATATATGGGAGTGTGACACACAGTTCCGGTAGCAATAACATCCCCTGGCTGGATCGTGGTGCCGCGTGAGACAGTTTCGATCAGAGTCGGGACAGAGAAGATCAAATCGTTGGTAGTTGCGTTCTGTCTCTCTTGACCATTGACAAAGGTCTGGATAGTGAGGACATCTGGGAGATCCCTTGAAGGTACGGCAACCGGTCCCTAAACTTTCCTGTCAGCCTTGTTGCATTGCACCTGAAGCGGTAGGGAAGCACTCACCAGTGGGCAATAAGTGTCACCGGACTTGCCAATGAAGAACTGCTTATGATCCCGTTGCCGCTCCCTGGCAGTCACATCGTTGATAATAGTATACCCCCAGACGTACGCCATGGCGTCTTCTTTTCCAACATCGAAGCCAGTCTTCCCAATAATCACGCCCAGCTCTCCCTCATAATCTAACGTCTGCGTAAACCCCCGATGGAGGGCAATGGGATGTCCATGACCCACGATAGAAGTCGCACGCTTGGTAAACAAGACGGGATGTGTCGGTTGGTCAACTTTATCGGAGCTGTCATATCCGGACTTGTTGAACTCGACCGCATGCTCTGCATAGTTCTTTCCGACTGCTAGAATATCCCGGCCACTGATCGGAGGGAGGATTTGGACAGAGTCGAGGGGGATAGGATGACCGGTCGGTTTGATATTCTCGTATCCTGCTTGGATAACCTGGTAGAGGTTGTCTAGCGGCGTGCCAGAGGCAAAGGAGAGAGGTTGGATAGTGGTATCGTTCCAATTGAGGTGGCTGATGCGCGGGACTTTGAGGCCAGGGTGCACAAAGGCGACATAGTTGGTCAAGGGTGCTGCCATGTTGAGAAACTGAATGGTACCGAATTATTGTTGGTGGTTTTGTTCCGCTACATACAAGGGTAAGGTTTGGAATTATATACTATACGAAATTGTGATTCTCATCTCCGAGACCCTTTCCCCGTCTTCAGGTTCAATTGAAGAAAACAATCGGAGAAAGGAGATATTCATACTTAGTGTACAACGACCATCAATTGAATTTACCGGACAACCCCTCGGCAATACCCCAGATTTACCCCGGATTCCGTGAGGAGACATGGTCATCTCCGAGAGATGTCTCCGAAATGCTTTGATACAGGAATTGCCACGCCACAACGCTATAATATCTCAATTGAAGCTAAAACAAAAAAGGTTTCCAGAGATGTCGGGTAAGAGTCGGCTTCGGTTCTTTGAAGGGGTTCGAAACATTGCTTGTTCGGCCTACGCGAAGTTCCGCACCCAGTGATTCCAGGGTGTTTTTTGAATGGATTTTGTGAAATTGCCCTGCGAGACGACTGATTTAGCAACATTAAGCTTAACCATGGGTGTTCAGTACGTACATGAGCAAGATTTGCCGCTTAAGTTCCGTAAAGGTGTCTGTCCGCCAGGATGCCGCTTTGCGAAGTCGGTCACATCATAAACAATGTCATCGATGACAATCCCTATTCCTTCTAATTAGATATCAATAATCGGAAAGCTGGGAGGCTTTAGAAGGTAACTGACACATGGGGGACCCATCAGTGCCGTCTGCATTTTGAACTGCTCCGGCCGGGATAAATGGTAGACCGTCCGATGCTTGTTTATGGTGCTTCCGATCATGCGGACGGTTTCTGTCATTTAGGCTAGAAGGATGAGATGGGCTAGCATATTCAACATGCATTGTTGTTAAGACATCATTATTCTTTGGGAAGGACGCCAAGCCGAAGCTTGGTGTTTGTTGTACCCGAAAGTCCATTGTGAGACTCAACGTAGAAACGCAACCTGGGATAAAGAGATCTGAATATCAACAAAGAATGAGAGGGTCTCCGCGTTTCTTTCTTTCCATCAACTTGTACGTACTAATGTTGTACCTAAACATAAGGTCTCCAGACATCTCCGACATCTCCGAGTGATGATCCCGACGACCAACTCACCCAATGGCTCGAATTCAAAACCGCTGGCAATGGTACTTTCGGATAGTCGATCTTCATACGGAGTTACTTTTCATCCATGCGGGGAAAGAAGTGGATGTGTAGCCCTGAATGAGCTTCAGGCGCTTGATGTCCAGCTATTATAGATGGCGGCCTCATTCTCTGGTCACTTTTTTCCCAGCGTCTCTGCTTTCTCAGATATTTACTGTTAGCTTTCTTATTATCGTTATACTCAATCAATATGGCCTCTGCAATGAGCATGTCCTTACCCTATGCCAATGGAGCCAACCGTGGCATGAAGTACTCAAACAGGACTATGGCCGACTGGGGAAGTTCTCTACCTACCCGGAAGCATTCTCCTCATGACGATGTTCACTTTGATTCTGCGTTGAAGCCTCGCAATCATCGCATGATGGGTAAGTGGATACGTAACCAAGTCAAAAAGTGTGGTGTCTGGTAACTCATCGTCTTCCTCAGAGACCCCATCCACGTCCAAGATCTTGTTCCTTAACGTCCAAATGTAAGCCTTACTATTATCCAGCACATATAGGAAATGCGGCGGTCTCAACTAATGATTCTTTCCTATAGTATAGATTCCACCGGAATCGAGCCGTACCATGGTGATGTCTACGTGAAAGGTATTTGCGAGGCTTGCTTTACCATAGTTGCCGCAGAAACTTATAAATCAAATAGGAGAGCGAATTTGTTATGTCGGGAATGTGCCAAATTTCGAGACTCTACGCAACGATCCTACGGTTCGGGTGATTCAGGGCAACGGTCGAACCCTCATGTCCGGTCTAGGCGACGCGCACACTCATTTCACGTGGAATGAGACGGCTCTGGGTAACAACATTCTGTGTAATATTTGTGTGAGAAAGATACTTATGAGACGGATAACAGATAATCTTGGCGCAATTGGGGTAGAGGAGCATACCATTAGCACGGCCCGGTCCGCAATGATCTACCTGGATTCGGGATATACCATGTATGTCTCCTGTCTATCCCTTACCGTATCTTGAGGACCTTACTGACGTCCTAATTCATCGACTAGGTGTTACGGAGCAGCTTCAGCCAAGGATCGGCTTGACTGTGTTGTCCGCGATGCCATCAACCACGGGAGCATCCCTGGCCCGCGTTATCTCGCAAATGGGAAGGAAATTGCTCGTCGAGGGAAAGAGCTCACCTCGGGAATTACTGCTTTTGCTGACGGACCGCTTGAGATGCGGGAAGTTATCCGGCATCATGCTGGACTGGGGGTTGACCAAATTAAGCTGAGCATGTCAGGCGAAGAGGTAGGAGATGATCCCGAGTTATGTCTCAGTTCTGACTGACACCCGGTTAGATCCTTGAAGACCGTGCTGCAGAGGACAGCTACTTCAGTGAAACGGAAACAGCAGCATGTGTGGACGAAGCACACCGTCTCGGCTTACGGTAAGAGGCCCGCTCATTATACTCCTTCGATCATTGCTGAAGACCAGTAACCAGGGTTTGTTCCCATGCTCGAGCTCGCGAATCCGTCGCTCAATGTGTGCGACACGGTGTCGATGTCATCTACCATGCCAGCTACATTGATGAAGCCACCATGGACGAGCTGGAAAAGAATAAACACCGCCATGTTGTTGCCCCCGCCTTGAACTGGCTGTATGCAACTACATATGATGCGGGTCCGTTTGGCTATTCCTTTGACAAGGCTGAGCAGGATGGATACAAGAAAGAACTCGATGTTGCCATCAAGGCCTGCAAGGAAATGCACCAAAGAGGGATTACCGTCTTGCCGTATGTCTCCATTCTTCCCCAGGTTGTCCTTCGAAAATCAACTAATCTCGATCGTTAGGGGTGGTGACTATGGTTTTGCTTGGACACCTCATGGCACGTACTCCAGGGACTTGGAGCATTTCGTGAAGCTGCTGGACTTCACTCCCATGGAGGCGATTATTTCGGCCACGGCCGGAGTTGCTAAACTGTTTATGCAGGAGCAGGAACTCGGCAAAGTCCAGCCTGGTTACTATGCGGACATAATCTTAGTAGACGGTGATCCTTTGAAGGATATCTCCGTTCTCCAGGACCATGGCAAGCTTAATGTCATCATGGTCAATGGCAGGATCCATAAGGCGTCGCCAATGGACTTTGAGCTTTCAAGACCCGCCCTGATAGAGGATCCTGCAAGTCAAGCCAGCAGCAAGCTCAGCAATTATGTGTCTTATCTTGATGACCAGCAGAGCCACCATATCGGTCACCTTGATCTGGGCAACTCCATGGTTACACCGCTAGCCATGCTCTCTGGCGCGCCAGTCCGTACACTATACCAGGTGATTGAACTGAATAATGCAGTCGTCCCGTGTGGTGACCCTGTTCCCCTCGCTGGGCTCACCATCCAGGCTCCGCTGAGCGACCGTGATATCCTAGCCGTGGGCAAGAACTATGTGGACCATGCCGTTGAGTTTAACCGGAGTGGATTTGACTCAAGTGATAAGATCGACCAACGTGAGTGCTCCTAATCTCTGCCATTATTGATGTAAAGCTGACCTTTATAGCAACCCATCCGGTTATTTTCACCAAGCGGTCCACGAGCATTGTTGCCTGCGGTAATGAGATTTATCCTCATACGGAGTTCACGGAAACCTTGGACTATGAGGGTGAAATTGGTGTCATTATTGGGAAGCCTGGGTTCCGGATTGATGAAAGGAATGCCATGGACTATGTATGGGGTTATACCATTATCAACGGTGAGCACAACCAGCCCGAAAATCGGCAAATCTCTGAATAGCACGCGCTAATACTAGCCTATAGATATAACAGCTCGTGAACGACAAAGGAACCACAGACAATTCTACCTCGGAAAGTCAGCAGACACACTCTGCCCGATGGTAAGTATCCCGGAGAGTTGGAACAAGAATCGTGAGTGCATATCGTCTGACTCGTCCCAGGGTCCAATCGCTGTCCCGGCTGGCCAACTCCCGAAAAAGCTACGCGTGCAGACCTTTGTCAATGGGGAGAAACGCCAGGACTCTACCACAGATAACCTCATCTTCTCTGTCGCGAAGCTGATTTCTGTTATTTCCGAAGGTGGGACGATCAGGCCCGGGGATGTCATTGCAACTGGCACTCCCGCCGGTGTTGGTATTGGCAAGAACCCGGCCAAGTTCCTCAAGCCTGGGGATAAAAGTGAGTTATCCCATTAACAGGAGCATACCTCTACATGTCAGAATGTATGGGCTAATGGCGTGATTTTCTATGTATAGTTGAGGTATCTGTGACCGGGCTTGGTTCTCTCGAAAATCGCATTGCGGATCCGTCATCAGAGAACGCTGTTGCTAAGCGTGTTTCTCTTGAAAGTCACTTGGCCAATCTCAACATTGAACGCACAGTGTATGGATCCGGCCTGATGTGTCTTGATGGAAAACAAGTGAACGTCCGTAAAATTGGAACAGGACCGGATATCGCCGTGTTCGTCCACGGACTCGGTGCTTCGAGTGAATATTACACGCCAATTATCAAAAGCGGAGGCTTTGAAGATAATTACACGAGCTATGTCTATGATCTTGAAGGGCATGGACTATCAGCGACCAATGTTGCCTCGATCGTCACCATCGAGAGTTTTGCAGATGATCTTGCTAATGTGGTTGCATTGGCTGGAGCCCGCTCAGTCACTCTTTTCGCCCACTCCTTAGGCTGCCTCATTGCCATGGCTTTTACACTTCGCGACACAAGCAAAGTTAAGAAGCTGGTTCTTATGGGACCACCGCCATGTCCTCTCCCCGAAGCTGGCAAGATCGCGATGAGCAAACGTGCCGCTGCCGTTCGTGCAACGGGTATGATGGCATCAGAAACAGCAGACGCCGTAAGCCAATTTGGAACATCTAGTGCCACAAAGATCTATCAGCCTGTTGCATATGCCGCAGTTCGCGCGTCGCTTCTTTCCACAAACCCCGAGGGATACGCCAAGGCTTGTATGGCAATTGCGACAGCGTCTTCCATGGCAGTGGAAAAGTTGACGATGCCTGTTCTCCTGATAACTGGTGATGAAGACAAGACTTCCCCTGTGAACGTTGTAACGGACCTATACGAGCGTCTCCCCGATTCTCGCATGGAGGTTCTGCGATGTACTGGCCACTGGCACGTGTACGAGAATGTCGAGGGGGTCTCGCGTTTGATACGGTATTTCGCTTGACTAGGTGACCAGGATTATAAGTTTCCGGAAATGCAAGCACCTGAGGCGTCGCTAAAAATGAAGAAGCCCAGTCTCAGAAGTAGTACGGGGTTCCTGGTCAAGCTTCTAGCTACATTCATCCTCATTGTCTTTGTCTTCCTGACTATTCTTTTCGTTGAAGAGCTGCCGGTTCAAAATCTGCGTGAGCCTGTACGCCGTATTCGCCATTTTTATACCATTATGATTCGGTGGATCGAGTTGTCGCTTGATAGGTATTACATACCAATATAGTTAACCCAATTCAAGTTCGCCTTCTTCACGATTTCGGGAGTCATGTCGCAACGACCGCTGCCACGTATCAAACACAAGGCGGATTCCTTCATAACAGCATCCAAATGATTCTCTAAGCTACGTAGCTCTAGAAAGTAGAGAGATGCGGCGAAGATAGGAGCAAGAAAGGGTGCTCGGAGATAAGTTGCGGGGATATCTCACGTGAACGACGTCAATTCCGAATGTGTAGAACATAAACCTATTCCTCTCTGCGGGGAAGCCCCTCGAAGTTTTCAATTCATTGGCATTTACGCTAAGTTATTGTATTTTATTTCCCTGGAGGACCAAGATCATGCCTGAAGCACCCGTCCCTAGCACAGGTGCTGGTGGACCTGCCGCATCTGCTCCACCTCCGGAGATTCCAGTGTCTGGTGTCAATTCAACGCCTAGCAATGGTAACACTAGGGCAAGGGCCCGTATTATCAATCGCCGGCCAAGGAAACCTATCAGCTGTCATTCATGTCGGCAATCCAAGCTGAAGTGCGATCGACAGCAGCCCTGTGCCTCGTGCAAACGGCGAGAGTGTATCGAATCCTGTGTTTATGAAGGTCCCCGTAAGAACGAGGCGGATGCGGGAAGGCTGTCATCATCTGAGACCGTGCAGTGTCCTAGTTCAAGAGATTCCCAAGGCCTGGCCAGCCCGGAGTCTCTGTCGTCGGCCCCGGGTCCGAACAGATTTCATCGCACGCCAATTCAAACAACTAGTTTATTATCCCACGACCATGGCTATCAAGAGTATAGCCATGCCCATTGGGACGCCCTTTTGCAGCGGCCGATAGATCAAATGCGTCAGCAGTCATCACCGCAGCATGACCCTTTCTCACTTCCAGGTAACCTCTGCTTTCCATTTTCATTGGGTTCCCCAGTGTCGAGGAGCGAGTTATTGGCCATGTTGCCATCATCCCACGCCTGCGAATATCTTATAACACAATATTTCATGCGCCTGTCGCCCCTGTTCCATATCTTGCATGGGCCAACGTTTCAGAAGCAATACGATACGTTCAAGCAAGATCCGTCCGGTGTGGACCTTTCCTGGATGGCATTACTGTTCTTAATTTGTTCCGCAACCCTGAAGAGTATGGAGGGAGATGAGGCTGCGTTAGTCGATATTCAGCCCAATGTGCCCGGTTCTCATGATATATCCTCGATCTCTTACAAGTTACGAGCTGCTGCGTTGGTCTGCCTGTCGCAGGATCAATTTTTAATCCGTCACAATCTCGACACACTTGAAGCTCTTTTGGTATTGATATATACGATTAGTAATATCGAGGGCGTCGAGCATGCCTGGACATTGCTAGGTGAGTGCTTGCTGATGGAATTCATGACCCAGAAATATGACAACTAAAATACTCCTGAACAGGGATCGCGTTAAACATAGGCATTGCATTACAGTGCAACACTGACACAAACCATGCGCAGCTCAGCTGTATCGATATCGAACGGCGTCGTCGTTGTTGGGCTGGAATCTTGATGCTGCACACTTACCAGGCTATCTCATTCCGAGATATCAATATGTCTCTTTTGCTTAACACCGAAGCCACAATGCCGGCTGATGTCAACGATGTCGATATAAGAGACGATGCCATCCTACCACCATCAAGCAAGCCGACCCAGATGTCTGTCATGAAATTCAAATTCCGGATGTTTCAGCTATCCAGCAAGATCTGCCATCATCTCTCAAATAACTCAAGGCTCGACGAAGCCACGCTTGACCACTTTGATGGCCTTATCTTAGAGCAGCAGCAGAGCTGGGACACGGTTTTTCTTCTAAATGGGTCACCTAGTATTTTGGATACCTCAAGTTATGCTCATTGGTGCGTATTGCAACTGTATGCGCACCAACTATACTTACTCATACACCGACCATTCTGCAAGCTGTGCGGTCCCTCTTTTCGACCAACGTCTAGAGCGAAATGCATTGGTTCTGGCGCCACTCTGTTGGACATCCACCGCCAGTTCTGCGACCTTCCACGCCTGCGACATTACCGTTGGTTTGTCTACGGCTTGGTAAGCTTTTATGCCATCCATGGAGCTATTGCGTTGGCATCATGCTTGCTGGACGAGCACGATACGCATGAGTCCCCGTATTACTCTACGTTCGCTGCAGCCGTGGCGCGTTTTAATAGCCTTCAGAGTAGAAGTCAGATATGTATCAAGGCCTGTCCCATTCTCCGACGCCTCCAGTGAGTATACATTCAGGTTTGGGAACCCTGATGAATGAAACTAATCCGACTTTACTAGGTCATTGTTGTCCACTGAACAATTCCGGTTTCCAAACTCAGTTGACTACAATTTTGGGGCCACCTTTGATGACTGGATTGACGGCGCGCAATGGTTGAACCCGGAGTCTATAAACTGGGTAATAATGCCCCTTCCCGCTTGAGTGTGCTGTGACATCCACTAATTATTCCACAGGAGTTCTGGGACAACATATTGAACAACGCACCACCATCCTAATTGGTACTCTAAGGCCACCGCGCCTGGGAAGCCAAAATCATCCTTTCAATATCTCGAATTTGGCGAAATTCTAACCAGCTTTCCCGTCGCTGCGTACACTTACGCTAATGCGGTGACTGAAAGCGGCCAAAAGCACATACAAACCCGTCACTCACACAGGCAATGAGAGAAAATAGCTAGTTTTTCTCTAAGTGGGGCAGGCATTAGCTCCTCATCGACAGGGAATGCTCCAGATCAGTCAGAGTCTTAGCTTACTGTCATCTCAGGCCGGCCATTCTAGGTGTATGCCTTTTATGTTACTCTTATCAGCCCTGGTCCTAGGCGTCTATATATGATACTGGTGATGGTTTCGAAGCATTGCAGAAGTACATGTTTTCCTATACTCCGAAAAAAAATTTTTTACGCGTTCTCTAGCAATCAGTGAAGTGATATGATTAGGGCTGCCGTCGATATATCTCCGGGGCAGCTTCCAGGACTACTATCCGGATCGGAGATGACTGCATACCGGCAAACGTCTCTTTTTCTTTATTAAAAAAAAAAAAAAAAAATTAATACATAAAAACACAAAGAAAAGGGAGAAAAAAAGAAAAAGAAAAAGAAATGCCACCATACTTCAATTGAATTGAATGACAATTGAACGGTTTAATTTTTCATGACTTGTTGCTAGCCAGCGATGTGTATTTGCTAGTGGTGCCTTATCAGGCAATATTACTACTCACGTGCTGCCCGCCCGCCGGCGCCTTGGAAAGAGAATCTTCCCTCTACCACACTTGCGATAACGAACAACGAATCATCGCAACGAGTGAAGACACGAACAAGAAGAGCTTTGGGCTCTATTAAACGAACCCCAACAACTCCCTTTTCCTGGACTGAATTCGTCCCATCCTCCTTCGACCTCGTCGCTTGAGAAACCCGACCCCGACCAATTTCCCCCCTCCCCCCAAATGGCCGACTCCCAACCGCCCCAAGCTCCCATCAGATCGCAAGGCCAAAACCGTGGTGGTCGTCGACGTGGACGAGGAGGCGCAAATCAGACGAAACAACCAGATACTCCCGGTGCCGGAAGGGGAAACCGAGGCAGAGGCCGCGGTGGAGGGGATCGCAACCGCAATACCAATGCGTCCCAAGGTGCCGGGGCCGATGCGCCTGTTGAGGCTACAGAAAAGCCAAAGAAGGTTCCGGTAGCTACCGACGATGCAGATGACGGTGAAATCTGCTTTATCTGTGCATCTGATGTGACGCACACTTCTGTCTCGCCGTGTAACCACCGGACCTGCCATATCTGTGCCCTGAGACTTCGGGCTCTGTACAAGAACAAAGCCTGTGCACACTGCCGGGTATGTTGCGCTTCTATAAGGAGAACTCTGACAGTATGGCTAACTTGCTCTTCTATCTAGACGGAATCCAACTATGTGATTTTCACGGATGACCCAACGAAGGATTTCGACCAGTTTGTTAGCAAGGACTTCTCTCGGAAGGACAACAATCTTGGGATTCAGTACGAGAATGATGATATTTTCGAAGATACGGTTTTGTTGCTACGGTACAATTGTCCTGATACGGACTGTGACGCGGCTTGCTTGGGATGGCCGGATCTGCATCGACATACCAAGAGCAAGCATGGGAAAGTGATGTGGTAAGTTATTTTTTGTTTGTTATTCTCTGATTTCATTTGCAAGACTGCATATTAACTGGCTGTTGTGATACAGTGATCTATGTACTCGAAACAAGAAGGTCTTCACCCACGAGCACGAACTCTTTACCATGGCGGAGTTGCGGAAACACGAGAAATACGGAGATGATGTCCCCGGTGCCATTGACCAGAGCGGTTTCAGAGGTCACCCTGAATGCGGTTTCTGTCGTCAGCGATTCTACGGAGATGACGAACTGTATACACACTGCCGTGACAAGCATGAGCGATGCCACATCTGCGATCGACAATCCGGACATCGCCAACAGCAGTACTACGTCGATTATACCGCGCTCGAGGACCATTTCCAGAAAGACCACCACCTATGCCTAGATCAGGAGTGCTTGGATAAGAAGTTCGTCGTGTTCGAGTCTCAGATGGATCTAAAGGGCCATCAACTGGAATGCCATCCCAATGGGTTATCCAAGGACGCAAGACGAGATGCTCGCACTGTGGATCTTTCTGCATTTGACTTCAGAGCGCCTTACCAACCACAGCGACAGCGTCGTGGCGCAGGCCGGGGCCGCGACCCGAATGCAGAGCCACTCCCGGCGTCCAGTGCCCAACCTTTGCGGCGGGACGAGATCGCGTACCAGCGACAGGTGGCGATCCAAAGTGCGCAGTCGGTCTCAACCCGTAGCTTTGGTGGACAGCTCACTCGCAATGATACACAGCAGGTGCGCGCTCCTCCACGCTCAGGGAATGCCACACCTGCCCGCAGTCCACCAGCACAATCTCCGCCGGTTTCTGAATTGCAGAACCTCAATCTTGTGGCTGACTCCACTCCGGCCAGTCCACAAGAGCAAGCACGCCGTCTGCGCCATTCAGCAGTGATTGAACGTGCCTCGAACCTCCTGCGCAATGACCAGACGAAGCTGGGTGAATTCCGCACCAGAGTCTCCAACTACCGTACCTCCCTCATCTCCGCCACCGAACTGATCGATGCTTTCTTCTCTTTGTTTGACACTACAAGCTCTGAACTGGGTAAGCTCATAAAAGAGCTCGCAGATATCTACGAAGAAGATTCAAAGCGCACCACATTACTGAAAGCCTGGAACGATTGGCGTGCTATCAATGAGGACTATCCAGCTCTGCCAGGACCGGGCGGGTTACTACCAGGCATGTCACCAGACACTGTCAACGGTGGCGGGGCGGGTGGAAGCCGTGTACTTCGCTTAAAATCCTCCACTGCACAATCCTCGCGATCAGCAGTGGGCCGTAGTGGTGCGCTCCCCTCCTCCGCTTCATCAGCCACCGCATTCCCCCCTCTTTCCTCCGCGTCTTCGTCCTCTTCCCGCCCTCCTGGGCGCAACAACGCAACCACAGCCTGGGGAACAGCAGCAGCCCCCTCGCCATCTTCCTTCCCCAGCCTCCCCTCATCTACCCGTCCCTCCCCTCGTGCTAGCGGCTCTTCTACTCCAACCGCATCGTCCTCCCGTGCCTCTAACGCAAGAGGCACCGACGCATTCCCTGCTCTCCCCGCGGCTCCGAAGCCCAATGTTCTCATGGCTGGCCTGACGCGCGGGACTGTCCGGTGGGGCGAGGCCCGCCCAGCTTCAAATGCTTGGGCTGGGGGTGAATCTTCAGAGCCGATAGATGACTTTGGGGAAGCGTCTGGTGGCGGTGGTGGAAAGAAGGGTAAGGGGAAGAAGGGAAAGCAGACGTTGTTCCATTTTGGGTAGATGATTTCTTTCTCTTTGTTCATCTTGCTCGTTGGCGTATTTACTTGTAGCTATGAGTGGAGTTTAAAAGTAGATACGATCCTGTACTCCTTGTTCTGGTAGAATAAAAGTTGTAAAGGTTCTATGTTCAGCTGGCGCAGTGAAAATAATGGTATATTGTCATTCAATGGTCTGGATAATTCTCTTTATGATCATAAGCTATACAGTCGTTCGTTGCTCGTGACACAAATTACAGACGCTAGAAAAGCCCTATTGACTCGGGAACAGGGCTGGTTTCAGGGATTTCCTGCGAAGAATTAATGGTAATAGATCCTTCTCCAGCCAGTGAAGGGGCAGTTTGCCTTGCTGCGGTATCATAAGATTCAAACTGTTCTGTGAAAATAGTTGATGAGCTGTCATCGGTGAGTCCTGTTGCATTCTGGCTGCCCTCTTGGGAATCATCATCTTGATAATCCTCAATAATATCATCTTGCTCCGTATTACTGAAAGCATCATCAAGTTCGTCGTCAATACTCGCCATCTGGAGCAGAAAGTCATCCTGTAGCTTCTTCAGCCATTTCCTTAGAGATTCACCCTCATAGGCCCCATTGCGAGCTTGATAGAGCTGCTCCCTCAGCGTCAAAATCAGATTTCGCTTCTTTGCAATAGTCAAAGCCCCAGAATTACCATGTCGACGTGCGGCGGTCTCGTTCAACTTCTCGGATACGTCTTGCGCCACATTGAGAACATCTGGGGGTAGATCAACCAGCTTAGCCAAGGTCAGGTTGTAAAACTGGGTGGTCACAGGTCCCTCTGCGATTTTGTACAACATAGTCATTCTAGATGCGTCGGATGATATCTCTGCTGCGAGATGAAGGTTGACCACACCACTGCGCTCAGCCATTACCACAGCCAAGTCACGAAAGTGCGTCACGAATCAGACGAGAGATTTACTTTCTACCAATACCTCCGCGATGGCGATAGCGATAGCAAGGCCGTCAGTGGTACTAGTTCCGCGGCCAAGTTCGTCGACGATCACCATGCTTCGGGGTTCGATGTTATGCAAGATGAAGGCCATTTCGCGCATCTTGATGGCAAAGGTTGATACATTGGCTTCAACGTCGTCGGCTGTGGAGACACGAGCAAATAGCTGGTGGACGATAGGGAACGAGGCGTACTCCACTGGGACATAGCAGCCAGTTTGTACCATAACAGTCATTAATGCCAATGAGCGTATATATGTTGATTTCCTACTGATGTTGCAGCCAGTAATAATTTGGAGCCGTGATTGTTGCGTTGCGTATACATCGTTCGGTATGAATTTGCTAGAATGAATTTTCTCCCGGATGGGGTGTCGACCGGATTTGATAGCAAGGACGTCTGTCATTTCAGGACGGATGTAACCGTAGAACATAGCGAGATGGGCAAAGCCAGCTAGCATATCTAGCATAGCAATTGCCTCACTTACCCTGAAGAGGCCGGAGATCTCAGAGCAGACGTCTTGGATCAACTCTTGAATAGTTCGGTCGCTCATGTTGATCACTTCGTCATGTGCATCCATTATCTTTTGATTGAGCTTTACGAGGTCAATCATCTAACATTCTATACGTTTCTTCTTGTGGTATACTTTAATGAATATGTCGGGAAGTGAGTTGACTTCATTGGCTGGTATAGCGATGTAATATTGGCGAGCGGCATCATACTTCAGATCCAATCGAAGATTGGACGATTCTGGAGAATTTTAGTGCCTAAGCAGTGAGGCATGCAACTCATTTTCACCTGCTAGTTGCGTTAAAAGGTCGGCAACGTCTATATTGGCTTCTTTGTACGTTTTGCCTTGCGGCATCAAGGAAACTATTCACGCCAGCCTAGAACTGATAAGTATGTAGAAGTCAGACAGGCCAGGGAGTAAATACTCTGACACAGTAGATGCGTTGGTTTCTCAAATCCAAGGGCTTGGTTTGGTATGCCGCGTGCTCGTTCAGCGTCCCTTCAATGAGCTGCTCGACGGAGAAATGGCCAGCAGGGCCACACAGCTTGGGCCGGTCAGTTTGGGACAATGGACAATAGTGAAGCAATCACTTCTCTTATCGTTAGCAAGAGCGTACTCTGAGCACTAGATAGGGCTTTGTAGATCGACTTTATTGACGACGCGTAGGTCTTCAACATGGTTATATTATTGACTGATTGCTCGACATCTTGGAATGTCCGTTTAGTTGGAACGAGTATGAGCTTTCGGGGTTAGCAAGGAACATCAGCAAATAGCATCCAGCATACTAACAGACGTCAGAACTTTGTCGGCATCAACGAAGCTTTTGAGTGCTGCAGGAGATCAGCTAAACGAAAGCACAATTGTCAGTATGTACAGACCTTTTCGCATAGACAAAAACATTTCTTCTTTGGTAAATAGATCCTCCATGGCATCATACCGTGCCAGCAGTTTGGACTTTTCCGTAGACGGTTGTAGGATGTTGGCTCGTAGCAGTCTGGCGCCCATGGGCGCAAGGGTCTCATTCATAAGCCCGAAAAGACTATCCTTCGATTTCGCATTTTGCAAATTCTGAATGAGTTCGAGTGAGCATATAGTGGATAGATCGATTGTCATTGAGCCTTGAGACGGTTTGGATCGGATACGAAGGGAGCGAGACGCGAAAGTCCTATTCAATTCAAGCTCGACAGACTTGACGACCTGTCGGGGTTATTGTGGCTTCAGGGTAGAATATAAGAGCCCACATACCGCAGAAAAACAGCAAGCTGCAAAGTAATTCCCGCCCAGCGTGGCCTTGATCGATTCAGCATCCTCCGGAAAAGCGAGTCGATTCGCATATTCATGGCCTGTCTTGTCTGACCAGTATCTGCGGTCAGTGAATGTGAAGGTGGGATCTGGAAGGTCCTCTTGGACGATATAGAATAGATTGAGTCTTTGCAGGTATCCATAAAAAGGATCTCCGTGGGCTCGAATACTCTGATCTTGGTGATAGTCTTGACATAGGTCTAGCTGTCACAGATCTGACAAAGAACCGCTTCGGACGTAGTGAGGTTCACAAAGACGAGAACTACCGTCGTTGACACCCTGCGAGACTCACTGATGGCGCATATAATATCCTGAGGTGCAACACTCGTTGCTGTTGTTGCTGGTCTCGCTGTCCTGGCCGTGCTAGCTCTGCTCACTCGGGAGGTGAGAGGGGCAAAGGAGGAGACTCTAGAAAACTACGAAGACATTATTGATAAGCAAATGCCATTAAGCCAGTTTTCGATGAGATCAATCCTCTGGAGAGGAAGAAGAGGAGTAAAAGAAGAGACGAAAGTGGTGTTGTCGATAAAGGGCATGGTTATCAAATCAGGTTTAGCGCCGATATGATCCGATAAGGAATTTTTCCTTCAATTTTCTGATCATCTTCAATCAACCCAACTATTACTTCTTAACACTGCTCCAATTTGGCTATTCTACATAAAGAATAATGGCGACCCTTTTGCCTCCTCCGACGAAGCGCCAAAGAACAGATGCTACTGAAAAGGCGCGCCAACAGCAGGATGTCGAAAGCGTCCCCGCCGACCTGGGCAGCATCCGAGTGCAATTCTTTGACCAAGCAACGGGGTCAGCAACTGGTCCTGCGGTATCGGTTCCGGTGGCTGATGCGAGTGTGAAGAACTTGGAGACTCTTCTTAACACATTACAAGGCAATGTAGGTACGCTACGAAGTGTTGTTCTACCGTGCAGCAAGACAAAACTAATTTTTTTTTCTGCTGCAGGATGATGATGAGCGAGTACCATACCGATTCACATATCAATCAGACGAAAAAGACAACCAGACAGTCGATATCCTGGCGGATCTATACCAATCCCTGCTCAAGCCCGGGTTGAAAACCACCGAAGATACTGTTCCCCTCTACTTCACCCCGCAAGCCGTCTTCCGAGTCAAAGCTGTGTCGCGATGCTCGGCCTCGATAGCTGGACACGGAGAAGCGATTCTAGCGACCTCATTCTCGCCCGTCTCATCCTCTACAATGGTGTCTGGAAGTGGTGACTCGACAGCTCGGGTGTGGGATTGCGAGACCGGCACGCCGATGCACACCCTCAAAGGGCACACTAGCTGGGTGCTGGCGGTCAGCTACTCACCGAACGGAGCGATGATTGCGACGGGAAGTATGGATAATACTGTGCGCATTTGGGAGGCAAAGAAGGGCCAGGCACTCGGAGGCCCGTTGAAGGGTCATACGAAATGGATCACCAGTTTGGCTTGGGAGCCGTACCATCTCCAACAGTCGGGGGCCCCACGGCTGGCCTCTGCATCGAAAGACTCGACCATCCGTATTTGGGATGTGGTGTCGCGGAGAATAGACACTGTTCTGTCTGGCCATAAGGGATCGGTGACTTGTGTGCGTTGGGGAGGAACAGGGAAGATCTACACGGCTTCGCACGATCGGACAATTAAGGTCTGGAATGCGACAAATGGCTCGTTACTTCAGACACTTTCTGCGCATGCGCATCGCGTGAACCACCTGGCGCTCTCGACCGATTTCGCACTCCGGACGGCCTACCACGACCACACGGGCAAAGTGCCGCAGGAAGAATCCGAGAAGGTAGCAGCGGCGAAGAAGCGCTTCGAACAGGCTGCCACAGTCAACAATAAGATTGTTGAGAAGCTCGTGTCGGCTAGTGACGATTTCACCATGTACCTGTGGGAGCCCGAGAGCTCGAACAAACCGATTGCGCGGTTGCTGGGTCACCAGAAGGAAGTCAACCACGTCACGTTCTCGCCAGACATGGCATACATTGCCTCTGCTGGTTTTGATAATCATGTGAAGTTGTGGAATGGGCGTGATGGAAAGTAAGTTACCCGCCAACATTACTTATCCGCCCCTTGAAGCTAATGAATATAGGTTCATCACTACCCTCCGCGGCCACGTCGGAGCAGTATACCAATGCTGTTTCTCAGCAGACTCGCGTCTGTTGGTATCATCGTCCAAGGACACGACATTGAAGGTGTGGAATGTCCGGACAGGGAAACTCTCGATCGATCTTCCCGGCCACCGGGACGAAGTGTTCGCGGTGGATTGGAGTCCGGATGGCCAAAAGGTCGGCAGTGGAGGGAAAGACAAGGCAATCCGCATTTGGAGACACTGATGTATATACCCGTTCATATTCATTCTTTTCAATTCAATACCATTGGCTAGTTCAATGTTGCATGTGTTTTGTACGCAGCATATGTAGCCAGCCAAACTCGCACAATCATGTATACCCAAATCAATCCAGAAACAAATTTAGGAAGAAGCCATGGTATCCTTATGCGAACCATCCCTCACCTTCTTCAATTCATCCAACATCACCTGCACCTCTTCCGACTGCACCCCAAGACCACCTCCACCACCCTGTGCCAACCCTTTCAGCACCTTCTTCAAGAGTTTGATGAGAGGAAGTACAATTTCACCATCAAGCTGACGTTTCTGTTCTCGTTAATATAATCACCAATTCAGTCCATACAAGAACAAGGGGGATGCATGCATACCTCCATAACATTAGGTGGGAGTGCGGTGAGTTCCGCGGGAATGGCGCGTCTTGTCGAGTCAATCAAGTCAGTTGCAAAGACCGGCTTTTCTTGCATGACTTGCACAGAGTTGGCAAGGCTGGTCTCTCCGGAGAGGGGCTGAGCTGCTGTGAGGACTGGGAGGGAGGTAGTGAGTAGGGCAAGGAGGGGTTTGAGCTGCATTGTGATGGTTTTCGTGGCCGGATTCTGGGCTAAGACAAGATGAGACGGGATGGAGGTCGGTCTACTGTCTAAATGTGAAGGGCTGAGGATAGCTATTTATATTATTGGCTGGTTAATCAAGTACTCTCGATCCTCTACATGAATTACTGCTACCATTGAAACGGATATGGTTGTGTGAGTATGTTAAGAGATACATGTGCAACTGCAGGATAGGGGCGTGTCACTGTCTAGCTCAAAGAAAGTGGGCAGCCATTGGCATACAGTCCAAGCTCAGTGCCCTGGTTGCACATAGTCGTACCAGTCTTAGCTTTCAGGGCCCGGCACAATGGAATGTTTTTGAATCATGCTAGGATACTATATCTGCGTTCTTATTATATACAATGTCCAGCTCCACCATATGCGATTAATGATACATGTCAATTCAAACAAGAAATCAAAATCATGCGATAGCCTTGTTCAACCCATCCTGCAACCCCTGCAGTTGACCTGATAGCTCTTGCACCTTTTCCTGAGGAATCTTGTTCGCGAGGCTATTCTGAAGCTCATTGAAGAATAAACCGGTCGCCTTATTCGAGGTCTCCATGAGACTCCGGTATCCGTCTCCCCTATCAGATACAGGTTGCTATTCTCGTTAGTATTATCCTACTCCATTTGTCCAGGTGTATAGACATACCTTCTCAGCCATATGCTTAACAACATCCCCAGCCACAGACGCAAACTCCTGCATGCCAGCGACCAGCTTGTTCTGGGCATCTGGGGTAAGCGAGTCGATTTTCTTTGCGTCCTTGAGCGTTTGGTCGAGGTCTTGGACGGCCTTGTTCGCCTGGTCCTTCATGGTTTGTGCGGGACTGGAATTCTCCTGGAGATCCCAGCTCTGAATAGCGGCATCGAACTGCTTCAGGTCATTTGTGAGGTTCGAGATATCATTGATTGTCACTGTGTCGGGACTGGTAGCTGCTGTCACGACAGGGATTGCGGTGAGGAGAGCAACGAGAGGTTTGAGCTGCATTTCGATGGTTGTGACGGAGGAAACGGAGTATAGACGAATGAGCACTTGTGGGAGGCCGAAGAGGCATATTTATATTAATCGGGGGCTTACCACAGAAGACCCTGCCAAGGTGCCCAGTGTGTACTATTGTTAACGGTTCATGGTGCTAGGATAGGGCTCTCGCACGGAGCACATCCCGTTACTGCTACATGACTATTGAGTGCGGCCCGATCCCATCCAAGACATAGGTCGTCTAATACTCCTATTCATGCCGGTATTGCTAGTAAGCCGAGACAAGTCCCTTTCCGGAATGAAACAGTTGCTTATACTCTACAGCAATTAACAGTGATGAATGGAATGTGTCCACTTGAGTCACAGTAAATCAAGTAAATATGGACTGCACCAGCAATCACAATTAAATTAAAAAAATTCGCTTATATATACCATGTTTTCTATCCAAAACAGAACAAAAAAGCACAAATCAAACACCTCTATTTATCCAAGCAAACCATATCAACTAAAATAACAAACTTAAGCAGAGAAAGCCTTGATGGCCTTCTCCAGCTCACCACCAATCTCCTTGGATGCCTTGGTGAGCTCCTGGGCCTCCTGGCCGGAGACCTGGGACGAGAAGGTCTGTTCGACCTCTTTCAGGGAGCCCTTGAGGTCCTGCAGGCTGCTGCCGATGGGTTGGGTCAAGCCGGACTGCTCGAATTGGGGTTCCTATTTCCGTTAGCACGTTCCCACAGGCCATGGGGATCGGGATGGGGTACCTTCTCAACCAAGTGCTGCAAAGCACTCTCGGCCTCAGGCTTCAACTCGCGCATAGCAGTAGTCAACTCCTGCTTCACCTCGGGAGTGAGCGAGGTAATCGTCTTGGAGTCCTTCAGCGCCTTCTCAACGTCCTCTTGGGCGTTGGTTGCGTCCTCTTTCAGGGGAATGGCGGAGGCCAGCTGGCCGTCGTACTTCTGGACGGCGTTGTCGAGCTTGGTCAGGTCATTCTTAAGGGCCTGGATGTCCTCGATGGCGGCGGTGTTGGGGTCCGCGGAGTCGCTGAACGAGGAGAGCGGAACGGCAGCCGCGAGGAGGGGGAGGAGGGTGACGAGGACCTTGAACTGCATTTTGGCTGGAATATGGGGTTTGGGTTGGGTTGGTTTGAAATATAAGAGTCTGGAGTGGTGTGTTGGATGAGAATGAAGATTGATGAGGTTGTGCAAGATCTAAGGCATTTATAAACTTCAACTTGACGCTGCTGACTATGCAAGGGACTTGTCAATAGATCCACAAAAATTTAGATATCCCGTTGATCGTCAGGGGACATGATGCCCTACAGGGAACTCGTCCAGGGGAAGAAGGATGACCATTTAACGTTAACAAGACGATCCTCTGCACGGCGCGCAGGATGCAACTGCTTGGATAATCACAATACACCGTATTTGTCGTCGTATCCCCCCCAGGGTCTAATCGTCGATATGGATTGTTTATTGCGGCTGCTGGTGGTCAGGGAATCTCATTTTATGGCTACGAAGCTTTGCGTGCTGCAAAGGATATTCATTATGCTAAGGTAGCCCACGGATAATTCCACACCAAGAATACAAAGCATGGAGCATTAGAAACAAACAAAAGTAAACCATACCCCCAGCAACAAACTCAGCAAGACAAGTTCCGCCCGTCGTAATGAGAAAAAGAATAAACCACGCAAACACCGCAAACCCAAAACGCACTGGGTCCTGAGACTGGACCGAAAAAGCAAAGATAGTTTTGTTTTCAAAAGAGACTGAAAGGGAGGGAGAAAAAGAAAAGAAGAAAAAAGGACGCTTCTAGAAGCTCTTAGTCGTAGTCGTCACCTTCGTCGTCTCCATCTCCACCCCGGCCACGGGTCCCTTTGACACCATCTTTACGGATTGGGATCTTAATTCCTTGCAAAGCGAAGCACTTGCTAAGCTGCGTACTTTCAATCACGCCGGGGAATTTCTTGGCCGAGAACACCTGGAAGGGCTCGGAAAATACAGTCGCCAGTATCGGGGCAGAGCCGTGATTGATCACCGGGGTAACACTGCCGGTTTCTGGGCAGATTTTCCCGACGTTGGTGAAGCTCATTTTGAGTCTACTGAGAGTTAGTGTCCCGTCCAACTAGTCAAAGGGTTCAGAGAGCCGCGTCGTACCGAAAAGAGCCTTCGGTCCGTACACTCAAATCCTGCATAATAAACCACACACCAATCTTGTTGTCGGGGTCTGTAAGTCGGAAGGCGCTAGCGCTGAGACCACCGATCAGATTGCGTGTGAACATCCCCCCGGGCCCTGCAGCGGGTTGGGTGGCCTGGGACATGGATGGCACATGACCTCCGTAGTAGGGGTAGTAGGGAGCTTGCGCATTGGGATACGGATTTTGGTACATCTGAGGATTAGCTCCATAGTAACTGTTCGGCGGGTACCCGACGGGTTGGCCATATGGGTTTTGCGTGTAGGTTGGATAGGTGGGAGAGATGTTCTGGGCCGGCGGAGGAGGGTAGGAAGATGCCATGGCTGTAGAGATCGAAGGCGAGTTGGCCGAATGCTTGACCAGATTTACTTCGGTGGTACCATCGGCATTCCACAGGTCAACCGTGAGGACATAATAAGATGTATCGATCTCACTATCCAGACAGTTAACAACCTTTTATCTATCGCTCCAATTTTGGCTCGGATAAGCATACTTGATGTCAATCTCCTTCCCAGTCTGCTCATCTTGCACGATTAGACGAACGCACGGCGGGGGGGTAATAGGTCTCCGGTCCTTTAAAAAAGAAAAAAGCAAACTAGTGAGTTGCAAGTTCATGGGTATGCCAGAGAGAAAACGAAAAAGACGACCCACCTTATCACCAAAACCACACATCCGAGCACGAATGGGTTGCTGCACCACTTGTAACGACCAGATTCGACCATTGTGTCTTGCTGAGAACGGAGCCAGATGGTCGGATGCGCTCACAGGGCCTGCGGACCCCGGGGTTGGATAAGCAGAGGACGGAGGAGGAATGCGATCCATAGAGAGAGGTGGCGGTGGGGGCGGGAGATGGGACCTTTCCTCGACAGCGTACATGGTTCGCGATGTGTAGGAACCGAGGGCGAGCAACAGGAGAAATTATCCTCGATATTCAAGACGAGCCGGGGCTCACGGTCGTATATATTCACGAGAGATTTCGACGAGATGCAGTGGCAGATTGATTGCTGACGTTTCGTCAAAGCGATGCGACGACGCGAAATCCGAACGTCACAGTTGGTTCAGACGACTGAATGAGGGATCGTGAAGAGCGGTCGGACCGAGATTTTGGCGAAGCGTCTTGCTATTAACAGGAGGACTCGTTCCACAACGACGGCAGAGTTAATCAAAAACTTTGAATGAGTCGAGTGAAGAGGAACAAAAGGTGTAGGAGGTTGGAGTCGAAGGCTCGAAGCGGACGGTTGCGGGGAAAGAATCAGACGAGTCGAGCAGTGGCAAGTGTAGCGTCACCACCCAAAGTCCTGTTAGGCGCGAAAAGGCGGGTTAGCAACAGACACAGATACCCAGACAGACAGAGCACGTTGGGACTGTACAAAGCTTTGTTCTATCTAGGAACGAAATAACGATCGCCTCTTTGGGTGAGCCGGCAGCTGTCAAACTGCGGGAGATTTGCTGGGTCTTCCACGGATCACTGGTACCAGCAGGTGATGGACTTTGGATAGTGCAAAGTGACAAATATATAGAGATTAGAAGACAAAAGGGAGTATATAAAAAAAAGAAAGAAAGAAAGAAAGCAAAGAGAAGAGCCGAGTGAAGCGGAGAAGAGTGGAGAGGAGAAAATAGGACAGAGTTGTAAGAGGGAAGAAAGTCACGGGAATGGAGAAGTCGGAGAGTTGGTTCTTACCACGCTCTCTGTCTCTCACTACAAGTATTACTCTCTCACTCTAGATCAACAATCTCCGGGTCTAAAGCTCAGCCTCGTTAGTCCCAGATTGTCGGGTTCAGCTCGAACGAATCAATGAACAGCTCGATAAAGCTCCGAATTCCAATGCCAACTGCCTCTTGCCGGGTGGTTGCTTTTTGTGGGCCTGTCGCTTTCCTTCCCGATGTAACAGCACCATATTGGCAGTGCTATGGTCAAGGTTCCCTTCGTCTTCATCGCCAATTGCTCTAGCCGTTTCCGTCCGGTCGCAGTGGAGGATTTCCGACTGCGGAAATGCACGATCCATCTTCGCTACTCTACCTTTATCTACGGAGCACTGGTCCTCTCACTCGAGCATTGGCTAACTTTTCCATACTCCCAAAATGGTCCTGGAGCTTGAAATACGCTGCGCGATCAGAGTTCATCCCGGTCTCCAAAGTATGCGACGGGTGATCAGCATGATACATACGGGCATCGAGTCGGATTAAATACCGCGATTAGTGAGTTGGTCCATGCGAGACAGCTCAGAATACGGGGCAATACGACTGTATGGAGTACGTTTTCAGCTTCCGTAAGGGCTCTCCACGGACTAGCCGGGCAAGAAATTCCAAAGCAGCTCGATGTCAATTTGGAGGATGATTGCCCACCTACCCCGGATCGGCCATTAACCATAAACTGCGAATCAGGGCGCCTTGTATATACCCGGCATCAACGTCCAATCACGACGAGGACGGACCTGCTTATCTGCACGTTTTAGATGATTCGGCCGCGGTCCACGGAGAATTTCTTGCTGCAGCTAGCCGCCCGAACATCTTGATACGACAAACCGCTTTCCATCGGGCGTGGATTGTCCATTTTGCCTCGTCGCCGTCTGAAGTTGAATACCTACCATGAATTCCGTGGGCTCTCATACTCTCGAATACCTATCCTGATTAGAATGGCTCCAGTGAGTTGGAGGCCTATATCTGGCACGGTAGCCACATGGTGATACTTCGTTCTTGGCAGGTAGTAGGTTGCCGAGCTATAGATTTAAAGATGCTCGCTATGAAAATATGCTGCTATGAGATAATCATGGTGATGTCTATCGTATTGCGCGTCGTCGATGCCGAATCGTCGAGTCTTAACCATAGAAGCTACACACTCCGGCTGTCCTCCTCACACTGTTTGCCACTCCCAATGTCAACCTCGGAGACTTCACAAACCATAGATAACTGCGAGCCAAATCAGGATTGTCCCAGATTCGACTTTTTCCAAGAATAGACCAGCAACGGCCCTCCCTATTCCAGCTAAATCCAAGGCCATCAGCGAGAAAACAGGCAATATACATCCACGCAACTTTCTTTGACCCCCCCCCCATCGGTTGCGATACCATATCTGGGGTTGTTTGTCAAATATGGAGTAAGTGTGACTTTAGCCAAGGTTGAGAAGCAAAGGATAGTATACCAGCGACTGTATGGTCGAGTGCCCGTTCCAAAAGCCTTTGGTTGGGCGGAGAACAGAGGGAAAATGCTCCTCTACATGGCTTTGGTTGAGGGCGACACTTCACGGAGGCGATAGGGTGGTATGGCTGAAAAGGAGAAACTGGCTGTCTGTGCTGGGCTAACGGACATGGTGAAGGTATGAAGGGGACTTGAACAAGACGAGAACGAACAGTATATAGGTAAGGTGTCTTTTTCAACTGCAATATGCGAACAAACTCTGGCAGAGATACTCGACAGGTAGCGTGAGCAAAAGACCGCCGAACGATGTCTTCTTCTATGGTTATCCAGAAGACCACCAACCAAATTATAGCGAACCATTCGAGGGTCCAAATGCCGTTCGCGAGTTTCAAGACGCCTGCAGAATCTATAGCTACAACCAAGGCTAAGGCTCGATTATATTCACCCACAATGATTCGATCCCTCCCAACATGCTCTTGACCCATGGGCCCAATCCCAAAGTGGCCGCGAGTATCGACTGGGGTCCAATCTGGATGTTCCCTCTCCAGAGTCGGAATCTACTTCCACAACTCACCTCATCCAAACAACCCCGATCAAAGTACTCTGCATACTAATAATCCAGTAGCAGTTCCTAGAGCGATTATGCTGCCACCATGGCAAACGAAACCAGCACCGTACTTTCTCCTCCTCCTCCTACAGCTATCAAGAAATTCTCCGCTCCTGCTTCGGCCCCTAAACCGCCAGTTGTATCACCAACAGGCCCTGAAGGGGCTTTCCTTGTTGAGTTGATGATATACAACGGTTCGCCCTTCAAAGACCACTGGGCGTACTGGATATTCTCGCATACGAACCCTGACATTGGTGTCGCGATGGATGCAGCTGGTGATGTGCGGAGTGGTTTCGAGTTCCAGATAAGACGCAGTCTCGATTTATTCGATTCTTCGAACCAGCCATGGAAAAGGGTCCCCTTGCAATGGGTAGATGGAAAGCATTTTGATAGAACCAAGATGCTGAATGGTGGGGAGTTCAAAGTTGACACGGTTCCTGTCTGTGGTTTCGAAGCCAGCGCACACAAAGTCGAGGTTCCGGAGAAGTCTTTGAATTCAGTCGAAAAGATGGTCAGATCCAATTTACCTTTTAAGCGCGTTTATGATGGATCTGTCAACTAATCCGGAGATTTGCTTTTCAGGTGGATACAAGCAATGCTGGCAAGAAAATCCCACTGCGGAACTGTCAGACATGGATTGTCGAATCTGCAGACCAGCTCGTTAAAGACGGTATCTTTGACCAGGAGATTGCAACCTATCTTCAAGCAGTCCAGCAGTGATTTGTTTTCCATCGACCAACTTGCTCGTTGTGTCTGAAATTGGTATCTCTATCGGAGTTCCCTGATTGCTACTGCTCCTTTCAAATGGTCTCTCTTAGCTCTTTCTCTACTGCGAGCGATCGCGCACGACCTAGTTGTCATGGGCTTTTACTACTCGGGGCTCTGGATGTATATATGGGTGTGCGGTGTCCAGCGGGGGGGGGCAGTTGCTCAGAGTACATATATCTGGAATTGGGCTTAATAGGAACACACGGACCTGGCAGATTACGAACAGCAAACATGCGTGGCTTGTCAATATATACTTCCGCTGTTACTTTCTACTCAGATCCTCGCCTACTCTAGAGTATTACCCCACAACAAACAGGCCCAAAGAGAAACTCAAAATACCATATTCAAACCCAATAATACGTAATATACTTTGACCATCTCACATCATGAGAAATGGAAGTCCAGTGGTGGGCAAACTCGGAGTTATTTTGGCCAGCCTCGGCCCATGCATGACATCAGACGCAGCATGCTTTCCTTTCCCCTTTTCTCCGTATGCCGTATACACTTTTGTCTTTTAAGACGTGTCCATTGTTATTTTTATTGTTTCCTTCGGGCTGAAATAATCCCTGCACAATAACCCGATGCATAATACTCTGCAGGAAGCTGCATCTGACTCTGTTGAGGGACGGACTTTAGCGAATAACGCCATTGACGGTGAGAGTTGCGAGCCTTCTCCTCTTCCAAGAATATTATCACTCACCATAAGGAGCGGCACCTGATCACACTACCAATTTAAATTCAGTGGTGTCTTTTAAGGCGCACAATCAACGTCCAGAATGGCGTGCTTAGACTGAGCCGTGACCGACGAACGGGCTGAATGACTGCTGTACGGAGTATACTCCGCATACACCGCAGTATGGTCGCTCAAGCAGAGATGGACACGCCCGACCCATGACTCGAATCGATAAACCAATATGGATGCAGAGCTGACTGTTTTCGTATGCATGCCAGGAATGCTGTGCTTTGCACTCTGGCATTCTGGAGGTCTGCCATCTGGTCAGACGGGTATATGAACGTCGACCATCCCGACAACTGTAAATCCTACTCCGGCTTTTGGATTTCTTTTTCCCTTTCCATGCTCCGTCCCTGTTCCTAGACATGGGGTTCAGCTTTCTCTCTACCACTGGGGCCCTACTAGGTCTTGCTCTGCTGCACCTGGTCCATGCAGCAACTTTTTCCCCCCTTCTTCCTCCAGCATATCCTTTAGCGGTTCGCAACCCGTATTTATCCAGTCCGTTCTTGTAATTATTCTCCATTTTTATAGTACCAACGTGACTAACTGGCGTAGTTTGGCTCCCTGGAGACTTGGCAGCTAATTTGCCAACTGGATCTCCGAAATTCTGGTACGGAAATGACTTGACCTGGTCTGTCATTGCACGTGTCAATGGCCAGACATACAGTCTGTTTGGCGTCTCCAATACGCTTGACGGGCTGCAAGAAGCTACCGTGACTACGGCCAACTTTACTTCGACGCACAGCATCTTCACCCTGGAAGCCGGGTCAAAGACGTTCACGCTGGACTTTTTGTCTCCCGTGTCGCCTCAGAATCTACTGCGCCAGTCTCTGCCATTCTCCTATCTCACTGTTTCTGTGAGCGGAGGATCCAGTGAGTCGGTACAGATATACTCGGATATAGATTCTTCTTGGACGGGCAAACCCGACAATGCGGAATGGCGGTTCTCAACCAACGGCTCGACATCTATTTACCATGTCAGCCCGGCAGATGCTGTTCCCTTCACCCAGAATACTGAGAACCAAGCGCTTTGGGGCCAGGTTCTTTACGCCAGCCGTCCATCGAGTCAGAGCACTTTGTCGTCTGCTTCCGGAGCTCTGTCAACCATTCGCTCCCAGTTTGTTCAAGATGGCTCCCTGGATGGCAACAACGCAGATTGGGCCTCAGACGGAGTTGTGGGCTTGGCCCACGACCTGGGTGACGTTTCTGGAACGGCTTCTGTCACCTTTGCCATAGGTCATGTTCATGAGGAAGCCATTGATTATCTGGGCGATACACAGACGGGATATTACCGGACTCAGTACCCAAGCGCCGTGTCTGCTATTTCGCACTTCCTGGATGACTACACGGACGCTGCAAACGAAGCAACGACAGTAGACAACTTTATTCAGCAGAAGGGGGAATCTGCCCACAGCTCCAACTATGCTGACATTCTTGCACTGTCTCTGCGACAGACGTACGGCGGAATTGAACTTACCGTGCCGAATGACTCGCTGGATGCGAATGAAGCCCGTGCGTTCATCAAGGAAATCTCCAGCAATGGGAATATTAACACGGTGGATGTCATATACGCGACCTTCCCCGTACTCTACATCCTCAGCCCTGATATCCTCAGACTTCTCATTGAGCCGATTTTCGACTACATGGAGAGTGATGCCTACAGCGAGACGTTTGCCGTTCACGACCTTGGAACGCATTACCCCAATGCGACAGGCCATGACCCAGATGGAGAGGATATGCCAGTCGAAGAAAGTGGCAACATCATTATTCTCACATACGCCTATCAACTTGCAACCGGCAACACTGATCTTACGAGTACCTATTCCTCGCTGCTGGAGCAGTACGCCCAGTATCTACAAAAGGACGGCAAGTACCCTTCAAACCAGCTGTCCCTCAACGACGCATTGGGCCCCATCGCCAACCAAACGAATCTGGCCATGAAAGCTGCCGTGGGACTGGGTATCTACGGTAGGATCACCAACCAGGATGACTACACCACCCAGGGGAAGTCTATCGCCCATGCTCTTTATGAAGAACGTCTGGGTACGGATGCAGATGGCACCTACTTCACCATTCAATACGGAAACGACACTTGGTTCCTGGTGTACAACCATTACGGCGACCTCCTCTTCGATTTAGACCTCTTCTCCGACGAGGCCTACAACGCCACAACCAAGTTCTACCCCACAGTGCGCAAGGCAGCCGGCGTCGCGTTAGAGGGCGGTATCGACTGGGGCCAGACCAACTGGCAGGGCTTCGCCGCTGCGACTGTTGACGGAACGACGCGAGACCTGTTCATCTCGGACTTGCATGCGTACATCGCCAATGGGCAGAACCGTGCCCCCTTCTCGGATCGGTATTGGGTCGCAGACAGTGGTGATAACGCTGCCGGAGACTATTTCCGGTTCCGGGCACGGCCGACGTTGGGGAGTCATTTTGCTCTGCTGGCTTTAGAGGGTGGGGACCAGTGGTCTTCGTATATTTCATAAATGGTTTGTGGTGATGGGGGTGAGGTGCGGAGTACATATGTCGGGACCAACCCGTAGACCATGTACATAGCTTAGTATTATGATGCTATGAACATAGTGATGAACATAAGTAGGGCTTCTGAGCTTGAACATGACAAGTAGACTTCATATAAAAGCATCGAGTAGACCGGATGTACGTACCTGGATTCTGAATTCTGAATTCTGATCCCCTCGCGTAGTGGGTTAGCTTTACCTGCAAGGAAGAACGTTGGACCGACCAGGCATGTTTCGCCGGTTCGATGATATAGATTAGTGTAAGCACGTTTAGATAGACAGGCACTCAAGCACTATGATCATTGTATACAGCGGGAATATATCACCTTATATCGTTAAAAATAGATTCCTCCATATAGACATCGTCTAGTCGCAAGTTATCGATTCCTCTGTTCCCCGAATCCCACTTCATTATGTGCCCCTCTCGGCCCGCCGTTCTGAATTACCCTTCACACTAGCCATCATGGAGCTTCTCGATTCTCACTCTATTTGAGAAAGGATAGGGCCTGACTTATCCTATCTACTGGGAATTCTGGAGGCGGATCAAGACATCAGGATTGCCAGGATCGCCGCAGCATTACCCGGACTTTGAAGCGTTCACTCTAGAAAAGAGCTGCGGTCACACCAAGTTCAGAGAACCTTATTTGTGGCCAAATACCAACCAGGCGGATCTGTTGAAGCCAAAGTTGTTTCCTATCTTAATATACACGCTCACCACGCACCATCTTTCTTCGCAAGGGCAGATTGGGATTCGACCCTTTGGGAAAAAGGTCGGGAAATCCCGGGCTAGCATTCCTCAGCATATATACTATGATGTTTACGGGGAGGAATACACCGGCGACTTAAAGGGGGTTGTTCTCCTGGGAGGAGCATCAATCCTCGGTGAATTGGGCAACTAATGGACGAGGCACCATTCCCGGTCATGGTCTGCAGATTCTCGAGGCACAGGAGCGGGTCTATGATTTTCTTTCGGCGCGTTGCCGGGACCTGCACGATATGAGCGAGGAGGACTTGCTAGGGGCTCCTGTTCAACCGGAGCCTCCCCGGTTGTCCAGACGTCCAGTCTACGTTTACGGTAGACAAGCGCAAATACAAGGTGTCCTCGACTCTGTTCTCTAAGCCATCACAGACTGCCCAGCCGAGTGAAGACCCATGGAACACTTTCCTGCATGGGATGGGCGTGACCGGCTTTGGGATTGAAAAGCTGTACGGCTCCATATGGCAGTTCTCGCCCACTAAGCTGGACGTGGAACGAGCGATTTAGTTCCATGATCCTCATTCTATTCCGAATATTCTGTTTCGGGTGATGAAGCGGTTTGGACGGCGGTTAGCGCATGCGTATGAATGGCATGGGGATATGTTTAAAGCTGGGGCAGTAATGTACGGCGTTAATAGAGCTAGATAGTGCAGTAGATCCAAACGCGGAGGATCCACGGGCGCAGAAATTTCAGTGGACCAGGTCAGATAAGGAAATGAAAGATATTCGTGCAGATAAAGGATATTCTCTCTTATCGTGATAGTAGGATCGTAGTGTTGTTCCTGTACCTGTTCTGCATCGCTCAATTTGGCAAACGCTGCAAACGTCGGTGTTCATGCGGACAAAGACTGTGGGTTCTTACCCGACAACTCTGAACCAGAATTTTCTCCTTCACTCTTAAGAAGACTCACCTTTTATGGCATAGAGCCCTGCAAGACATTCAAGAACTGTCGCAAATAACGCGCGATCACATCTCCCACCGCCGCAACCTGTCGTCTCCCTTCCTCATCTCCGCCGTCATACTTGCAGTTCGTCATGGGTCGCCAAATATCCCACGGCCGAGGAGGCGCAGGTAAGTTCCTGGACTAAGAGAAAAGGATCTCTGATGATTTCCCTTTTCTGGATGCGTTGCAGCTGCTAATAATGGATGCTCATCGCAGGAAACATTTACTCCAGAGAGCATAAAGAACAACCTACATCAAAGAAAGACTTCGTGACTCCCACCATTAAACAAGACGTCTACACCACCGGCCGCGGCGGCTCAGGGAATATGGTATACAACGACCCGGAGCGCCCAGAGATTGCGCGCGAGAGTCAAGATGTCGAGACGCCACCGCTGAGAGTCGAGGAGGCGCCGCATCATACTGGACGGGGTATGTCCATGTCCCCTTTTATTTGGTTATGGATCGACGGGCGACATTGGAAATAGATATGGGATAAGGAGACTGACGGGATCTGACAGGTGGTGCCGCGAACGCATACGTTCCCACGGCAGACGAAGAGAAGCTGGTGCGTGAGCAGGAGGAGGAACAGTTGCGACGGGTTTACACTGCTTCGAGGGACCGGTTGAAGGATGTGCTCGAGTCGCAGGAAGAGAGACAGTCGGATGCTGCGTCGAAATAATCGGTCGGTTTTCGCATTCATTGAGGCATGCTTTAGTTTTCGTTTGTGCTTCTGATGTGATGGGTTTCCCAACACAGACTTATCGGGATGGCGCTGGGGATTGTTATATTTATACTGTGCTTGGCTGTGTGACTTTTCTTTTTTGTTATCTCTGAACGCGGCCCTATTGGCTTGTTTAATTGGGTATGGGTTATGGATTAATGAGGTTCCAATGGGATTCTTTACGCTTATCATGTTGCTTTCTGCATTGCTTTTTCTGCAAGTGCTCAGAGATCCATAATGTGCCATAGATATGCAATAAGCAAATGGTATCACTAACAGTAGGCTCAAAAACGGCTCAAAAACAGCTCAAAAACAGCTCAAATAAGAACAAACGGTCGTCACTCATAAATAGGAATATAACACCCAGTCGCATCGATAACCCAATCAATAGACTGTCTCCATTCAGCATCCAGCGTCTGTCCGATGTCTTGAAGCACCCGGTTCCCCCATTCTCCCATCCACCAGTGTCTTCGTAACGAATGCATGATCACGGCAAAGTGCGCGAGGATCACCAGTGCGAATGGCTCCCGTATCCTCACCAGCTCGATAAATCGGGTCGGGATAAACCATATCCAACGTATTGCGATAACCGTGAGCTCACCGCCCTCTGCGAGTCGCTCCAGGGCAGTGCTCAAGTGTTGTATCGTGGTTTCATAGGTGTCTGTTTCGTGTGTTTTGTCTCGCGTAGCTAGTATCCCGTTTCGCCGTCGGAGGGACTGGATTGCTAACCGCGATGTGTCGGGCATCTTGGGCCTGACTCCGTCTTCGCGGATTAAGGGGCATAGCTCCCCTCCTCTTACCCGATCGATGACTTCGGCCATGACCACTATCGACTCGCAGACTCGCTCAAGCACGCGACAAAACTCATCCAGCGCAGAGCGGCCCTCAGCAGGATCTGTCAGGAGAGGCAACGCAAGATCATAATAAATCATCACGCAGGCTAATGCAAACATGGCGTTACAAGTAGACAAACTGCGATTATCCTCCAATCTCCGCACGGCCGAAAGACCACCCATCGCGCGATTCTGATGCTGCTGCGCAATCCTCACTCGCTCCTCTCGTACCCTCCCACCGCTACCGCACGCTCGGTCGAGCGACGATAGCGCCAGGAGACCGTGCATCAGGAATGGGTGCTGTACTGCTTCTTGGGGGACGGCTTTCTGCCATATCCCCTCAACGGTGCTGTCTCGGGAGACGGAGCGGTAGGTGCTGTTGTGCCAGTGCATTATTAGTTCTAGGTCGTTGATGTTGAGCTGGTTGGTTAGACAGCGGCATAGGGATGTTGATGCTCGACTGGGGTCGGTCATTGTTGGTGTCTTTGCTATTGACAATTGTTGAGTGGATGGCCGAGATTTGGACCACGATCGTGTAGAGGATGGGTGGTAGGATTGGTGATTGAGGCATTGGCGTTCATTTCGCTGGGTTGGTTAGCATGGTCGTAGTGGTAGTGTAGATAATGGTTGACGTACCTTCACTGTCCGTCTACCCTTACAAGAACAGTCCTGTCGCGACGACTTGCCATGCATTAAAGACATGTCTAGTCTGACAGAATAGAACAAGTACACTTTTGACTACTACGAGTCAGTTTGACGGACCATTTAATTCTATATTTTTTCTATCACTCTAACACCGAAAAACTGGGCCACCGGTATTTAAACATGGCCTCCCCTGGAACTAATGAAAATCATCGGCTAACGAATGCATCTGATCTTTTAGGTGGACCGGAAAACTCAGCAAGTCTCTCACATAAGGCTGCTGACTGACAACCCGATTGGTTTCAACGTCTTACCCAAAGTAGTAAATGCTTGTTGTGTGCGGTCATTCGCACTGGAATATCATACTAGAAGGATATCATGACTATTGGTACACACTCTGTACTGTCGGTGGCGCCCGACAGGGCCAAGTTCGCCAATGCATAGGCATGCATGAATAGAGTCCTTATTATCCTGATCCGGTATGTCGTGAAGACCCGAGTTGGTTGAATCTCAGACATGTCATTTTTGACGAACCATCGGATAAGATGCCCAGCGATTAAAATAGCACCGCGATACGAAACTAAACCTCGGATCTTGCACTATCAGACTCTCGTATTCTCCCACCAAGGTATCGCTTGACTCCAGATCTACTCCGGACCGACCGCGCGATGATCCAGTCCCCAAAAAGGACAATTCAGTCATACCGGATTGAGAAACTGGGATCGAGCCGAACAGAAGGATGGGCTGTCCCAGTTCCAGTTCCATGTCCCACCCTCACGCACGCCCCCCGGCCCAACCTAAAAGGGGGGGGAACCGTACAATCATGCTTTAACCTTTTCGGGTTATAAGGCTCCTTGGCCCGAGTGCTGGCATTTATTGGGCGACCTTCGATGATCATGATTACGCCGGAACAATTTTCACATTCGCTGCCGATACGGAATGGACCGCGACCTGATTTTGGGCATTTTTGTTGTACCACCGGACTGATACCAGGCTGGAGCAGATCATTCTTCAGACGCCCCCGAAAAAAGGTCAATCGCGAGGATCATGGACTAAGCGATATGGAGGTGTATCACCATTGCAAATCATTGAAGTTTATGCCCGACTATTGGCATCAAATTAGCAGTCGCAGATCTGCTTTTGGAATCTGCACCATTGCGAGAGTCGATGATTGTGTTCTTGCCTGTGCCAGTTTTGCGTTAGCCGACGATTACTCGGTTTCAAGCTAATTGCATTGGACACATGCAGTATTCTACGTAAAGTTTTCGTGGTGCGTTTGCTAGCTGACATCATCATCGCCAAATTCGTACCGAGTACAAACATCGCTATCGCCAATCCTATGTCCGAGATCAATACGGGGAAGCCCCGGGCACACACGAGTCCCCGACCGCTTCCCCCTGAGAGCTCACCACCCCGAAGCGACCGCCCAAACGACCAAGACCAGGGACACCGGGAAAGATGTACAGGCACCTCGTACCCTACCCCCAAGAACTGGCAGCCCGCCAAGCTAGCCCACACGCCACAATGGGTATACTGAGGAAGAACTTGGACCGAACCTGCTCCACTGCTGTGAAAGAAATCCAACAAGTGCCCTCCGGCCTGGCAATCTGGCCCAAGGATGGTCTAGGCCTGCACCGTCTAGCAGATTGGGAAAAGGCCCTGGAATGCCTCGTACTAGGAGCCAAGGCCGAAATCGAACAGAAATGGCGCCATCTTTGCCCTACCAAATGCGCCACAAGTCTACACTGGCTATGATGGGGCCCAAGTGGCCCTAAGTGAACAAACGGCCTTGGAGGAATTCAAGCTACAGACAAGCCTCTCTCCCCTGAAATTCTATCTTTCAAACAAGAACCCACAATCCAGCACTCTCATCATGGCAGTCCCAGAAGACCAGGCTCAAGCAGTCCCTAAGTGGATCTATCTATTTGGAAAGAATGTACAAACTAAGCATAAACCCTTCCGAACCCGTATAGAGCAGTGTACACGTTGCTGGGACTATCACAGCCGCTGGACCTGTTCCCCCACAACCAGATGCTGCATCTGCAGCGAAAGAGATTGTACTGAAGACACCCATTCCCCTCCTGATGAAGAGGAAGCATCTGACTCATGTTGTACCAATTGCTGCGGCCTCTTCCTAGCAGAACACTCAATTGTCCCATCCGACCTACCGTACAACAGGGAATCATCCAGAAGCTTTTCCAGACCACAACTCATTTCAATCAGGAGAGTAGGTGCGCGCCAACACATGCTAAAGGACCAAACTGACACAACTGAGACCCCTGGAAACTTGGGATTCCCGCTTACAAGAGAACAGTCCCAATCATGTTAGATAGACTATCTCACCTACATATCCTCCAACTCAATGTCGGTCGGAATTGGGAAGCGCATTAAACTGCGCTCCAAATAGCCTTTGAAAATAACTGCCATGCAATGTTAATTCAAGAACCCGTGATATTTACAGATCGCTCCCGTCGACTATCAAAATATCATCCATCGTTCCACCAACTCGCCCCAATTGAGGACTGGTCAGAAAGACCCCGAGTCCTCATTTATATACTTAAACACCCACACCTGAAAGCAGAACTAATCCCTTTCGGACCAACCTCCAGAGACGTTCTGGCTGTCCAAATCACTACCCCCCGGAAAGCTGCACTCCTGGTCAATATCTACAATGCTCCCTGCGGTGCAGTTGCTGAGGGACAAGGCTTGGACTCCTTATGGCACGGTCAATCCCATCCCACCCCTGCCTGGTAGCCGGGGACTTCAATATAACACCCAGCATGGCAGCCTTCTGCCCAACCCTCCCCAAGAGCAGAACCCTTTCTTTCTTGGACAGAATCTCAGAATCTCACCCTTACACTCCCTCCACATTCACCAACATGACAACAAAACATGATTGACCTGACTTGGGCCAATGACTCAATGCTAGAACGTGGCAATCATCAGAGGTGGCTACAGACCTCTCTCGCTTAGCAGATCATGAACCCATTATATCAACCATCAACTGGGACGCTCAATGTACTCCCGAAGACGTCCCTCCCTTCCGCTGGTTTACCCACAATGAGGAGCGTTTCCAAAAAGCAATCCAAGGAGAGCGAGGACATCTGAACAATATGGTCTCCACCTTCCTTTCCCACCCTTCTGCCCAATTGGACAAGCTCGCAGTCAACCTCATACAGGCAATCTCCAATGTTTTGGAAGTCTCCACCAAACGAGTTTACCCCCGGCCCTGCGGACACAGGTGGTGGAACGAAGACTGCACCAGGGTTGTCAGGACCTTTCACAGAGCTGCACGAGACCCAACTTCCACACCAGAAGATATAGGTGAAGCAAAAAGACCCTCCGCCGTGTTGTCCGGCACAGCAAGCGGCAGTTTTGGCGCTCTAAAGTTGAGGAATTCACGGAACCAAAAGACATCCTCAATGCTGTGAAATGGAACAGAACTGAGAGCTTTCTGCCCATCTCTCCCATGAAGGAGATCAACTCCATGTCTCCACAGATGACAAGGCAAACTACCTGGTTCGCGCACTCCTGCAAAAGGCCTCTTGCTCCGAAGACATGGAACTTAATCTAGAACCTATCAACAACCCCCATCTGCCCTTCCCTGCCATCTCGGAAAAGTACATTATGCGGTAGTCAGGCCCCAAAATAGCACCCCAGGAAAAGACGGAATGTCCACACTCACCCTCAGGAAGGCATGGCCCACCCTAGGCCCTTGTCGTCACATCGTTATACCGACATTGCCTGGCCCAAGGTTGGCACCCTACCCCGTTCTGAGACGCCTCGTTGGTAGCCATTCCAAAGCCCGGGAAAAGAGACCGGGGCTCTTGCCGGTCATACAAGTTGATTGCTCTCCTGTCAGTTTTGGGAAAGGGCCTAGAATGGCTCATAGCCCGCTGGATGGCATGGATAGCTATCAAACATAAGGTCCTCCATGCGCAAAAGTTTGGTGCCCTCCCTCTCCGTTCTGCTACATCTCTGCGAACCGAACTTAGAAGTGAACCCAGAAGATGACCAGAGTTTTCTGCAACTAGCAACGGCTATCGCTCGGACATTATGTCTGTTTGATGAGTTTTCGTTCACGTCTTTGTAGCCAATAGTGGCGAAACGAAGCATACGCGCAGCTCCCAACCTGGAAGTCTAGCTTTGATGACACCCAGTCTCCAGTCTCTGAAGCTGAATCGCTACGAAAGATCCTGATTTGGATTTTGAAGCTTCCGGTCAACGAAAACGCGGTTTTAGCGAGGTTATTTCATCGCCGCTCCAACAAGCGGTACGCCGGGCAGGTTCGCGACATATTTCACGGTCAGACGGTCGATATGGGCAGCATAATGCATGCTTTTGTACCCAGCAGTGTCTACTTGGCCTGCAACAGCGTGATCTGCTCGAAGACGCCTGCCCGCATGTGGAGCTCCATAGGCTACACCTTTCAGCCGGCCACGTAGTGTAGTCCGGGGCGACATGTAGATCGCCGCAGCTTGGCGTTGAGAGCCCGCTGATTTATCTTTAAGAGCTTCAATGGCTGAAAGGACCCTTCCTTCCTACCCTGATGATTTTTGACGTCTTTGACTGCGTTTCGGTGGCATGGTGGGCGGTTAAAAAAGGTAGACATGCGTGGTGGATGCGTTTTTGATAGGGGCGACTTGACTGGGAACTACGTTACTAGGCTGGTGCTTACGCATGGATGCGCGACCGTCTTACCCTCTCGGAAGGCGAGCAATCTCGGGTGGAGCTGCAAAGCCGTCCCAAACGCCAACCAAATTTTTGACATGGACATGGACAAGGGCACATTTCTCCCCGCACGACCTGCCGTTTCTCGTTAGGGTTTCCCACTATAGACGGCCGATATTTACCTCCTTAAGCTTAACTCGGAAAGTCGCAATGAAAAAAAAAAAAAAAAGCAAAAGCAATGTGTCCAATGGCGCTCAGTCCTAGCCCCAGAATACCCAGCTTGATTCAATTCATTCGACTTATCGGAATATATCCTGGATAAATGAAGTGGTCCCTATTGATTACTTGAAGAGACCATGCTGAACTTTGCTTTTTGGCTTTTTTCCCAAGACTTGCTCGCGCAACTCAGTTGTTTCGACCTCCCACTTCAGCCTCATCTTCACCTTATGTGTTTCCGGGGTACGCTGGCCAACTGACCCTTGAAAAAGTAATGAAATTTTAACTGATGATTGAAATGTCGGCAGTCTAGACCGATTATCGTCACAGGTGTTTGGGTTAATGCAAATATACTGTTCTTCCCAAAATGGGTCGTAAAGAGGCCGGCTTCTTATCCATCCCCATGACACCAAAGGATTCAAATTCCGACAATCCAACCTCGACCGGGCCTGTTGCTGGCCCGGAACGACCCAAATCTGTCCTAAGTTCTCGTTTGTGGGGGATTGCTTATCCATTACACTTGGTGGCCCTGGGTCTGACGGTTGCTGTGCTCCAGCTGAGCTTCCGCGAGGTCTACTTCGCGGACGTTGGCGCCTATGGGTTGCTGGGCGGCCTGAATGTGAATGAGGCGATCAAAGGAATACAAGTCGCCGCCAAGTTCCATGAGATTTTCATGGTCGCATCCCTGGCTGCTATCGTTTCCCACCTGACCCGGAGCTGCCTGCTTGGGAAGCGAGGAGTGCCTCTGGGTTTGGTTTCCGCGCCGTTCAAGGTCGGCTCGGCAGATTACATCTTCAGTCGAGAGTTTTTTGGTAGTATCACTCGGCCTTACGGCCTCTTCTCGCTCGGGATTCTATTGACCACGATCGTCATGTTAGCACTTGGGCCCGCATCTGCAATGGCACTTGTCCCCAGCATTGGTTGGTGGGAAGTATTAAACCCTTACTCCGGGCTCGACCGTCCCATCTGGATAGGTGCTCATCCCGAAGACCTCTGGCCTCAGTCAATCACCCCAGAGCCTGGAGAAACTTGCACCGTAGAAAGTATCGTGGCATCATGCCCAGCAGCGGGGTTCAGAGACCTCCAATCATGGGCAAGCTCCAACGTCAAAACAGGTCGTCCTGCAAATATTACTTTAATGGAGCCAATGAGCGGGACCAGGCGACGGTTGCAGTCCCAGTTTGAGGATCCGTCAGATGAGACATTGCTGAGTTACTTCCCTCGTACACCGGACCTGAATAATGTGTCCACGAGTGAACGCCGTGGGTACGAAATTTATCTAAATTCAGCGGGCATAACAACCCTGACCACGACGGCTAGTCACTGGGTAACGTTATTACTGGGAGGATTCTGGACCTACGCTAACACCATGAACCTGGGGCTAATTAATCGATCTGCCCGACCAAAGTTTAAGATTGACAACGCTCCCATTTATGAACCGCTTGTGAGTGTTCGATGCGCTGCATATGACTATCGTTCAAGCCGCGAGAGCCAGGGATACTTGACAGCTCCATACGTGAGGAATGCCTTTGGGGCCACTGGTCTCACCGACTATAACAACATTGGCTGGGCTGTCCCTCAAACAGCTTGGAACTTTTCCCGGCCTCTAAATTCCCTGAATTTTACATGGATTAATGTGCAGGCCCTGGGTGTGAATGCGTCTATTGGTGGCCTGTTTTCTATCCCGTATCCAAATGTGTTGTCGAATGGGACGGCATTGCAGGAAAGCGTGCTTCTTCCCTGTACCGTCGAGGCGCGTTGGATCGCGAGTGAGCTGGTCTATGATCCCATGTCGTCAGACATTCTCTCGGACAATGTCACTGATCCCATCAATTTCGCACATGGCCATCATGCCGAGTACGACGTCTTGGACAACGCCGCAAGATTCGGAGCCTCGCCGATTATCAACATCACCGACGATTGGGCCAACCAATTGAATATCCCTGTTAGATCTCATTCTATTGTTCCTGGTGATAACACTTCGATAGCCGGCCTTGCTGAAATGTATTTGGCGCGAACCTTTCGCAACCAGTCTCTATATACCTTTGTCACCACACCGGACGCTCAGTACCAAGTAAATAGCTCTGTCTTTACCCGGGATCTGACTCAAATGATAGGGACAGTTCTTGGGCTCGCAGTCACCGACGGCCTTTCACGCCTCCGTTATGGAACCCGGGAACTGAACGTCATTTACCATCGCAATTCGACCACTACCAGCAGCAGCTCTCTCATTAGCCAGGCGGGCCCGCAAGGCAGGGTTTACAACGATACTCATGCCTCCAATCTGTCAAGCAGCTTGGCGGCCAGCGGCTCCTTCTACAATCTGGATGTTCAACGCTGGGGCTACGGATACGGGCTAGAAACCAAGGCTTCGCGTTTCAGCGTGTCGATCTTGATGTTGTATGGTTGCATAGTCCTGTGCTATATCACCTGGTTTAACATCCAAAGCTACGCCCGCCCGCGTTCCGACTGGTCCTTGATTACGAACAAGTGGTCGACCATCTCGGAGATGCTGGCTCTGGCAATCAACTCGCCGCCGTCCACCAAGTTAGATGGCACATGCGCTGGAATAGAAGCCAAACAATCCTGGAAGCAGATCATCCGGATACGAGAGGTTGAAGACAAGCACCTGGCACTAGTTGTCGGAGAGGGCCGAAATGGACATCCCCGAGTTCAGCGCAATGTTCAGTATGGAGCTCTACCCTCGGTTCCAGTGCGGCCTATACCTAGGGAGGCGGAGCAAGATGAGCGTTAGTTTAAGGCTACGAAACTAGTTTCAAGTTGATATAATGATTGACTTTAGCATTGACGTGCAGTCTCATGTGCGTTGAGTTATTGACCACCAAATGGTACAGAAATACACACCTTCACCCGTAAGGTTTGCATAAAGGTAGCCACCATCTCCTAAACTCACTGGAGCGCCTGTCCTCATCTTAGTTGACTTGCGTACCCAAGCATATCTCAGAAACAAAAGACGCAGCATACAACTAGCCTTGATTATAGCAATCTTCGCCCCGTGCCTCTAGTTCAATCCGCCCAGGTATTTCTTCACCAGAAGAAAGGAAAAAGCACTTGTTTTGGCAGAAGGCTGCGGTCTTCATCTGGGTCTCTTCCCAAGACCCTGTCTCCTGCTCGCAGTTGGCCATTTCCATACGCAAACACAGCAGGCGACCCAAGAAGAAAAAGGGAGTTTTGAAGGCAGTGCTCGCAACAGTTGACGCTGGGTTGGGAAGGAGAGTTCATTGAGAGGCGTGACAAGAGACAGGTGGCCAGGAAAAGGAGAGAAGGGGAAGAGAAAAAGTGACGTTTTATATAGTCACCCGGGGAAGCCTGTAAGAATCAGAGAGCAGCTTGATTTGGCAGCGAGGATAACAATTTTCGGCGGCAGTTTGATAATCGGTTGAAGAGGTTCGCAGGGTAAGCCAACAGCACCAGGGTGCGGTGCTACGAAGAAAAATGGGCTTGGCAGGTGTAGAATAGTGGCCGGATCACGTGTGTGAATCATTAAAGCAGCAATAGTCGCTGAATAGCCGTGTGGAAATGACGCCGTAAATGGCTTCACTGACGGTCATTTTCGGCGTCGATTTCACAGGTGCTCACATTCTGAGATATATGGCTACGTCTATGAGAATCATCAGGGATGCTAGCAATTGTTCAGGAAGGAACTCACTCGTTGAAAGCACTTACCCTTTGGGTATTTGTATGATGGCTCCTTCCCACAGTCGAGAACAAGCACAAAATGGCAGCTTTACTGCTCTTTGGGACGATGGCACTGTCAACTCTTGACCATGGCGCTCTTCAACAAAAAACAGAGACTATGGCTCAAAGTCCTCTGTCTTGTGTACGCATTGCTCTTCTTCTACTATCGATACCAGTCCATTCGGGACCCAACATCCCACTTCTTCCAACCTGAGGAAGGATATCGACCGCGCTACAGCGTTGCCAGAATCCAGGAATCTCTACACTTTCTGTCATCATCCAACCATTCGTCCGTCCGTCCAGCTTCAACCGATCCTGTCCTATGCGTCGGAATTGTCACTGCAAAGCGTCCGTTGGCGCAGAACCTCAATACTACAATTGGCTCGCTACTAGACAATCTGTCGCAAGAGCAACGGTCGGAAATCGCGGTCCATGTGCTCTTTGCGCATGTCATCACTTCTGCTCATCCTGATTTTGGACAACCGTGGGTTTCACAATTCGTCGATCGGGCGTTTACGTACGAGCAAGTCGACGTGCCAATTGCCACTCTGAAGCGCTTGGAGCACGAAAGGAGGGTATCAGAAAAGTCTCTTCTTGATTATCGTCTCACTCTCGAATCGTGCTATTCACAGACCAACAGTTCGTGGATCTTAATGCTCGAAGATGACGTGGTGGCACAAAGACATTGGTACGAACGCACGACGCAGGCTCTTCAGACTGTTCAAGAGTGGGAGCAACAGGGGAAGATTAGGCAGTGGCTCTATCTGCGTCTGTTCTATACAGAGAAGTTTTTGGGTTGGAATATCGAAGATTGGCCGGTTTACCTGGCTTGGAGTATATTTGCCATCTCTACGACCGCGGCGTTGGGAATCTGGGTACGACGGCACGTTAAATCGTGGCAGGGCGTTTTGACCAACTCGTTCTTGGTGGTGGTATGCTTCATCGGCGTTCCCATGGGAATCCTTCTCTACTTCCTCGCAGGCCGCATGACTGTCCAACCCATGAGACCGGGAGTCCATCTCATGAACCAACATGGCTGTTGCTCGCAAGCGCTTTTGTTTCCACGAAAACAGGTCCCGTTAGTGAGTCGCTATCTTGATTGGAAAAGGTGCGCTTCCCCGGGACCAGTGGACAGTGTGATTGAGATGTTGGGTGACCAGGCGGGTATGGACCGGTTGGTTATTTCGCCATCGCAAATGCAGCATGTCGGGGCTACTTCGTACAAGGAGAATCGGCCTTCATATCGATGGGAGGGCATGTATAGTGTGCATGGTGCTCATGGAGTGTGGAACGTCGAGTTCGAGGGGCAGTCTTAGTTCAACTGTATACGAATTAGTACGAATGATAATGAATTCCAAGTTCACAATGCGTATTGTGTATGGCCTGGGCATGATCGACAATGAGTGTACTCTGATATTGTGGGGAAAGCGTTGCCTCGGCAGGACTGAAACGTCACCGACAACCGACGAAGCCGAAGTATACACATATTTATAGAGATGGTTTGAAATATTCACTATCAAGCTATCCAGTACACAACCATGGATGCCAATCCACATCCAATCTCAATTCCACCATCCTACGAAAGCCTCCCTGTCACCGACATCAAACTCAACCATCATCCTCCCAACTCGCCCACGGCCACCCCAATTCTCATCGTCACCCTGAACCGCCCTGAAAAGCACAATGCCTACACACAAGCCATGAGCAGGAGCTTGGAACGTGTCTTCCGGACGGTCGACATCGACGACCGCGTCAAGGTTGTTCTCTTGACCGGCGCCGGAAAGACGTTTTGCGCTGGCGCAGACCTGGACATTGGATTCAGCGGTGCTAAACAGATTGACCCAGAAGTATACCGGGATAGGTAACCCGTCTCATTCCACTATGTAAAGAGATGCCGCTAATGGTAAACAGCGGCGGCCGCATCGCCCTCGCAATCCACCGCTGCCGCAAACCAACCATTGCCGCAATGCAAGGCTCAGCAGTCGGCGTTGGGATGACAATGACCCTCCCCGCTGCTATTCGCATCGCCCATACAACATCTAAATACGGCTTCGTTTTCGCGCGTCGTGGAATCACCATGGAGTCCTGCTCGTCGTACTTCCTCCCGAGACTCATTGGACATGCTCGTGCTATGTATCTTGTTACTACAGGGGGTGTATTCCCGCCTACGTCGTCGCATTTTGGGCCGTTGTTTGCGGAAACGTTCGCTGAGAAAGAGGCAATTCTGACGAGGGGGATGGAGATTGCGAACGATATTGCGGAAAGTACGAGTTCGTTGGCGGGCGCGTTGAATCGGGGGTTGATGTGGAGGGGGCCTGATTCGCCCGAAGAGACGCATTTGTTGGAGTCGAAGGTTTTATATCATATGTTTCGGGGGAGGTAAGTTTCTTTTCTTTGGTGCCTGGATTGTATGACTGGGTGCTGATGTGTGTAGGGACCAGAAGGAGGGCGTAGGGGCGTTCCTGGAGAAGAGGAAGCCGGAGTTCAGGGAGACTCTAAAGGAGGATGCTCCCCAGGAGTATCCTTGGTGGTCCGAGGTTGATATCGAGCCGAAGACTAAAGGTGAGTCTAAGCTATAATGGAAGGAAGTCAAGTAGATAGCTGTTATTCGTTATTTTACAATAAATACGCTGGTCCAGCGCAATCAACAAACCGACTCAGCCTCGCTCAAAAACATGACTAGAACAACGGAACAATTAGGAACCTAAACGATAAAGCTGCGCCTCTTCCGGTTGTACGCTCTCTGATCCTTCAACCACGACCGGTATCCCTGTACACTGCCAATCTTCTCACCGTAGTAGTCGGGCACAGGGTTCGCAATTGAGTTGGACGAGGGGTCGACACGGAAGCGGCGAATGCGGTCGAAGAACTCTTTTTCTTTCTGCATTCAGTTAGCAGCCGTACAAATCCAAGTAGACGAGTAACTCACCCTAGCAAAAGCAGCAGTGTATTTCCGGTTTACCAACGACCAGAATCCATTACCAACAAACGGACCCAACAGCCACCCCACCGCACCGCAGGCCATCGTCGACATACCCAGAACCACAATCGGGTCCAACCCCATCACCTGCGCTCCTAGGGATTCAATGTCCTGAGTCGAGAGATACTGCACACCGAAAACAGTAGTAACAACCGAGGTCATAGCAGATGACGCAACAGAGTACCTCCGACGAGTAGCCCGCAGCTTGAAAAACGAGTTCCAGTCCAACTTGGCTTCGTTCGTCGGGGGCGCGGAGGTCGAGTTCGCGCGGACCATGGTCCGGAGCACGCATGAACCTGGTAGTGACTTGTTCTGCGGCCGTGGGTATGTCTGGAGGAGCATTGAGGACTGAATCGTGGGTGTGGTCGTTCGGGTCGAGGTGGTGCTGCCCATGCGGACCTGGAATGGGGTCTTCGGGGAGGCCAAGGCTGCGGGCGAGATACGGCCGCGCAGCATGGCGGTGCGCATCGGAGCACAGATTGAGACGGCGTTCATTTTGAATGAAGTGTGAGGAGGTTGTGAGAGCGAACTGTCGGGGGGAAAGGTCGAAAAGATGAAGCCGGAGCTGTGGAGTGATTATGTAAGCGGCGAGATTGGGTTGAGTTCGACAAGAGATTGACAAAGTATAGGCTCTTGCTTACATACAAAGTAGTACTGTCTTAAAATAATGGTCAACAGAAAGTCCATAGATCTATGTTGCTTTTGGATTGCTTGTTTCTCCTACTTCAGGCACAGATGGACGTCCAACAAAGCACGTGACGTCACACCCTTCTCGGATGCATAAGTACCCCAGTATCGCCATGTTTACAGTGTAGCTGCCTAGAAATCGGAGCAAGGGCAGTCAGCATCAACTTAAACTGCTTCTGACTATTATCCGGAAACTATCCATGGATAGCAGCCAAGAGATATGGGGTTATCTAGGATGTCTCATTGCACTACAATGAAGCGAAATATGAGGTGACACTAGTAATGTGATGCATTTGCCCTATACTCAGTGGAAAATGCAGGCTAGGAAATCTAGCATATATCGACAATGCATATATAATGCAGCGCAATGTTTAGCTAGTAACAGGTTAATAGTAGTATGTAAATTAACAGGGACATCCAAAAAAGTGAGTGCGGTTAATGACCGCCATTCCGCTTAACCTGGCCAGGGTATGCGCGAGCCTCAGTGGCGGTGCCATAGCCGTTGACCCGGCCATACAGGTGCTTTAGGGTCGCGGTACTGCCTGCCATGACGATGGCACTGAGGACAAAGAGGCCAAGACGGCCTTCAAAAGGCACTTGGTCGAAGATGGGATAAGGGTACCTGGGGGGTCAGACTCAAACTACTTGGATTAAAAGACATCTGAGCTCACCAGCCATTGAGCTTGAAGCACCGTTCAATCCACACCCAGTATCCCACAGCGAAGGTGCTGGACAAACCAAGAGCCGGGACAATGTCGATAGTCCACGGGGGAGAGAAAAATAGCAGGTCGATCAACAGCACAATTGATGGGATTGCGTGGAAGCTAACGTCTGCATGTTTCGGTTAGCCATAACGTCTCCAACTACGGGCAGTTTTTCTTACCGGCGCTGAGCGGGATCACGGCCCATTCAGGAATCACCAAGCGTTCGTCAATCTAGAAATCATAAGCGGTACTCATAAAACAACAGCAGAGGAGCTGACCAGGCGCAAACTCCAGTAAAGAAGACTAATGAGCACTTCCAAAGGAGCACTAAGGATGGACAAAAGGTTCTTGACCAAGAAGAGTCGGGCCGACAACGTCACATCCGCCAATACACCGAATAAAAAGGTCAACGTTGCCAAAGACAAACCGATAACCGTGAGATATTGAAAATGCCATCCGTATGCCTCGTTACTAGACCGATGTCAATGTGTTTGCTACTTTCCGGTTCCTCCCGGTATAGACGACCACTCACGCTCGATTGGGAAAATCGTGCATACTAAACAATTAGCATTCGCCTATCGTCTCTCATGATCTAGCACAAAGGAGACAGCATACAACTTGAAAGACCAGCAAAAACTGGCGAGTCCGGCCAACTGGAACCAGCAGAGTCAGCCATGGATCAAGCACGAAGAGACAACAATGACATACATGGACCACAGCCGAGAGTCCTCGGGAAGGGCTGGACAGCCGTTGCAGGGGATGTTTTAGATAATGAGGCATTCTGTTCGTTTCAACAATTAAAATACAAAATGAGAGCCGTCTATATGTGTCTAAATTGTGCAGTCCACGTCAAGAACTTCGCCTTGTTTTCAGCGCTGGTCAGCTGACTATGAGATCACATGCTCCCGGATTTATTTTGGCACCGACATCCGGACACCACGAGATGCTCGCCACCGATAAACACAAAATGATTCGAATCCCACATAGTCGCCAAGCTGCTCGGCTTATTTCAGTGCTTTGCACGGAGGCTACTCGTCATTGGACATCCGTATAATGGCACTGATTGCACATCGCGGCCGACGTCCAACCACCGTCGCCGGAGGGCGTTATCATGGACGGGCGGTTCTCCCCGGCTTTCCCCTCGTGTCAATTGTCTCCGCTATGGAGCTGCCCGGTGGAGGAGAACAATGCCATATCAGGCTGCACGGTTCTCGGCAGAAGCATTTAAGTCTATCCAGCACCTGAAATCTGGATTCAGAGACGCTGTTTAAAGAAAATACCAGACTGCATTGCATGTGCAGTTCCAAAAGTGGATGGAGATCTTACTGATGTTGATTATACCTGGGATGCTCTGTGTTCCCGATTGCTGTCACTCTGGCTGGTCGTTATTGCAGTTATCTCACACCCGGTCTTTTTGTCTGTTTCTTTGAGAGTAATGCCCCGTCCAAGAAGACCAGGCGCGCCGGAGCCGAAGCGCAGGAGTCGAAATGGCTGCTGGTGAGTTGTAATCCTTGTCATATGAAGCGCATGAAATTAACGAATGATAGGCCCTGTAAGTCTCGCAAAGTGAAATGGTATTCCCCCCCCCTTGCTAAATAGTCCGGTCTAACAGATGCAGCGACGAAGAAAAGCCCTCCTGTTTAAATTGTCAGCGACAAAATGACCAATGTGATTATAGTATCAAACTAAACTGGGAGGGAAGGACTAGGAGAAAATTTTCGGTAGAACTTCCGAGTCCCGTGTGCGACAGTTCGACACATATTTTCTCGTCTGTATCACCTCCGGCATTTCACCAGTCACTTCCTAGTGTCTCGGAGGCGGAGAATATTCTCTGGGAGGAGAGACTCGCGCACACCAATCCAAGATCTCACAATAGAGCTCACAGTGGGAGCAAGGAACCTATCTCTAATATCCCACAACTTGAACATGCTGCCTTTGCGGACGTGGACTCACCAGTAGAGATCAACGACCTCTTACAGGTACAGGATGTGACCATCTCATGGGCAAAGAATTCACCACATTCGAGCATTGTCTCCACACTAAACAACACACCGTCACTCGTAAATCCTATTGAAGACAGCTCGTACCCTTCACCGGCAGAAACAGATGCTGCGTTCGATGAAACATTCTTCAACAGACGAGCGCAGAACCCGTCATTTTCTCATGCCCAGAAACCTGGGCCAGCATCAAACTCGCAGTCTCCATCGGGAGACATTTACTACCCTGGTATACCCATTGACTTTCTACTAGATAAGCCGGAAGACCACAAGGAAGATTGCTCATTTGATCTTGCCACTCCTGAGAAAAGATGGCATGCGTACCTGAGGACGGTCACGGATAATTATGGCCTGGACTACGGTCGCCCAGATTTAGATTTGAACAAGAACGATGACCATGCAGCTATTGATGTCAACCGCGCATTGCAATTGATCAATCCGCAGTGGCATTCTCAGGGGGGTGTTGAGCCCGAAATAAGTCTCAACCAGGAGTTGAAGTCAAAGAATTGCACGTACTACGACTCACCGGTGCCCGTGGACATCCCACGATATCTATCACCGCTGCCGATGAATCTGTTAAAGAATCCAATCAACTTGATGTACTTTCATCATTTTCTCAATCATACAGCTAAGATGCTCGTTCCACATGACTGCGGGGATAATCCATTTGTTTTAGTGTTACCCTCTAGTGAGTTACACGCAGAATGCCGTTTTAATTTATACTAATTATGCAGTGGCTGTTGCGGACTCTAACCTGTTGAATTTGACACTGGCCTACTCCGCAAGTCACCGTGCGCGATACCTAGGACATGCAGAGCCTGCAAATCGCATTGCTGATTGGGTTAGTGATGTATTTCCAGCTTTGCGCTATGCCCTGGATAACCCACACACAAGTATTACCGAGTCTCACCTAGCAACGGCTGTTATGCTTCTTTCCCTGAAGATTATCTCTCCCAGCACCTTCGAAGTCCCAATTCCATGGCAGAGTCACCTCAGCCTCGCTCGTGGTCTTTTCCAGGCACATGCGGAGCATATGGTTTATCCAGGGAACCGTATTGGTGCATTTCTAGCACGGTGGTTGGGGTATATTGATATTATGGGAACTTTGTCATGCCGCGACGGTGGTTCGCCTTTGGATATGTACTACTCAGTTATGAATGCTTGCTCTACGGAAGGGGGGCATGATGAGTTTTCTGTTGACTGCTTTACCGGATTCAGTCCTCGAACAGGTGCATGTTTAATCCGGCTAGGAAAGCTAGTCCACCGATGTGATAGTGAATGCTTCGATGATATGGGCATGTTTCGTCTGGACTGGACAGCATCTGTGGACATGATTCTGGAGGCAAAATCTTTGGTCATGGAATTCGAAGCCTTGCGAACACAGGTTCACGTTAATGGTAGACATTATCGAGGATCACCCACAGACCTACTGGCAATGGATCGAGCATTCTGCTGTTCTGCATTGCTGCACCTTCATCGTCGAATTCTGAGTAGTTCTCCGTTCTCCCCTGCTGTCCACGAAGCGCAAAGTGGTCTTCTGAATGCCCTAGCCCGGATTGAGCCCGGGGGATCCACAGAGGTAGGAGCGTTGTTTCCGCTGTTTACTGCCGGGTGTGAAGTGCGAGACGCCAAGGAACGGATGGAGATCTTGGAGCGGTTTGTGATACTGGAAACAACGGGAATGAAACAGGTTAGTCAGGGTTATACCGAATCGAGATATCTGCTAATACAGTATAGATACAAAATGCGCGCAGGCTGATGCAGCGGTGCTGGGACGAAGACTTGCCATGGATTGCTCTGGCCAAAGGGGAGTTCCTTGGATAGTGTCATGTGTGTACATTTTTTTTATTATAAGTAATCTCATTAGAATAACAAAGATACGGAGGAGTAAGCTATTTCCTTGCCAATATTTACTGTTTCACTGACCATTTACTCAGGCCATGCTTTGATCGTTTAACACACCATAAATAATCATTATAGGAAAGAACATTGCCTCACACTTAAGTCCAAAGCAGTTTATACTCTTTCACTGCTAATAACTCTTTCCATGTACTTCTTTATATTTCCTGTACACTTCTCTAGCATATAAAAACGGACTGTCTACCAACCTGTCTTTCCGCCAAGCTCGTTCCTCCCCCATATCCCGAAATGGAAGTTCCCAACTTGCTCCCCGTCCCCAGCTTTTCCCCCGCCAAGTCTTACCTCGTTTTCCTTTTCTCCATTCTCCTCGCGTTTTGTACCTTTTACTACTATAGATTTAGATACACTCCTATCTCTTCTCGTGGCTCCCAACCCTCCATCAACACTCAGTCTCAGGGAGCTGCGGGAAAGCGGGCTCGTAAGAAGGCGAAGGCCCGCTCCAAAGCCATGGCTGCTGTGGGCAGCTCGAGCCTCCTCGACAGCGGCGTGGAAGCCATTCCAGTTCCAATCTTGCACCCAAAAACTCACTCTGCGGAAGAGACTCACTCGTCCGATGCTGCCCTGCTCGATCGTCGGTTGGAGCATCTCGTGATACCCATTTTGGAGCCTGTACAGGTAAACAATCACTCAACGCTAGTGTTTGGTTCTCATTCACTGACAGCCCCGCTGTACTATATAGAATCCAGTCACCGGTCGTCATGCAAGCGATTACAACTCCCTCGCAGGTTGCAAAATGGCAAAGACGATTCCCTGGGATGGTCAGCTTCGCTGGGCGATTAAAGGATGCAGCATCTTCAACGACCAAGAAGAAGAAGCAGATGCACTCTACTATCCGAACAATTTCCTCTCTCGCGTACCTCTTTCAAATCACCTAGTTTTTCAGTACGGGCTGCGTTACATCCCCTCGATGACTGAAACAAACATCTACCGCACCGTGACGATCGAGAATCTTCCTGCCAACATCTCGCTGAACCAGGTGCTACCGAATGTTTCTGGTGAGGTTTACTCCTCGCGTCTATTCGACACCAGGGCCATCACGGGATACAGCACCGCGATCGTGGTCTTCCTCTTGGAGAGTGAGGCGCGCAGCTTTGTCGAGAAGGCCAAGGAGGGGCTGCATGTTGGATCCGCCCAGGCCAAGGTTGTCCTCGTGAATACTCCAACCTATCCAATGCCGGCGGAAATGGATAACCTGGTCAACAAAGGATATAGTCGATGTCTCGTGGTCTCGGATGTCAGCGCAACCATTCAGAAAGACATCTGCGGCGTGCTCAACCGCTCGGCCTATCACTCATACATCGAGCGCGTCAAAGCTGGACCGTCTGCAGGCCAAGTCACTATTCGATTTCATTGTATCAAGTCAGCCGCGGCGGTGTTGTCACTGCTCCAGGGGCATCCCAGTTTCTGGCAGTGCAGTGTCAGCTTCATGAAGGAAGCTCAGGGTAAATTGGTGTTGGCGAAGGCGTGAAAGTTGGACTAGTTGGGCTGGGTTGTATATAGCCTCAATGGTATCGTGAATACCTCTTCATCTCTTGTTGTAGGGAATGCACTGACGGTATCCATACCAATTGCAGGTTCTTGCTGACCTCATATATTTGCTCATTGGGAATGCTCTACGAGAAATGCGGAGCAGATACCAGAGTGCATAACCGAAGTCGCTTAGTACTGCGGGGTGCTGTATGGTTTCTATGTACTCTGTTTATACTATGTAGTTCCATGGATATGCCCCTATTCTACCACGGGCTATCGGTTAAACATGGACTCAAATCTTGGCCTCCCCTCAGATAGCATTTAACCGGACTCTCGCTTAGCCCCATCTGGATAAGCGCGGCGACTAGCGACCTCCCAAACAGGAAAAGCATACCCGACAAGCCTTTCGGTATTCGCCGGCGCATCCCCCGCACTAGCCACACTATTCCCAATCAGGAATCCCACTCAGCTCGTCACGGGATGGTCCTCCTTGCGTCCAATCACAGCGCGCGTCAGGATGAACTCGATAAGCAAAAACAACGAGAGTCACGGGACTTGAGGGACATTAGCATCTGATCGGCGTTGCTTAGAAAAGGAGCTGAATGTCCGGCCCTGCATAGTCCATTTTTTCTCTTGGCCACATTGTTCCTTTTTTTTCACTGATGCTGTCTCGTGTCTGTGCAGAATGGCCAAAGCTGAAGACAATGTGTCCAGGGTGTCGGACCCGGAGAAGGAATTTCGGCCTGGGGATGGTCATGGTGAGCCCCAATTAGATCGGTTTGAGGATCCTGATGAGGGTGTGAGTGAGGAGGAGCGCGCGAAGAGGGTGAGTTTGTTTGGTCAATTGGGAGTTGAGAATTGAGCATAGCTAACATGTTGTCTTTCAGGACCGCAAGCTGCTGTGGAAGCTCGATCTGCGACTCGTCCCTTGGCTTTGTTTACTCTACCTCGTCGCTTTTTTGGACCGGTACGCACACCACACACGGGTTGAAGACGGACAACACTGATAGAAACAGGACGAATATCGGTAATGCCAAAGTCGCTGGTTTGCAGGAGGATCTCAACATCACTGATACCCAGTATAATATCGCCTTGACTGTGTTCTTCATCTCGTACTCGGTTTTCGAGCCCTTGACCAATGTCCTGCTCAAACGCTGGGGACCTAGTATCTTCATTCCTGTCATTGTAATTCTGTGGGTGAGTGCTCAATATTGTCTGCTGATACCCGACGACTGAGCTGACGCGACCAGGGTATTTGCATGACATGCATGGGCCTCGTCCACAATGGTGCAGGTCTCATGGCAGTCCGCTTCTTCCTCGGTCTCGCAGAAGCGGGTCTCTTCCCTGGAATCGGATACTTCCTATCGTGCTGGTACCGACGTGACGAATTCGGAGTTCGAATGGCTATTTTCTTCTCCGGTGCTGCCCTTGCTGGTTCGTTCGGTGGTCTGCTTGCTGCTGCGATCGCACTGATGGATGGCGTTGGAGGCAAGGCTGGATGGTGCTGGATCTTCATTCTCGAGGGTCTGGCCACGGTACTGATCGGTGTCGCTTGCTTCTGGATGGTCCAGGATTTCCCTGACAAAGCCACGTTTCTCTCGCCTGATGACAAGAAACGGGTCGTGCGGCGGCTGGCACAGGACAAGCAGGCGAGTGCGGAAAATGAGGAATTTGATATGGCGTACTTCTGGTCGAGTATGAAGGATTGGAAAACGTGGCTTTATGCCGTGATCTATATGGGCGCGGATATGCCTTTGTATGGGTTTTCGCTTTTTGTCCCGACCATTATTGAAGAACTAGTAAGCCCTCCTCTTCTGATCTGCCTTGCAGCTGGCTAACAAGTGCTAGGGTTTGTCAATCTCTGTCATCTGATTTAGCACAATACTGACAACCCAGGATACACCTCGATCAAAGCACAACTTCTCAGTGTTCCCCCATATGCCGCCGCCGCAGTTATAACCGTCTCAATCGGTTTCCTTGCGGATCGTACGCGCCAGCGTGGTATCACCAATATGGTCATCTCCCTCATCGGTATGGCTGGTTATGCCTTGTTGATTGGTGCGAAAGGTCCTGGCGCTCGGTATGCCGGTGTCTTCCTTGCCGCCATGGGTATCTACCCATGTGTTTCGAATACTATCGCGTGGTGTAGCAACAACACAGAAGGTAGCCCCTCCCCGCTCCCCCCTGTCTTAGTCCAGTTTTCCAGACGGTTGCTAACGTCAACAGGCGTCTACAAAAGAGGTGTCACGCTGGGCGTCGTTATCGGCTGGGGGAACCTCAACGGTATCGTCGCCTCCAATGTCTATCGTGGCGGTGACGCACCCCAGTTCTACCCCGGTCACGGCGTGATGCTTGGATACCTTGTTGTGTGCTTGTTCGGAGGATCCCTCATCCAGTACATCCTGCTGATAGTGGAGAACCGCAAGCGCGAGCAAGGAAAACGTGATAATTGGGTCGAGGGGCTGAGTCCGCAGCAGCTCGCGCAGCGGGGTGATGAGCGGCCGGACTTTATATATACACTGTAGGATTCAAAAGCAGTCAAGGTTATGGAGAAGCTGGGTGTATACAATGTCATTTGGTATGTGACGGTTTTCTTTCAACGTGGGTTTCGTAAATCGTAACGTAGTGATAGTCTGTATCGACATCAATCAAATCGACTCGTAGACGTTCACAATATCCTGATCCTTTTTCGGCCCCTTGACCACATGTCGACTAGACCAGCTTAACACCTCCCCGCTCTCTGGACGAATTCGAAATGCATATGCCGTGCGATACATATCGTTTATGCAGAGATGATTCCCACGTGCAGTCAGCACAGCTGTATCGCCAGCTACTGCAGGGGGCACCGGCGCAGTAACAAACACATCCTCCCCAGCCGCTGCATCCGACTTCCCCGCACCCTCGTTCTTAAAATCGAACTCATGAAATAGATAATCCGCCTCTTCCTCATCACTCACTTTCGACCCTCCAACCTTCACAAACCAAACACTCATCTTCCCGCCCTCACTCAACCGCCAGATATACTTTTTGGACCAGCGCAGCCCCGCCATTCCCATCCCCACTGTCTTCGGCATCTCCCCCTCCTCCCCGTACACCATGTCGCGATGCGTACCCGTACCCTGTCCTAGGGGCTTGAACGTGGCTGTCCCGAGCAATTCACCTTGTATGTCCATGGGATTGTTGCTGTGCAGGATTCGGGTTAAGGACCAGCGGCGCGGTTCGCGACTTAGTGAGGTGAAGAGCGCGGAGAGGTGGCAGGGTGGCATGGCGATGTTGTCGGTGTTGTCGGAGGGAGATGAGGGATGCGCGGGACATTGGCTTCCCATGTTGTACTTCGTAGAGATTGCTGTGTTTGGCGTAGCTTGAATAGGGAGCTGTCTTGGTTACGTAGTGAGAATGGAAAGGTGTCAGAAGGAGTGCGTGGGGAGATCTGGTTGTGGGGCCGATATCAAGTACACGGTTCCGGCGGGAACAACGTGTAGACCCTGACTCGGTTCCGGGTCCCTAATGGGTCTCTACAGGTTGGGTAGCGACATATAAACCCCAAGGGCACTTCGCCATGTCTCTGGTCTTCTTTTTTACTTTACTTTCCATTGCAATCTCCCCACTCTCATCCCCCACCACCAAACATGACCGAATCCCCAATCGCCCAGGGCAACTTTGTCCACAACAACACCACCCCTCCTCCTCAGCAAAGCTTGATGGGCCTTTTCAGTCTTAAAGGGAGAACTGCAATTGTCACAGGTGCTGGTGCTGGTATTGGCCTCGCAGTTGCACAGGGCTACGCTGAAGCTGGTGCGAATGTTGCGATATGGTATAACTCGAACCAAAAGACGGTAGAACGAGCGGCTGAGATTGAGGCCAAGTATGGAGTTCAGTGTAAGCAGTCTAACTTTGGTGGCTGTGGCCAATGATCCATTCGCAAGCTTACCAGATATCCAGGCAAGGCCTATCAAGTAAACATCAAGGATTCCCAGGCCGTTGAGGATGCTGTCAACTTGGTAGTAAAGGAGTTCAACGGCCGTCTCGACATTATGGTGGCTAATTCCGGTATTCCCTGGACCCAAGGTCCCATGGTCGACAGTGAACCGGACCATTATAGTAATGTGGTTCAAACCGACTTGGACGGTACATTCTACTGCGCCAAAGCTGCTGCTGCACAATGGAGGAAACAGAAGAAAGAAGGCAACATCCAAGGCTTTAGATATGGAAGCTTCATCGCCACTGCTTCGATGAGCGGCCACATTGTCAATGTCCCTCAGCTTCAGGCTGCTTACAACGCTGCCAAGGCTGGTGTCATCCATCTTTGTACGTCGACCTACTTTATGATAGCGGTCACCATGCTAATACATTATAGGCAAATCGCTTGCCGTTGAATGGGTTCAATTTGCTCGCGCCAACTCTGTTTCTCCGGGTTACATCGCAACGGAAATCTCCAGTTTTGTCGCTGAAGAAACCAAGAACATCTGGAAGGATAAAATCCCCATGGGCCGTGAAGGTGAGGCGCAGGAGCTTAAGGGTGCTTATCTTTACCTTGCCTCCGATGCTTCTAGCTATACGACTGGCGCCGACATCTTAGTGGACGGAGGATACACGCTGCCTTAGTGCTACAACCCTCACTACACTTCAATATCTCTGTACATACTACGACGTCGATAGATAGATTCTCAATTAAACATCCATCCTGCATTCCAGCTTCTGGATTTCAGCAGCCACGAAGACAAAGTCCATCCTATGTCTGTACCGCTGTTGCGAAGATGCCAGAGGGAAAATCAAGCTTACTCCTGACTGAGTACCAACCAGGACACACTCTTCTCGTTGTTGTTACGGGCATCTCAATGTTGAGATAACGATTATGCTAATCCACACTCTCCTACTAGGACTCCCCGATATCGCATTTTACTCTCGCTTAGCGCCTTGAAGGCATCCTGAATACCATCCGCTGTCATAGGCCAAGTCATGATCCACGGTTTGATCTCATGAAGTCGTACGAATCGCAGCATCTTGCGAATGGTTTTCCGGGAGGCGCTCGAGCACCCTTGGATCCGGATGCCGTTTTTGACCACAAAGTGCATGGGCACGGATACTGTCTCGAGACCTACGGCGAGGACGTATATGGTGCCGCTGCAGGATACATGCGATAGGAGTCTAGATGTGTGAGCGGGAGAAAATACTAGCAGAACCTCTGTAGAGACTCACTTGGAGATATCAGGCGGTCCATCTCGACACCAAAAAAGATGTTGGACTGGCGCTACAGGAGTCTCTGGGACATTATCATTGGTGACGTGGAACTCTTTCGCGCCAATTGCCATTGCATCGTGTCTCTTTGACTGGCTATTCGAGAAGACCACCACATCACAGCCCAATGCACTCGACATGAGAATAGCAACGTGTCCCAATCCTCCGATGCCGTGGATGCCAATTCGATCTCCCGGTCTCACGTCATTCGTTGTCAAGACCTCCCACATAATCGCACCACCGCACATAAGGGGAGCAGCATATTTCGATTCGAGGCCCTCTGGAAGCTTAATGAGCATGCTCGCTTGCCATACGGCGTGCGTCGCAAAGGATCCGACTTTTTCGAAATGATCGCGCTGCGTACAGTACTGCTCCTTGCCTGCAAAGTGTCAGTTGGTTCATTGATATCATTGAAACGCATCGCACCCCCAATGCAATAATCACAATCCCCGCACGGATTCTGCAATCCGTTGAACCCGACCCTATCGCCTATATTGACATGCTGCACTGCGCATCCGATTTCTCGCACTATCCCAGCTCCGTGGTGACCCAGTGGGATATTCTTTGTCTTTGACAGTTTGTCCGCTCCGCAGAGTCCGGCGTGAGAGATTTCGACGAGGGCTTCGTTGGGCTGGATCGTGTGTTTGACTGTTTCGGTGATGATGGCGCCGCTTTCAGAGCCGCGGAATATGCTGTATTCGACTGTTTCTGGCATTGGGATGTTGCTTGTTCGATATTATATGGCAGCCGCGTATCTGCTCTGAGGTGTCTATCCGGATGAAATCATAATCACGACATGGTTATCTATGGTACTGGTGCATCGGTTTGCCTTGAACAGATATTCTTAGGCTTATACAATATCCTTCTAGCGGACCATTATTATTGGCAAAAACGACATATTTATGTATGTGTCTCAGAAAGTTATACTACCTATAGATTGGGACGATACTTATGCAGACTACGTCTTCACCGTCGGAGAAAATGTCGATACCAACAGTGTCGCTGCCGTTCTCCAGATTTTCCAGTGGGCCCTCTTGGTCCCCGTCTCATGTCAGGGATGTGGAGGAATTCTCAAGCTAGAATGTGAGTATACTGCGACTTGTTATCATTGAGTAGCAGTGTAATTGACATGAAAGCAGCTTTGGACGCCCATCCAACTGCCCTATTATCATGTTCTATGACGGGGAATATCTATTTAGCCGTCACCTTCAGGGGCCCCAGTTCTTGAAAACAGCCCTATCAAGAGCCTGTTAGCTGCCATGCCGTCAGCCTCACTATCATATCAACGTAGGCTTTGATATCTCAGTCTAGCAGTCAGTTGAAGAATTGCTAGGCCGTGGTTCCGGAATGCATTGTCTGAGTGACTACCACAAGCGCCTTCCCAGCTGAAAATGCATGGCATGCCAGGTCCAGCAGCAAAAATTGGGCCAAATTCCACCAAAACCGTCTCATACCATACCAGGATTAACAACCACAGCGGAATCATCCTGGAGCTGTTTTCATAAGATACCGAGCATGGCCGTTTCACTAGCGAATGTAATGACCTTCGTTATGATTTTTGACACATTTAATGAGTGGGAGTCGTTGCTCGCAAATACCTGGTGCACATCTTAGCATTAACCCTTTCAAGCTTAGCATTCTCTATTCAGCTCTGATCAATCATGACTATAGGCCCCGGTCAGTCCAAGCTCATAAATGTCATATCAAGACAAAGAAAAACAAAATACACAACTAATCTTGTACGATGTCTCAGACGAATTGGTATATGACACATCCAACGGGCATAGCTGTCTCTAAGATACTTCGTACGATATGATAAATCGGCTCTGTGCATAATCGGTTTGCATCTTGTTTTGCGTTGGCTTGCTGAGATATCCAAGACATTCGGAAGGGTTCGATCCCCTGAGCAGGACATAAATATTGCCAAAATACCCTGTATTGATTACCTTTATTGCATTCACTCTTCTACGATGCGCCGGTATATATATAGTTTCTCACTTTCTCATTTATTCAACCTTCGTCTTCATCTCTCTTCCACTCATGGCTGCATAGTCCTGCGATTTCCCATTGATATGAACGTCCCTGGCCAGTCTATCAGCTTCTTCGACGCTGACATGTTGCATTCGATTGGGATTCAACGTTCATCTTTGGCTTTTCCACAATGGACCAATGTGAATACATATTGGTACGATGCACTTCTATACATGTTGACTATTTGCCAACAAAGCTAACAGATAATTACTCAACGCAGCTGTTCCGATTAACATGCTCCTCCCGGACCGCGTCCTTTCTTCCGTCCTGCCGTATATATATTTCTGCATCTGCATCGAACACAGCATCTACAGCTCGTTTCAACTCAGAGAATGAAGACAACCAGCTGGTCTCGACATCGACGGACCGAGAAGCAGTCCCTGTCTCTGAGAGCAATGCGCCCAGGCAATTCTGGCTACGACCCAAACCCGTAGCCCCCTTGTGTTTGTCACAAAGCAAGGACGGCATTAGCCACACCAAAAATTGCTCGTCAAATGGAGACGGACTTCTGCCGTTTGGCAAGTGGGTCGAACAACGCTGCGATAGGGAAAGCACATTTTGTGTACACATGCAGGAAGTCTCAAATTGTAGTTCCACATCGCTCATGTCTAAGGAATGGCCTTGGTTCTTTGGTAAGTCTAATATGTATCACTTCGATCCCCTGTTGGAGTGATGCTAACCATGCGCAGAACAGTTGGTCCATTATTGGAGCAATGCTGCTTGCATCCATATATGGTTCTTTGACGAGCTAACGCCGATATATCCGTTTCTTGAAAGATACACTGGGTATTCCGCTCAGATTAGGCGATCGTTATGAACGATCAAGAGTACGAGGGATACAAATCGCACTCCTTCATATACAACCCTAACAGCGAACGGGTGGACTGTTCCTTTGGACGATTCAGGTCTGCCTTCCTGGTCCCTTTTGCAAGACATGCTCCACTGTCGAGTCTCTGAGCTTATATCCTACCGCCTAAATTTTTGTAGCGCTCCTTGCGCTGGCTGATATGCTAACAGCCTGCTCTCAATCACACATAGGATGATTTGCATGCGAAGTCTTCTATAAAATACCAGATTGCTGGCGCTCTTAGTTGTATATGCCCGCGCGTTACTGCTGAAGCCCGCCCAACTGGCACAAGGGGCTGATTGTGAAGAAGTGTCCGGTCTTCTGGCCACTGGACCAAATGTACGATTCTATTGTCTTATTCTTCGCCGCCAATAAGTTGTGCGGGAATGGGGTAGACCGAGGCCGCTCTCGTCTAGACTAAGCTGAACGCAATAAGGACGACCATTTGGAGCAGCCAATGACTAGTCATGCCTCACCTCGAACTGGGGAAGATCATTTGACTGGAGCCGTCCGTTATCTGCAGGATGGGAAATCCGCCATTGTCAAGAGCCCACTCGAGTAAAGAACATCACCGAGCTTTACAAGGCGTGTCGAAAGTCGGATGACAGATATGGACGTGCTAAATCCTGGGACTATTACTCCCTTCCAGATGCGTTTTTTACTCTACCATGGATCATTTCTCGTCCTTATCTCGTTGGAAGCGTGTATCTTGAGGGTTCCCGGCTGCGGAACGGCGGGCCATGCCCAGAAGAGTGAAGAGAAAGAAACAATAGGCTCTTTTCTGGTGTTAGTCTTCCAATAGACGTACTTGCAAAATCAGCGCCGTCGAGTGTCATGCAGCTGCGTAAAGTCCCGTATTGTTCCTGCATATGCCTAACTTCAGCCCGGCAGTTGACACTGCCCTCCGTAGATAACTGCGTCGTTCCTGGCCAGGTGAATATTTCCAGGGCAGTATGATATATCACACCCCGGACATTGACGGCGCGGGGCAATCAAAGAATGATGCATTCCAGAAGAGCCGCAGAAGTAAATCGACATTCTATATCGATCTGCAATCCCTAGCGGAAGATCCTGATCGATAATCTAAAGTTGAAACGCCCGTCGCGATGATGTCGTACTATGTCCGTTAACCTCGTTGCTGGATACCTGCGCTCTGCAGGGTATCACTGCAGCTAACCGTGGATGAGAAGTCCGTTGTTGCATTATGACGGAGTCTGAGTCTGGGCGAGGTTTCATCTTGACAGCTTCATTATTGGTGGTTATCGGAACGAATGCGGCAATTGGCATTGGCATTGAGGCCGGTGGCTGTACCGGTGCAACCTGGTAGAAATGAGGTGACACTAGACGATGGTATAGCGAAGTGTAGATGGAAGTGGTAGATGGTTAATGGTAGTTGACTAAGGTTAGTGATAGTTGAATAGTTGAGAAAGAGTAAGTCTGGGCCGTGCTTTTCCCTTTTGGGCGCTGACTGACTCTTTGCTTCACTCGATTCTTTCATCCTGTAATTTCCTTTTTTTTGCTCTCACTCTCATCCTCTCCCACTGCGCTATCGTTGGCTATGGTTTGCTTTTTTCCCTAAGCTGACTGTTATCACTATCGCTGTCGCCATGCCTAGTCCTCTCCGGTCCCTCGTTCTGCTTCCTTTCCTCTCCGGCCTTTTTCCGCCAGTAATCGCCTCAACCCGGAATCTCCATGTCCAGGAACCATATCAGGCACAAACTCAAGCCCACGGGGCCATCCTTCCCGCCTCCGTGACCTCCGACGATGCCTTTCCGTCGTGCGCTGTGAACTGCCCGCTCCTCCAACTGGCACAGACCGACTGTGTGTCTGTGTCTTCGTCTTCAGCGCCCGACGACAACGACAACGACGATGACGACGATTATGTGACGATCGCTTCGTGTTTCTGCCAATCTAGCCTGATCGATCCACTCCATAGCGGCCCGGATGGGGTTTGCGACCAAGTTTGCACTGCCTCCGATCGCGCCTTGCTCCACGCCTGGTACGGCAGATATTGCGCCGGGGAGAAAAATATGAAAAGAGAAACAGACAACACATTGGAGGATACAGAAATGGCGCCAATTCAAAAACTTTCGACCCTGAAGGCGAGAGGCGGGGGTGATTGGTATGTCACATTTTCCATCGGACTACAGATCGCAGACTAATAAGCGTCGTAGGTGGTCAACTCACTACCAATGGATCATTATGGTCATCGTCCTCATCATTGGCTTTGCCATCCTCACCGTCCTAGGCGTCTGGCTCAAGCGCCGCCACGACGCCAAATACCCCCATCTCTACCACGGCAGCAGTCGAGACAGCAGCGGTCTCCTGCTCAATCGCCAGCAGCAGTCCGACCCAACCCTCTCTCAGCCCGGTTCCTTCGATCCGAGTCTCGAAATGGCCCAGCCTCGTCGCTTTGCAGGCGCGAATACGGACTCGTTTGCCAGTAGTTCACGCACAGAGGCCACCAATCCTCGAACTGGACGCGCACCATCGCGGACTCGACTGCAGCGGCCGATGCAGTCGCCTAGGAGCAGTGACTTTGAGATCCGGGTGGCGTCTCCTCGGTAGTTCTCGCGATTATATTGTTTTTCCTTTTTCTTTTTCATGTTTTATTCCGGCCACCGACTACAATATACGATACCAAGATCTCTGGATGGCACATGCAAGCAAGGCGACGCGACGTTATCTGTCGAGTTAATCTTGCATTGATCGGCGTTGTCAGGAATGTTTGATGATATTGATTCATTTATGCTAGGGGTTTTTTATCTGTAAGCTTTGATTGTTTCAAATGACCGTGAATTGACTTTTGTTCCAACATTACTTGCTTTTGTAGTCGTGATTACCATATCATACCAAATCTATATACAGTTATGAGACCGTAATGCTAACAACCTTGATATCCTCCTCCGGCTTCTCCTTGTACGTCTTCGTATTCTCAATCTTATGCACGACGTCCATCCCTTGCACCGCCCTCCCAAAAATCGTATGCTTCCCGTCCAGCCACGGCGTTTTCTCCGTTGTAATGAAGAACTGGCTTCCATTCGTGTTCGGCCCAGCATTCGCCATGGACAATGTATACGCCTTGTCATGCTTCAGAGTCGAGAATTCATCCGGGAATTCGCCGCCCCAGATCGACTCGCCGCCTGTTCCGTCGCCAAGCGGATCACCACCCTGGATCATGAACTTGCGGATCACACGGTGGAAGATGGTATTGTTGTAGTATCCGTTGCGCGCGTGCGTGGTGAAGTTCTCCACGGCCTTTGGTGCGGCTGACGGGAAGAGGCGGAGGTGGATATCGCCCATGGTGGTGTGGAGGACGGCCGCTGTGCCGAGTTCATTAGCGCGTTGCGTTGTTTCCTTAGCCCCGCGACCCTCGCCAGTTTGGATGCGCTCGTTGTGGACGTCGCGGTTGGACTTGGAGACGTCGGTTTCGTTAGTGAAGAGGTAGAAGCGGACTTTGGCGAAGCCCGTGCTGACGAGGATTGGGTCACGTTCTTCGGCTTCTTGGAGGAGGGGGTTAGAGCTGGCTGCCATGGAGACTGTTGTGATTCCTTTCTTCTGTGGCTGGCCTTGGTACATGGTTAGGTTGAGGGCGCGGAAGGGTTCGTCTTTACCGTATACCCGCACCACTCGGTTTGTGTATGTGTTGATGCATTTAATGCCGTAGAGGGAGCCGTAGTGGATGAAGTGGCCTGACTCGTCGAATACCACATTCACCCGGGGGATGGTGACTGGGTTCTCTACTTCTCGTTCCGCCGCTAGTCGCCGTCCAAATTCAACTGTGTCCAGTGGATAGATTGCTGTGCCGGCTTGTTGCATGTCGCTGATTGTGCCGAGAGATTCATCGTACTTGCGATACAGCTTTCCACTGGCGAAATCGAAAATCCGCACCTGGCGGTCGGGGAAGGAAACCGTAGCGAAGTGTTGGCCGGTCGGTGAGATGGACAGCGATGCTGGGGTCGACTTTGCCTTCTTGAACTCGAATAAGTTGGTTGACGACTTGAGCTCAAACACGTTGTCCGGCTTCTCAAACGAACCGTCGCCGGCTCGCCAGTACTCTATCATACCCGATTCGTCTGCAGAAACGACACAGTCGAATGTGTTATTGAATGCAATTGTAGCCACCGGAGTCCGGTGTATCGATTTGACAGTATGTAAAGGGGTAGGATTCGTGCCACGGCCATCGAATATCTGGATTGTACTGCTTGACTCGTCTGTCACAGCCAATAATGGTATCGATGCGCCTCGTCGATGCACCCAGCAAACGCAACGGGGGATGAATTCTAGACTGAGCATAGAGAGAAGATCTGGCGAGTCAGCATTGTCCCCCGTAAACACTGGAGGATATCCATACCAAAAGTAACAACGTCAAAGATCTTAATAGTCTTGTCTGCTCCAGTCGTCGCAAAGCTCCTCCCATCAGCGCTGACACTCACGCTTCGAAGCTTCTCAGGAGGATGCGCCCGGAACTCTTTGACAAACTCCACACCCACGGCCATCTTCTTCCAGAACTTGACAAACCCATCGACCGAGCTCGTAATCAGGAAATCGGTAAACGGAGTCATAGTCACGAAGGATAGTTGGTCCTTGTGCATGAGCGACTTGGAGTACCGCGACGACGCCGGGAGCGCATTCACGTAGACCTTTTCGAAAGGGAGCTTTCGTCTCTTTTTCTTTGGGGCATCTGCAGACGGTAATGCAGGACCGAAATCGTCTTCGTCTGAGGACTCATTCTCTATAGCCAGTGTCTTGTTAGCTATCCGTTCTCTGTAGGATCCTGCTGCGTGAGCTCAGGTGCAACAAACCGTCTTGGTCCACCGCCTCATGGGGGCGTTTATTTGGAGGGAGTCGCGAATCAGTCATTGAGATTTTTAACTCTTGTAATAAGCAATAGAAGGCAATGGAGCTTTGTGCTAGCAGCAGTGGTATCGCGGAGACAACAAGACACAGGGAGACGCGGGCGGTGTGCGGCGGCTTTTTCTCTTTTGGGACCAACTTTTCTGTCCCGCATCGAAGAGTCCCAGAATCCTCGACTTGTCAACCCCCTGAGCTGCCAGTTCACTTATAAGTCAGGTAGCTGTTTGTTTCTTTAATATTACATATTCATCATGGTACGTTATATTGCCTTGCTCTGCTCGAGTTCAATCTGTCTTTTTTCCGGTCCGGTATGGACAGCTAACCGTTGCAGGCGTCCTTCGCCAACCCTACACAAATCTTCGCGGACGATGTGATCGAGGAGAAAGGAGAGAATGCCCGTCTTTCTGCCTTTGTCGGTGCCATCGCAGTTGGTGACTTGGTGAAGACGACGTTGGGACCCAAGGGAATGGACAAGATCTTACAATCAGCGTACGTGGATGCGGGGTGACGGGACAACGAGAACTGGGGGCAATGCTGATATCGGTTTTCATTTGAACAGATCGACCGGTGATATTCTCGTGACAAATGACGGTGCTACGATCCTCAAGGCGATTGCCCTCGATAACGCCGCGGCCAAGGTGCTGGTCAACATCTCCAAGGTTCAAGATGACGAAGTCGGTGACGGAACAACATCGGTGACCGTGTTGGCTGCAGAACTCCTCCGGGAGGCTGAGAAGCTGGTGGACCGCAAGATTCACCCCCAGACCATCATCGAGGGTTACCGGATAGCCAGCCAGGCTTCCCTCGCCGCTCTCGAAAAGATCGCCGTCGACCGCAGCAAGGATACGGAAGCGTTCCGGAAAGACCTCCACTCCATCGCCCGTACCACCCTCAGTTCCAAGGTTCTTTCCCAGGACCGCGACCACTTTGCCTCGCTTGCTTGTGACGCCGTGCTCCGTCTCAAGGGCTCGACCGATCTCAGTCATATCCAGGTCATTAAGAAGGCCGGTGGAAAGCTTAGCGACTCGTACCTCGACGAAGGATTCATCCTTGACAAGAAGATTGGTGTCAACCAGCCCAAGCGTCTGGAGAAGGCCAAGATCCTGGTGGCCAACACTGCTATGGACACGGACAAGGTGAAGATCTTTGGTGCTCGGGTGAAGGTCGAGTCGACGGGCAAGCTCGCTGAGCTCGAAAAGGCCGAGCGTGAGAAGATGCGCGCCAAGGTTGAGCGGATCAAGTCCCACGGTATCAACTGCTTTGTCAACCGCCAGCTAATCTACAACTGGCCCGAGCAACTGTTCACCGAGGCTGGTATCATGTCGATTGAGCACGCCGACTTTGACGGTATTGAGCGTCTGGCTCTCGTCACTGGCGGTGAGATTGCATCGACCTTTGAACACCCCGAGCAGGTCAAGCTGGGTGGGTGTGACCTGATCGAAGAGGTCATTGTGGGTGAGGATACCCTTATCAAGTTCTCTGGCGTTGCTGCCGGTCAGGCGTGCACAATCGTGCTGCGTGGTGCCACGGAGCAGCTGCTCGACGAGGCTGAGCGGTCGCTGCACGATGCGCTTGCCGTTCTCTCGCAGACGGTCAAGGACCCCCGAGTGACCCTGGGTGGTGGCTGCGCTGAAATGGTGATGTCCAAGGCCGTTGAGCACGCGGCCCAGAACACAACTGGCAAGAAGCAGCTTGCAGTTGACTCGTTCGCACAGGCTCTGAAGCAGCTCCCGACTATCCTGGCAGACAATGCCGGTCTGGATTCGAGCGACCTGGTGACCCGGCTACGACAGGCCATCAACAATGGCATGTCCAGCTCTGGGTTGGACCTGTTGACGCCTGGAGGCGGTATTGCGGACATGCGCGAGCTTGGTGTTGTGGAGAGTTACAAGTTGAAGAAGGCTGTTGTGTCGTCCGCTTCCGAGGCGGCCGAGCTTCTGTTGCGTGTGGACAACATTATCCGTGCTGCTCCTCGCCGTCGTGAGCGTATGTAAAGAGGAGGATTTTGTTATGTACAGGGGAGATGCTTTGGAGTCTAATCTAGCGATAGATGTGGTATGGTAATAAAAGCATGAATTCTCTGAAGTAAACCAAGTCTTGCATGTATGAGCGACTTTCTCTCGCGGCTTTTGCCCAGCCACTACCAGGGGTAGTGTCTAGTACTTTTCGCATAATAATCCCCCAACCTACCGCGAACATGTCCGTTCCTGCAGAATGCATGGCGGCTGCAGACCTGCAGCATGTCACATCAAAACCTACATTTTATGTTTCGGTCGTTCTCTATTGAGGATAATGGAATGTCATTCCGTTCTCATATAAAACTTATAAGGTATTTCTCGTGTTCATCTGTCGAAGGTAAGCTACACTCCGGAATTATATATTAGCAACCATAGTCTGACAATAGACACTAATACACCATTTAGCTTATGGCATCATATGGTATCCTTGTCACTCGAACTATTGCTCCCATGCTTTGTTGCCGTCTTGTACTCTGAGTATTTCCCGTTCGATGTCAGCACCCATCGTGTGTTGAATTCGATCATGACCTACGGTTGAAATAGCGCTGCTGGTCCAAACGGTATCTCCAGGGACCTCGGGATCGAGAAGCTCTCGCGTGTCGACCAAAAACATAATACGCTGAAAATCCAGTAAAGAAAATTGAGTCGAAGCAATGGGATGCTGCCATGTGAAACCAGGGAAGCCCTGTCGTAGGGCTAGTTGGTGGTCCAAGCCGTATAAGAAGGATTCATTATATGAAACTCTCTTTTACCACTCACCTTTACATTGCATCCTACGGCATTCACCATATGTAGCTGACAGTCCAGAGAAATCACCATTTCAAAACGGTTTTTTTTTTGACAAACAGATCTATAGGTATGATAATGAATGAATGCCTCCTGCTGGCCTATATAAAGGACCCCATTTCTCCCTATTCTCTCTTCTTTTCCATTTTTTCTTTCCCATCTACTATCATATCACTGAATAGTGTTCTATCAATATCTGCAGCTCTGCAGCCTACAGCAACCAACTTCGGTCACTCGACTTTTTGACTTCAAGGTACGTCCCATTCTTATTCCGCGAGACTGGCTGCTTCAACCTCCATAACGGCCTTGGAAGCTCGTACCGCTTTATTTATGGCGGCCGCTCGAGAACAACTGCCCGAGAGCAACTGCCCGAGAGCAACTGCGGCAATTAGCATGGATCGGATCGGGTTGGCAAGTTGATCTGTGTGTATCTGGTTGGCTATGACGGGAATGGACAATCTGATCTGCGTTTATTTTGTGACAAGATGAACGGAAAAATATGCGGAAGAGAATATCTGGGTAGAGTATCATCCTGTCACTAAGGGTTTATGTCAATGGCCGGCAAACTTGGGTACCAGCACTCTGTAAACAGTCGTATTGCTTAGGGTAAACTAGTAGTCTATACGTTACGGTAGCCCCGCTAGTGGATCATGTCTCAAGTAAGAGTCGTTCACATTGATGAAGCTTAAAATGTTGTCCTTGAATACCGTAGACGTTCAGTTTATACAGACATAGACTCATAGTACTTGTAGACGAACGATAGAAGATCACAGGACGATCAGTGTCAGTCATGTTCATCCCTGGGACGGGACTCCACCGATCGATCACCCGAGATCTATACACCCAGAGTAAGAGCACTTGTACTCTGTATATTCTGTGCATAGAAGTACTTGATCATGTTGTATACTCCTGAATATATTTGTAGTCTCTAGTCGAGTCTATATAATATACTATGCTGTCTCCTTTCCTATATATAACTTTGCCGAGTCCGGACTAGACCCTGAGCGCCAAGTCTTGGTATTACCATACAGAACCATCCGTTTTCATCTCTGCTGCCGATAGGCTCTCCCGATTGGCCAGCATAGCCCGCAGCCAAGGATCGCCAAGGACAGTGGGGCCTGTAATTACAGACTGTGACACCCCCGAAAAATGGCCGTCTTCGTTTCTTCTTTTCTTCCTTTTATTCAGGCATCCTCTTTATTCCTTTTTATTCTGTCCTCTCTCACTCTCGCTCTCTCACTCCCACCCTCGCTTTCATTCTCTAGTTCTTTTCTTCTTGTCCGGTTTGCTTCTTTCTTTCGACTCGTCACTCGTTTATCATAACTGGCAGCGACATGCTTCTCTAGACATCCTATACCGATAGACTCTCCATCGTCCCTGCTCCGTTCTCCGCGCTCGTTCCGACACTCTCCTTTCTTTCCTTTCTTGAGGGTCCTGTGCTGCGACAATGGCCCCTCAATGGCTCCAGACCCTCTTCCTGGCCATGATCCTGGCCGGCCAGGGAATTGTCAACGGCCTCACTCTGAACGTGGATGATGAGGGTGGGTTTGCGCTTAAAGCGGGTACCATCTCTGCAGCTAACAGACCTGCATAGCATCCATCAAAGATATCGCCGGAAAAGTCGCCTACAACACCATGTCTTACTATCACTCCAATGAATCCTCTAGCGATCTCATGCCCGGAAAGCTGCCCGGTACCTGGTGGGAAGGCGGTGCCTTATTCATGACCCTCATGCAGTACTGGCATTGGACCGGCGACAAATCCTACAACGATGTCACCCAGACCGGCATGTTATGGCAAAAGGGCAACAATGATTACTTCCCCGACAACCAAAGCAATTATCTCGGAAACGATGATCAAGTCTTTTGGGGCTTGGCCGCCATTACCGCCGCCGAACTCAACTTCCCGGAGCGCAAGGGCGATTCCTCGTGGGTATCGCTGGCCCAGGGTGTGTTTAATACTCAGGTTCCTCGATGGGATACGACCGCTTGCGCTGGTGGTTTGCGCTGGCAGATTTGGCCCTACCAGGGTGGATACATGATCAAGAACGCTGTCTCCAACGGTGGTCTCTTCCAGCTGGCCGCTCGTCTGGCTCGCTATACCGGCAATCAAACTTATTTCGACTGGGCCGAGAAGATCTGGGATTGGAGTGCGACCACCCCGCTGTTGAAGCAATCCGACTGGACCATTGCCGATACGACCAACATGCAAGCAAACTGCACCGATCATGGCGACCTCCAGTGGACCTACAATTATGGTCAATATCTCGGTGGGGCCGCCTACATGTACAATATTGTATGTTCTTCTCCAATTCGATCTGGGATAGGGTGAGCTAACGTGAACAGACAAACGGAGACGCAAAGTGGAAAGAAGGCATTGACGGCTTGCTTGGAACCACCTTCCGAACATTCTTCCCCAAGAAGTATGGCAGCAAGACCATGTCCGAAATCTCCTGCGAACCGAATATGAAATGTGACCGGAACCAAGACTGTTTCAAGGGTTTCCTGTCTTCGTGGTTGACGAATATGGCGGAGATTGTACCTTACACGCACGACCAGATCATGCCTGCGATTCTAGAATCAGCCCAAGGAGCTGCCCAGCAGTGTTCGGGCGGGGACGACGGCACCCAGTGTGGACGACGATGGTACCAGGATACCTGGGATGGGTCAACGTCGATGGAGTCGGACATGAGTGCGTTGAGTGTCATTTCATCCACCATGTTCATGCACAAAAAGAACAGCCAGGGGCCCCTCACTGCCGATACGGGCGGAAAAAGTAAGAGTGATCCCACTGCGGGTGCCGACGACGGAGACGAGCAGCCTGGTGAGCTACCGGATATCTCAACGGGAGACCGTGCCGGGGCTGGCATTGTGACCGTGGTGTTTGTGGCCATGTGGGGTGCTGCGATGACCTGGATGGTATACGGAGGTTAACCATAGTGCGTTTGTTGCTGCGTTGTACTTGTATATATAAGCAGTCGTTTTTTTTTTTTTTTTTTTTTTTTTTTTTTTTTCTGTTGTCTTTTCCTTGGGTGTATATTCTGTTATTGGGTGGCGTTTGGTGAGCACATTTGCAAAGATCGACTTGTATAGTTTCTGCTCGGTACTCAGTGATATCCGCATGTAATACGTTTCATTTCTTCTTTGGGCCACTTTAGTCTGTATACTTGCGTGACGTCGATACTAAAGCGGTATAGCATGCTAGAAAGAAGCCCTCCATTGCTGCTTTAATTCCAAATTTGCAGAGGCCGTCACAAATACATGCACAAGCATGTTGATGCTGGGCGTCCATAATTGTCTCGAATTATGCAACTGACTGTCATCTTCATACCTTTGAGAAACTGGCCCGTATTCGTATCATGCTCCGACACGGGAAAGTCCCTGACACCCCACAGAAATACTAACCGGTCTCGACCCGCTTGGCGACTTGTATATTCTGCCGCGCGCCAAGAGCGGCTGGTAGTTTCCAGCAGACGGCTCATCTTTACACCGTATGTCTCGCCAGTCATATCTGATGGTATCAGTATGGGCCGGGCCATCGGAGAGTTTATGCTTTCTGTATTGAGACTGCTCATGCTCATTCCGTCCAACCTCGAACTCAAGTCCCATCAGCTCGTGCTCTGACTGCGACTCACAATCCGACGACCTGAGCGTCCTGTGCAATATGAACGGTTTGACGCGCGGCGGCATCGACGTCCAAGTCTCCTATACGAGCTGTTTTACCGGACGTGTAGACCAAGACGAGGCCGATGATCACTTGATCTTGGAAGTAGGCTGTGGCTGTGACGATTGTCTCTCTGCAGCCGCCGTCATTCTGTCTCTCGGAGTAGAGTTTCTGTACCTGATCGAAAGGACGCTGCTGTTCTGGGACATACATCTGAGCCCGCCGTCCGTTTTCGGAACTGACTGCTCAGAAGACACTCAATATTCATGAGATAGCTGTCATTTCCTCGTCCGAGCCACTCTGGCACTGGTGTCGCAGCTTTCAGGAAGGAAGGGAGTGAAAGTCCGGAGAGCGAAATGTCACACTGCGAGAACGCGTCATGGCATGCAGCTGTTTTATGAAATGGGTGAATTTTCCGTCGTATCGCAGCTTGTCATGGGGGATTTGATGGCATTCATGACCAAGAGCACTCGGTTTCGGTGCCATAGATTGCTCAAATTGTTGGGACTGAGCATTGACTTGGGAAAAGCGCTTTTGCCTAGCCTTGGTCTGATCTGTCTAAAGAGAAACGAACCCAGTGATAGTGTTGCCGGGCGAAATCGGTATTATCTCAACAGATACGCTTGAGTTGATACGGTTGATACACTCCCCTTTTGAGCCACCGATATAAAAAAGTAATTATGTAGCCACCGTTGGAGCCAAAAAGTACAGACTTGTTAGGGTAGAAAATTTCTATTCCCATGAGTGGGTGAGGAGGGATGTCATGTGGAACGCAATCATTGCCAAGGATCCGAGAAGATGGCCCCTTGGGCCTCCGAAGTCAGTGTTTATTAATGGTTTGAAGCCCGGAGAGGCTGGGATGGTAGGGGAGCACTGGTACTCAAAACTTTGTGTCTAGGGCCATGTGGTGTCCGCAAATGGGACTATATGTGTATACGAGACGAACCCTTTACGCCAAGGGAAACTTTAGAGAACCTCGGGGGTGGCCTAGGCCGAGTGAAACAATCTTGAAACGATCTAACCTTGCAACAAGGCAAGTCCAATTTGACCTCCCCGGAATGCCAAGGATGCCCTGAGCAATTCCTGAGCCGTTGCTACCATCCACCCAGCCCGAATTCGAATCTGTGAATATAAACTTGATTACCGTCAGCCCTTCCGAGCAAAACGCCACGCCAAGTACTTTCGCGTGCGAGGTGCACGGTATCTCTTTTCACTTCTCGGAAACTGGAATGTAATATCCGACTGGACCTGACGGAATAGGTTTATTCCTGATATAAAGCTCCATGTGCCAATTTGGACGGTGGAAATATCTATTCGCTGATGCTGCTGACGCGGTGGCATTGATTGCGTCCTATGGTAAAGCATACGGCATCCTCGCGCAAGGGGCTATCCGCGCCAATGGAGGCTAGCTGATCGAAAAAAGAACCGGCTATCTCCATCAGTTTTTCATCACTCTCGCAATCGAATGGCTGACTATATGGACCATTTCGCAAAACAGCTTCTAGCTCCACAAGAGCAGCTATGGATCCCAGCAGCTGCCGGATCCTCTTTCAATCGAGCAACAGCAGGAGTCCGGCTGTTAGAGATGCCCTGATCCAGAAGAAAAGCCAAGACCAGTCCCTTGTATCCGTAAGTTTCGGGAAAAGAAAGTCAGCCTCTTGAACAAGGAGGAGCCTACCCCGCCAGTACGACTGTGGGAGAGTATTGACGGTTGCAAGGGGGGCTAGATCTCGACATACGAGCCTGATGTTTAGGAGCTCGTCAAAGGATTGATACGAGAATATCTCGAACTTCAGTTCGGGGGAGAGTCTATTGAAGACATGCTTGAGTCTTTCCAAATTCTCACCTCTTTCTTCCGTGTCAAGGAACGGACGTGGGTGCGTTGCTCCTAAGTCATCCAGAATCGCGCAAGGGTCAGCGTAGAAGCGTGAGCTCAGATCCACAGCCTTTGGCCGCTTCCACAATTTGTGAGTTTGCGCAGCGCCCTCATTGGCGTGGCCAAAATGGGATCTGGAAGCTTCGAGACGAGTGCAATCTCCAGCATGAGCCGTGAAAGTCAAAGCCCAACAGGTTTCAGAATGGTTCGCAAAGTGTCCACTCCTACAGCCCAGTCCTATAGATATAGGATAGATGACTGACAAGCGGTGCATAGAGAAGGTTCCGGGAACGTACTATGCCTAAGCCATTTATGGTGATATCGCCAGTGGAGTACTCCGAGTAGATGCCCCGTACTTCGACGTACCAAGGGTGGCGACGGGTCTGGGGAGGGCTGGATCATCGTTATAGGGTTCGGGCAGTAGAATAATACCACAAAAAGGCGGTAAACAGAAGGCATTGTGTACCAGTTTAGGAGGGTCTAGTAGCATTATTAGCATATGAATTATCCGTACTCGTATCGCCACCCAATTGGGTAAGTAATCATGTGACTGTCTGTGCTGCGCTTGAAAAATCCCGGGAAAGTCAATTGAGTGAAATCTTTTCTGGCAGTGCAGAACACCATACTGTACCGAGTACCCTACATATTTCTGTTGGATTGTTGAGCAGTGAGAGTATACGCATACGGCGTCTATTGTGCTGCCTGACCGCTGAGGCTCAACTCCGCCTTCTCTTGGCTTCCACAGCCTCCTTTTCACCATCTTCTCTCCATCTTCTATCTCCTACATTTCCATCTCATTGCCATCTCATTGTGTTATTCTTCATCTCCTTCTGTATACTATTTTATCTCTTTCTCCGTCCATCGCAGCCAAATTGGCCCTCCGCATCTCTTCTACCCGAAACATTCCAGCCACCGCCGATTCCTATGAGACACCGGGTCTCTCTCGTCCCCCCTCTCTCCTCTTCGGCCTGCTAAATCCCCCCATAGACGCACTGAGTCGTCCACGATGCGGTGGCGGCTGTCTGGCGCCTGTTCGACTCTCCCCGCCAGCGTCGCCCTTCTCCTGCTCCCCGTTCTTGTCGCTCCGCAGCAGCTGCAGGAACCTTTCCATTCTCACCGTAACTCTCACAGCGACCATGCCCCCGCCGTATCCGTCCCTCTTCACTCGACTGGCCCTTCTCTTAATGCGATCAACGTGAAATCCAACGATGCGAGCGCCCTGACAACCCTGGCTCTGGCCGGCCCTGGCCGCGCCGTTCGAGCCCCTCCTGCCCAGGTCAGCAGCCCCTCGTCGTCTGCTGGCCTGGCGCCGCAGCTGCATGCGCGGTCCCTGCAGGATTGGGAGGTTGAGGATTTTGTCCTGCTGGCGACCGTCGATGGTTCCATTCACGCCCGTGACCGCCACACCGGTGCTTCTCGTTGGGCTCTTGAGGTCCCGAGCAGCCCTGTCGTTGAGAGCATCTACCATCGAGCCAACCGGTCCAGTTTCGACAGCACGCAGCCAGAAGACGATTTTATTTGGATTGTTGAGCCGAGTCAACATGGCAGTATCTACATCTACAGTCCGGGCCCCGATGCTGGTTTGCAGAAGTTGGGATTGACGGTGAAGGACCTCGTCGATGAGACCCCGTATTCCGGCATTGACCCGGCCGTCACATATACCGCTCGAAAGGAGACGACTCTGTATACCATCGATGCTCGTACCGGAAACATCCTGCGTGTGTTTAGTTCCCGTGGACCACTCCCGCCCGGACCTGAGTGCCGCAAGGTTGATGATGGCTTCGACGGTGTCACAGACACATGTGAATCAACAAGTGGCACTTTGGTACTTGGTCGAGTGGAATATGCCGTGGCTATTCAGAATACCGAGACTGGTGACCCCATCTGCACGCTCAAGTACTCCGAGTGGACCCCCAACAACCGCGATGTCGACCTTCAGACTCAATACTTTAGCAGTATGGACCAGAGTCACATATATAGCATGCATGATGGTGTCGTTCTGGGTTTCGACCACTCCCGCATGGAACGCCCCCGCTACACGCAGCGTTTCTTGTCGCCCGTCGTTCGCGTTTTTGACGTTGTACGCTCAGCCAATGTCGAGTCCCCCGATGCTCCCACGCCCTTTGTTCTCCTCTCGCAACCATTGCAGCCTCCAGACCCTGACTATGGGCCTCTCGATGAACGGGATGAGCGGGTCTTCATCGACACCACCGAGGCGGGTGGATGGTACGCCATGTCTGAAGAGACCTATCCGTTGGTGACGGGAAGGGCCAAGATGGCCCAGTGCTATGAGAAAGACTACTTCCGACATGGACAACCACTCACAACTTTGAGCCCTCACCAGCAGCGGGATGCTCTGGCCGGCGTGCATTCGCTCAACGGACCGCGCATCGTCAGTCGGGAACACCCGAGCATTGGTGGGTCATCGGGTACCCACGATCTGTCCCATCACGAATTACCCCACGATTTAATCAGGACTCCATCCGAGTTGGCTTTGCCTCCCGCGCTGCGACACAGCACGATCATCCGCAAGGGATGGGACAATGCCCTAGACATCTTTGTCACCCTGCTGTTACTCTTCTTTGGCACCTTTATCTACTTTAACTCGCATAACATCCAAGAGTTGGCCAAGCAAAAACTCGACTTGAAGAATATTATTTCCTCAGATCAGCACCCCTTGTCGACTCCGTCAACACCCCATGTCAATGGAGCCGCAGATGTGAAGCGTGAGCCCAGTCCAATCCGACCGGTGCCCAATGTTACAGTCGACTTGGATGTATCCGCGGAGCAACAAGCACGGGACCAGACCCCAAGGCCACGGCGAGATCGTAGTGCCTCGGCCCTAGACTCTTCATTAGCCGGCGGCCCATCCTTGGCTGCCGATGCGACGCCTCGTGTCCGGATTCGGGAACCTTCTCGCAGTCCTGACGACGAGGATGATGTGGACGAGTTGAACCTCCAGAGCCCCGAGAAACCCAAGAAAAAGGCACGACGAGGCCGCCGTGGCGGCAAATCTCACAAGAGGAACAAGAAGCCCGGGAGTGAAGAGGACAGCAAGGACCAGGAAGATCAGGTTGTGAAGGATGTTCAAAACTTTCAGCGCGTAGAGCCCGACATGCAGTTACCTCGGACTGTGCCCACTGAGATCATCGAAATGGATGGCGTTGTTCAAATCGGTCGACTAAAGGTGCATACGGATGTGGTTCTGGGCCATGGCAGCCACGGAACGGTGGTTTATCGAGGCTCGTTTGATGGCCGTGACGTGGCTGTCAAACGCATGTTGGTCGAGTTTTATGACATCGCCTCGCATGAGGTCGGTTTGTTACAGGAAAGTGACGATCATGGCAATGTCATTCGCTATTTTTGTCGTGAACAGGCGGCCGGCTTTTTATACATCGCCTTGGAACTCTGTCCTGCCTCGCTGCAGGATGTTGTCGAGCGACCCGCTCACTATCCTGCGCTCGTTGAGAGTGGCCTGGACGTGCCTGACATGTTGCGGCAAATCATTGGGGGCGTTCGATACCTCCATTCCCTCAAGATTGTGCACCGTGACTTGAAGCCGCAGAACATCCTCGCGGCTATGCCTCGTGGGCGCACGGGATCGCGGTCTCTGCGGTTGCTCATTTCGGACTTTGGCCTGTGCAAGAAGCTGGACGATAACCAAAGCTCGTTCCGTGCCACTACTGCACATGCTGCAGGGACGTCCGGCTGGCGAGCACCTGAATTGCTGGTTGACGACGACAAGAGCCCGGTCACCCAGGGCGTTGAGTCTCAGCATACAGAGTCCTCCGAACCCGCAGTGGTGGATCCTCAAACCAACCGGCGTGCCACGCGTGCTATTGACATATTCTCGTTGGGCTGTGTGTTTTACTATGTGCTCACGCGGGGTGGTCACCCGTTTGATAAGAACGGCAAGTTCATGCGGGAAGCCAACATCGTCAAAGGCAACTTCAATCTGGATGAGCTTCAGCATCTGGGAGACTATGCATTTGAAGCGGATGATTTGATTCGGTCCATGCTATCATTGGACCCTCGAAAGCGGTAAGTTTCGGAGAATCTTTGCACGAAGTTGCGCATAAACTAATTGATCTGCAGTCCTGATGCTAGTGCAGTGTTGATGCACCCCTTCTTTTGGCCTCCATCAGACCGTCTCGCCTTCCTATGCGACGTGTCCGACCACTTCGAGTTTGAGCCCCGAGATCCGCCTTCAGATGCCCTGTTGTGTCTGGAATCAGTGGCCGAGCGGGTCATGGGCCCAGACATGGACTTTTTGCGGGTGCTCCCACGGGATTTCAAGGACAGCCTGGGTAAGCAACGCAAATACACGGGATCCAAGATGCTGGATCTGCTTCGAGCTCTGCGCAACAAGCGCAACCACTACAACGATATGCCGGCGCATCTCAAGGCGCACATTGGCGGATTGCCAGAGGGATACCTGAACTTTTGGACCGTGCGATTCCCGAGTCTGTTGATGAGCTGCCATTCGGTGATTGCGGAGCTGGAGTTGACGAACATTGACCGGTTTAAGCGGTACTTCAGCCCGATGGATTGATTGATTGATGATTATGTTACGATGGTCGATGAGATATTGTGATAAAAAGAAAAAACTACGATATATCCTATATAGAATAAAAAGTTTATGATTCTTGAAGCTCTACTGTCGTATGTTCTATGGTGGGCCTCGCCAGGTTCACCGCAGATGCTGCCACACAGGATCCCAGCCACACCATTAGTCTTCTCAGTTGCTCAGAGATTCAAGAGTAAATGGAATATTCAATAGCTACAACTCTTTGCAGGCTTAAGTGGAAGTAGATAAAGTAATGTATCGAAGAAATATGCACTACGGCTGACATAAGCCAAGCGCAAGTTCAATTGGAGCTGCGCGGTTCCTTCACTTTTTTTTCTTCTCCGCGCAGTGTGAATAACACGCCCTGCTTGTCTTGTCTTTTCTTTTGTTCTTCTCTTTGGGCTATTGGAGCTCTTCTAGCTGTCTTATAGCGTTGTAAATAATCGTCTTCTGCGTGTATCGCGAATTTTACCTCTTCTCTCTTGGTCTGCCCGTCAGGGACCGCGGCGCGCATACTCCAACCAGTTATCCCTACGCCTTCGACTGAACGTCCTAAATGAACAATGCTTATTTAACCCTCTCGTCTTACCGTTTATGATCGACCGGATTTGAATTCCACGTCCTTTTCGTTCAATCCATCATCGTCGCCTTCGTTATGGTCTTTCTACGCCTCACGGTCAAAATCTACCCCCCCGAGCAGATCCAGGCCAGCTCATCTTTCTCCTTGCGCTCTATCCTCAGCAGTGATGATGCCGCTCGTAACTCGTCCGGAGTGCCGGCTGGGAAGCCAGCGAGCTTCTTGCTCGTGTTGGATAACCCGGAGGACGTGACGTTGGGTGGATTGGCGAAGATGATTCAAGAAAAGTGGACAAAGTTACGCCCTAACGTGGAGTGAGTACTTTTTATCTACTTTGATATCCTGGTCCTGGCATCATTGGTGTAACAGGGTGTGTGTTAATGAAGCTCAGACCCCTGCAGATCAAGAAGATGCTCGACGACGACCATGACACCGACGATCTCGATGTTGATATGACCGCCGCGGATGTTTTTGTGGATAGAGGCTTGGCTCAGATCGATGCTCGGGATCAGCGTGGTACTCTCCGTGTGATTCAGAAACCTACACCTTACTCGCCCGCGAGATTTCCCTCTGTGACTTTGGACTGGGACGCGGCGGCGGAGGACTACGAGCGCAGGATACTGGACAAGAGAGAAGCAGCTGCGACTTCTGTACACAAGTTTCCTACGATTATTGAGGAGGACTCCCAGGCTGGATCTGTGTCTGGCAGTCAGGATGATGATCACCAACGCACGCCCACGCCAACAGGCAACATTACTCCCACTCACCAAACCGATGACTTCGAACGGCGCCGGGATATGCCTGTCTTGTCGGTTGAAAAAGAGCATGAGATTCCCGGGTCGCCTGCACGCTGGGACGAGCAACCACACGTGCAGGAGCAGGACTCGCAAGACAACAACGAGAAAACAATCGAGGCAACACCACAACATAGACGGTTTGAGAGCCAGGAATTGGGTGGCTCACCAACCCCGACGCGTCCCTCTGCGCTGTTGTCCAAAAAAACGGCTGCCATGTCGCAACCACGCGCTCCTGTAAGCAGAGGCCGTGCCGCGAATCGTACGATCAACAGGATCGCGTCTGAGTCAAAATCCCCACTTCCGGGCAAAGGACAGTATCTGACTGAGCAGATGGCGGCACCGCTTCGTCACAAGACACGGTCTCTAACCCGGCGCCGTATCTCCCAGTTAATGAAACCTGTTGAGGATGACGAAAACCAAGGCGAAACCAACGAACAAGACAATGAAAGACGGGAAGAAGAAGGTGGAGAGGACGGCCATTTCGATTATGATGGTGACGTTGCAATGGACGACGGTAGAATTGCTCCGGATACTTTTACTTCTGCCAGGGAGGTAGTGCCCGAGCAAGACCTCCCAAATGACAACGCTCCCGAATCGCGTGTAACCCGCCTTGGTAAGAGAAAGAAGAGCCAGGAAGATTTGCAGTCAAACAAGGAGCCTCGACTCAACAGGGCCAGTACCCCAACCCAAGAGACCCTCGAACCTCGCGGTAGCAGTCCTTCTGCCATGCGGACGAGCGAACAAGCATCTTCATTTTCCGGACCTAGGCGTCGTCCAAGCATCGCGGAACAACACTCGCCTCCAAGACGGGGTCTTGGGCTCGGAATCACGAAGAGTCCCCCGCGGAAACAGCCGACCAAGCATGACTCAAAGAGTTTGAACAATGCCTCCAAGCTCGCCTTCGTCGATTCGGCCAAGAAAAGGGAGCAGCCGTCGAGCCAGGCATCCATTACTGCCGCGCCTGTGTCGTTCAGTAGTGCTCGCAAGTCGCTAACGCAGAACGATTCAACACCTGCCAAACCGCAGACCCCCGCAGACAAAGTTAAGTCGGCTTTGCGCAAAGAGGCATCAGCAGACAAGCGTCGCTCCGTATCGTTTTCTGAGAAGAACAGTGTGTTTCCGGTTACTGATGATTCTCAGTCAAGACCGCCTTCAGGTCCTGGAACTAAAGACCCAGAGAAGGCCAAGGAAAAGAGGGCAAAATCACCCAAGGACAAGGCATGGGACAAACCATCGACTTCAAGCGTAACAGTATACCCTGGAGGTGTCACTGCGGAGAAGCTTCAGCAAATATTCGAGGAACAACAGCGAGAAGCCGAAAAGAAAAAGCAGGAGCAAGAGGAGATGAACCGGGAGATGAGAGAAGCAGAAGAGCGTAATGCAAGCTCCGAGTATCTGGAGCTGCTGGCGGACATCCAAAGAACTCGGGCGTTTATCTCGGAAAACAAGGACAGTGGCCGGCAAAAGACCCAAAAGCAGGTTACCAGCTATCGTGCCAAGTTGGATGCACAGTTATTGGAGCTAGAGTACTTAAAAACCAACCCGAACAGTCACTCGAAGACTCCGGAGAAAAAGAAAAAGAAGAAGCGTGCCTCGCAAGCTGCTGCTGAGGAGAAAGGCGAAGAGACCAATACCCCGTCGTCAACCTCCAAGGAGTCTGGTTCTGCGGAAAAGACGAAGGCAGCTCGTCGCGAAAGCTCGTCGAAACGATCTACGAAATCGCCCCACAAACAAACCGAAAGTGAAGAAGTTGTCCCTATTGACATGAAGACAAATGGTGATTCTGCGCAGACCACCGATGAAGTTGAAGCTAGCCAGGAATCTGAAACGGCTCATGTCGAGACCCCTTTGCAGCCGAAGCGCAAGACAACTTCTGCTAGTAAGGCTCAAAATACAGAGCCGATTACTGCGTCGCCTAGGAGGACTAGTCGCTCTCACCGCTCGTTGCGCGCGGTTGATGGGGCTGATGCAATGGATATAGACCAACCGTCGCAGCCACAGCGTGAACCTGGGATTCAGCAAGAAAAAGAGCAGCAGTTGGAGTCGGAGCAGCAGGTGAACGGACAATATATGGAGATGGAACAAGGGGCGGGACCAGAGCAGGAAGGGAAGCGGGAACAGGAACAGCCGCAGGAGCCTGAGCCTGTACTGGAACCTCAGCCCCAGGATCGGGAAGAAGAAAATGGCTACGAAGATGGTGAGGAGCAGGAGCAGGGCCAAGAACAGGAGCAGGGCCAAGAGCAGGAGCAGGGCCAAGAGCAGGAGCAGACGGAAGCCCGAGAGCCTGAACGCGAGTTCGGACCCGAATCCGAACCCGAGCCTGGGCCTGAGCCTGAGCAGCACGAACCCGAAATAGAACCCGAGTCTGAACAGGAGCCAGCACAAGAGCGAGAGCGCGAGCAAGAACAGCAAGCCGAGCCCGAGCCTGAGCCTGAGGCAGTGCAGGAAGCGGAACTTAAATTAAAGCAGCAACCACAAGGGGCGGAGGAACTCGAAGAGCAGCCCCAAGAGCAGCCTGTTGAACAGCTCGAGGAACAACCCCAAGAGCCAGAGATGGTGCCAGAAACCTCTCAGCCCCAACCTCAGGAGCCACAGGAACCATGGCAAGCAGAACCTGGGCAGCCCGAGCAACAATCACCACAAAAGCCACAATCTCAGCAGTCTCGACTTTTGTCCCAGGAACAATCGCAGAGCTTTCCCATGTCTGATGATGTGAACTTGCCTGAAATGGAGACGATTCGTACTTTAGACCAATCGAAGAAACCCAAAGAGCAGTCTACACCGCAACCTACACCGCAACCTACCACTGAAGAACCGAAGCCAGCCTCGTTGGAACAAGGAGAAGACAAGGAATCTTCTGGGGATGATGACGAGACTGACTCCGAAACTGGGACTGACTCCGACTCTGACTCCGACTCAGGGTCCGACGACGAAGAACAAGGACCGGAATTGACCAAGGCCGATCTACTCCGCCGCGCCAACGGCGCCAACGGGACTAGCTCCGCGCGCAACAGCATGGCCAAATCCCCTGCTCCCTCGCAGCAGCAACTACCGCAATCCCAACCACTCCCGCAAAACCGCTACTTCTCACCCCGGGGCTCTTCGCAGCCCCCGGCCCAATCACAGCCTCAACCACACATCCAACCTTTTCAATCTGTCAACAAGCTCTCGAGCGCGCGCGCCAGCCTTCAAGGCCTTAGGAACGTCATCACCGCCCAAAAACAAAATTACGATGCGCAGTTACAGGAGGCGCGTATGGCGACTGTTACCCGGAAGAAGGATGTCTTCGACCCCCCGTCAGACAGTGAGTCGGAGGATGATAGCGAAAGCGAGAGTGACAGTGACAGTGATAGTGATAGCGACGACGAAAGTGATGCGGATAATGGAGATATTCATTCGACTGGGACGGTTGGGAAGTTGAGGAAAGCGTTGCAGAAGAAATAGCTGGGATTTGTTTGCTGAGGGTAATGTATCTATGGCTTGATTAGCGCATGAAATGTATAATAATTATTGAACGCATGATATCGATTTTCTTTTTGACTAGCTCATACAATCACCTAGTAGGTACATTCCTAGGATACACACGCATCACTTTAACTCCCAGTGTCCACCCGCTAAACCCTTGGCCTTTCCATTAACAAGATCAACTCGCTTTCCTTCTCTCGAGACCAAAGAGCCCTTAGTCCCAGCAAGCTCAACATCCCCCATCGTCCCATTAGGCGCATTAAACGACACCCGCTGGAACCCGTCATCCGTCCTACTGAACGTGGTAGAAAACGCACCCAGCCTCGTCGCAAACCCAGCATCCACGTCCGTCAAATTCCCGGGCTGCGGCGCAAACTTCCACGTCGATCCCGCTGGACCCGTGAGATGCAGACCGGCCGTGTAGAATGTGAGGGCAGCTGTAGGTCCCGCAGACCAGCCGTGCGCGTGCGAGATACGCGGGTCGTTGTTGTACGGCGCATACACCAATGATCCGTCGGTCGAGTAGCCCTCGATGAAGGTTGAGTTGGTCATGCGCGGATCATCGAGCATGAATCCCCACTGTGTGCGCATGAGTGCGAGTGCTGCGTCGGCTTTTCCGGCAAGATAGTGTGCTTGCAACTCGAACCCGCTGATAAAAGGGGAGACAGTCTTCCCAGCTTCCGGGGCAGGTGCACCATAGGGACCCCAGCGGGAGCGGAGGGACGACGAGACAATGGAAGATTGCTTCTCAGAAAGAGTGAGGTTAGCTTTGATTGCCCAGACATTTCCGTCCTGGGGATAGAGAGTGGTGGTTTCATTGTCGCGGTATAGTCCTGCGTCGCTATCCCAGAGGCGTTGATTGGCGGCTTTTTTGATTCCCGAGGCGATGCTGCTCCAGTTGGTGGCTGCTTGGTCGTGGAGGGTGGTTGCTAGGTCTTGGGCCTGATCGAGGACGTAGTAGAGGATGGCGTTTGCTTCGATGTTCTGCTGCTGTTAGATTTTTAACTGTCAATATAGATCAAGGAGACCTACGTGAGCACCCATGCCCAAACGCAGCCAGTCTGCAGAAGCAGTAATATTGGCCAGACCGGTCTGGTCCACACTCGACAACGCCCACTGCACACCACGCTTATACTGAATCCAGTACTTGGACAACCATGTACGATCTCCGGTCAAGCGATAGTAGTCCGACACACCGATGAGACTGTGAAGGTGATACGGAAAGCTGACTTGGTCGGTAAATGGACGTCCAGCGTACGGCATGCGGCCATTAGTTTTTTGCTGAGAGAACAGGGCTTCTAGTGCGTTCTTCACACTTTCCAGGTCCCCCGTACTAACTGCGGCGCTTTCCACCGCGATGGACATATCGCCAGGCCAGATGAGACGGTCTCGCTTTGCTCCATCGGTTAGAACCGTGCTGCCGTTGGCGATTGTGTAGTTATTGTACCACGGCACAGTCTCGGGAAGGGTGATGTTGTCGGTGGACGAGATCTCACCCAGGGTAGTCAGACTGTCGCCAGTGGACGGCTCGATCGTGCAAAGCTGGAGGGTGTATGCACCAGCATACCAGATCCGGTTGATCAGTTCGTCGTCGCTGTGGAAGTATCCATTGTACGTCCTGAGGTCTTGCGTCGGAGCAGCCGTGTATTTCACGCGAACACTGCGCACAGAAACCAAAGCCGTCGTGTTGGTCACCACCGTCATGTACCGGAATGCACCCCGAAGATGCTTCTTCTCAGCAATATACTTCCCAGGGCCTTGGCCGACCGGGAACCACAAGGGAGAGTCGAACCCCGCGTCTGCTGTCGCATCACATGCCTCGCTGCTGATCCAGAGACTGGATTCAGTAAAGGTAACGCCCACGAATGCATCAGAGGAAGAAACAGATGCGATGTCAAGAGAGACTATGCCGCCGATGTTTCGGCCAAAGTCGAAAGTCACAGATGCAGGACCGTTGAATGTAGCATTTCCTGAACCAGGGTTGGTTAGGACGTCTGCGTTCGAAACAGAGCCATTGACCTGGTAAATGGTTTCAGGAACCAGATTCCGCGTGGAAGGCGCGAGGATATACTCGTCGTATGGTGTCTTGCTGGCCTGGCTCACGGAAGCTAAGAGAGCCGGGCCTAGGAGGAACGACAGAGACCACATGGTTAAACAGCGACCGTTTGGAATGATGATATGACCAGAGAAACCAAACACACTTTTATAGCATCCTCAGCAAACAAAGTCAATCGGTATACAATCGACCGACAGCGAAACCCGGGGCAACAACAGACCGAACAAACAATAGACTGATGTCAAGCCATGTGGAGGCCATCCGGGGAATTTCCGGGGTCGGACCCTGAATGGTTCGGAACATCCGGAGGAACAGGGGCATTTATTGATGACACTGAGGTTGAGCCGGAGTGAGGGATTTCTCAGTCCTACAAAGTCAGGGGAATACGACGAAACAGACTACAGATTTGCACCCGATCAGAGGTTCAGAGTTATATTATCATCTTATTATCATATCGTACAGAAGTAACCACTTTTATATGCCCATGCCACTTCGGCATAGCAATAGTCAGGGACCCAACTGACCCTGGCCGGTGGCATGACACAATCCGGCCAATGTGATGCCCTTGGAGCGCGCGCGGAGATGGCGGGGCGATGAGACTGTTTCTTCTACAGACAATCTGAATGTCTCGGATGATGTTCGGTAGCGACAGATTGACGATGGCGGCACCCACCCGGCGCATCGTCAACGGCGGCTTGTCCGATCAACCAGACCCATAACGTAGTGTCAAGACCATCAGGCATTGCCATGTTCCGTGGGCGTTGTGATATATGTATTGCAAGCGAACCGAGCGTTCAACCATGACCTTTCACGCATCTAGGAAAAGGACTGTCTGTTACATACACCTCCGGGGGTACAGTCGTAGAGTCGACCTCCTGTGAATGGTCGGATGCCTCCCCGCCACTTCCCAGTCGTATACCATAGTCAGATCGCATAGCGTTTCGGGGACTCGTAGATGCCCAGGAATCCGAAGTAACCCCCTGGGCGATCTCAACCAATTTGCCAAGGATAGCGTATTCTAGCTTGAGCTTGATGCTGTAGGCGACCGGTTTGAACATGACCTGCACTGCATAATAGCCTGCGTACTCAGTCCCGACGACGGCGACATCGAGGATGAGGATGAAGATATTGATGACCAATAGCTGGACGAGGATCTGTCGATGTCGTTGTTCAGGACGTAGTCGAAGAAGCTTGGCCGTTTCGTATATGTAGAGTCCCGAGAGCACGAGTTCCTGGACGCAGAATCCGACCAGTTGGATGCGTTCCATAATGTCATAACCGCGGGTAAATAGATCGGCCTTTGGCGAGATAATGCCATACATAAGCACGAATACAGGCGTATGAAAGGCGATGCCATTGATGATGATCATGCAGAGCACGCCCCAGAGAACCTTTGGGGATTGCAGCACCAGGTGCAACCGCGACCAGAGCACCAGCGATTGCCCTGTGACCATTCCACACCATGGCACAAGGACGAACGAGACGGAGAGCCATGGCGAGACGTCCAAAGGGAAGAGTAAAAAGATGTATCCCAGCACGTGGGGAATCAAGCTGAAGGAAGAGACGAGTAGACTCCAGAAGTAGCATCCCCGGTATCGTCGGAAGGTAACGAAACAGACGACAATGAGCTCAACAGCATTGTACCACACGATACCGGCAAAGGCCGAGAAGATGTACCTCTGAATTTCATCGCTGTATGCGAATTCCACGTCATCGGGGATTGCCGCGGTCGACATGGGAGAGACACCACCATCGCTCAAGAGGCTTGAGTTGGTGAACGAGGAAGAGCAGGAGTTTGAGAAATTCGAGGAAGAAGAGAACAGTCGACAGAGCTGTAACTCCTTATAGGAAGAAAACGAAGCAGAAGTACAGATAAAGCAGCGATATCCCTGAGTTATAGTTTCCCCCTTTTCAGCGCTAACATCGCCAATCTTCTTTTCTCCAATAACGATAGCAGAGACAGACGACTCCAAGGAGGAGGGATGGATGCGAAAAATAGAAATAAAGCAAAAACCCTGAGGAAAATATGAGGTGGAGGGTGATCTCGATCCCCAGCACTGACGGCTGCCAACAATGAATTCTCCACGCAGGCTTCCCCTAAAGAAAAAGATTCGGAAGGTGCGCCGCGGATAGTCGAAACTTTGACCAGCGTTTTGGGTAGTATTAGACGCGTCTATGAAAGTCAAGTCATCGAGCTAGTCCACTGGACCGAGTCTGGGCGGATCGACTAGCTATCGTCAATCTTGGCGGATCATTAACAATTCGATATTGTTGCTAGAGGAATGTACTCTGTACTCCTACGGAGAGCGTGTTTCAGTGTGAGAGACGGAAACAGAGACAAAAAGGCGAGGAGGAGGAGGAGGAGGAGGAGAAGTGAAGTTGATCAGGTCACGGTTGGTCACGGGATCCCCAGTTCAACCTCATCCCTCTCATTCCACCAGGTCAACGTCACGACTCTGACATTTCGGGTGCACGCGGGGTGAATCCATGGTTTCCCCTGCTCCAACTGAGCCGGTTTCCTAACGATCGACCCGACAGTTATATCCCAAGCCTTCAGTACGGAGCTCTCTCTTTCACTCCCAGTGGCCTACTGCAATCGTTGACGTTGACAATCCAGATCTGCAATTCGCCAAGGGCATTGAACACGGAACACGAAACGGCCTGAGTAACAGGGGCACAATGGTCTAAACTAGCGAACCAAATTCCGGGTGCAGGGTCCCACTGGCTCGGGGAAGAGCTTCCGGTAGTTCGATCGCCGCCAGGGACTGTGATACGCCTGCTCTCTACGGCGTATCGAACAGCACCTATGGTACGGAGTCATTCTTATGTACAAGAGAGCATATTGCGACTCTAGCTCCTTCTGCCCGATAAGTTTCCGAATCTCCAACGATACCACGGATTGCTTGAAAAGACCCCCGGGTCCATATTTTGAGTCTAAATCTCACACGAAGCGGCGGGGTCCAGCGCAAAAGTAAATACGCAGATCCGGTAGAACGGGATAGCGACTGTATTGGCATCCCCGGTACACATTGAGAGCGCGCAAGAAAGATGAACATACCTACAGCTGTTCTACAGTAGTCTCTAGCGACGGATGGAATCAAATAACGATGCTGGACTAGTTCTGACGTCAGAGAAGAATCTGCATTCCGATCTTTCGATCAGATCGAGTGTCTTCCCGCCTGTATTCGCGAGTATTTAGAAGGGATGCTTGCCAGGAGCTTGTCCATATGCGTACAACGATTTCTATCCACTTACACGCACTCAACTCCGCGACTCATCTATCAGTACTGCGTTTCCATCATGCCCCCGAAAAAGCGCACCACGTCCAGCTCCTCCGGAAGTCCTGCCAATAAACGAGGCAGGCTGGATCTATCGGATCCGCATCCTAATGCCCAACAAGCCGAGGAATTTGGCATTGTTCTGCGGGATTTCTACCCTCCGGAGATGAGCAACGAGCGTTGTGCAGCCTACAACAATGGCACCCTGGAGCGCCCGATTGGGAGTTTGCAGAAAGCGTATGAAGAAACGGCAGACACAAGGCAGTCAATAAAACCGAAAAATGCTGTAGTGCATTGGTTCAAGACAGACCTGCGACTGCACGATAATCGGGCTTTGTACATGGCGTATGAGATAGCGCGGGATAACAAGATCCCGCTCATCTGCTTGTATATACTCTCACCGGAGGATTTGACGGCTCATCTTACCAGTCCCGCCCGCGTCGACTTGACTCTCCGGACATTGGGGCAGTTGAAGCGGGACCTAGGGGAACTCGATATTCCGTTGTATATGGAGACGCAGGACAAGCGTAAAGATATTCCCAGTCGTATTCTTGATCTATGCCAGCGCTGGGGAGTAAACAATTTGTTCACCAACATTGAGTACGAAGTTGATGAACTACGGCGAGATGCAAGGTTGGTGCGACTTTGTGCGGACAACGGTATCAAGTTTGAATCGGTCCACGACACCTGTGTTGTCACGCCAGGTGCCATTCACAGCCAGCAGGGGACACAGTACGCTGTATATACTCCGTGGTATCGCACATGGGTTGCTTTTTTGCAAGAGAATCCAGAATACCTCGAGGTCGTGGAGGAGCCTGGATCCAACCCTGACGACGCCCGAAGGCACTTTGGAGACTTATTCGACAGCCAGGTACCTGCGGCACCGAACAATAAACGATTGTCTGACAAAGAGAAGGCGCATCTGGAACAACTATATCCGGCGGGCGAGCATGAGGCCTTCCGCCGGCTCGAGGAGTTTCTGGAGGAGAAGGGAAAGTCGTACGACGACATGCGGAACATACCAGCCGCAAAGAGCACATCCGTTCTCAGTCCATACTTTGCATCTGGCTCGCTAAGTGCCAGAACGGCCGTGTCTATGGCAAAGAAGGTCAACCGGAATCGACTAAATTCCAACGAATCTGGGTATGCTTCGTGGATCAGCGAGGTTGCATGGCGGGACTTTTATCGACATGTACTTGTCCAGTGGCCCTTCATTTGGTAATACTCTCCATCACCCGCTCTGCTTTTTCTTTTTTCTTTCTAGATATACAAACTGACGTGTCTTAGCATGAACAAATGCTTCAAACCCGAGTTCACCAATCTCGAGTGGGAGTATGACAGGGACCAGTTCAACGCCTGGTGTGAGGGCAAGACAGGATACCCTATTGTCGATGCTGCGATGCGACAGTTGAAACAAGATGCTTGGATGCACAATCGCACACGCATGGTCGTATCTTCCTTCTTATCGAAAGACCTCTTAATCGATTGGCGCCGCGGAGAGCGATATTTCATGGAACATTTGATCGATGGGGACTTCGCATCGAACCACGGAGGATGGGGCTTTGGGTCTAGCACAGGCGTCGATCCTCAACCGTACTTCCGTATATTCAACCCTTCCCGCCAGAGTGAAAGGTTCGACGCGGACGGCGAGTATATCCGGCACTGGATACCGGAACTGCGTGATATCAAGGGATCGGCAATTCACGAACCGTACGAACGAGGAGCAGGGGCTGTTGCAGAGAAAACTGGATATCCCAAGCCGATTGTGAAGCATTCGGAGAGCCGAGATCGAGCGTTGGATCGGTACAAGAGAGCGTCGCAGAGCAAGTGACCAGAGCTTTGGGTACATAGAGAGCGGCGTTTCTATTCCAGCGTAACTATGTCAACACTCTGCATAGGCCAATTCTTAGCCAACTATTGAGTTCCGTAGGACTGCTTCCCTTACCCCCGCGTGCTCCCCAAAGGCATCACATGGACCTCAGCTCCCCCGGCAGTCCCCAGGCATGGACATCGCCTGGTGCAAACTCTATGCCAGCCGTTTAATGCGGAGATTTCTCTTTCCGGTGACTTCCCCGCTGCCCCGGACTGTCTGTCTCACTATCACGAGCGGCATCGCCGTGAAGTTTTGGTCATTCATCCTGTTGGCTTGCGATATTATTCCCCTCAATTCTGCATTGCTTGCCCATGCCTATTACTCGGAGATATAGCCTTAATCGGTGGTGCAGGTTTGTGTGTCTAGTTTGCCCCGGCATATACCCCCACAATTTTTTCCCGCATCGCCCGCTAACCCATCTGCTTTTGCATTGATACGTTCTGGACCATTCCCTCCTGAATATAAGGCGATATAACCCGCTGAAATCCCCCGGTCATCCTGCCAATGTCGACTTGAAATGGATGCAGCCCAGTTGCGGGATCAGCAGCAGACCACGGCCTCAGGGATAACCGATGACCCTTCCAATGGCACCGGTTCCGGTAAGAAACGATGGAGGCGCAATCGGATAGCCTGCGACTCTTGTCATATCCGTCGCGTGCGATGCGACCGAGCCTTTCCATGCTCACGCTGCCTGCGCAATGAGATCCGATGCGAATTCACGCGAGAACTTCGGAAGCGGGGGCGGATCGCACGATCGAAGCAGACGGGGTTGAATACTGCCAATAGCTCATCGGAAAGGCGTGCTGTTGAGCGCAACAATCTGACAGTAACGTCACCATCGAGAGAGAGAAATGCGTCTCCAACTGCCAGCACTCGCCAGCGATCACCTACGACGAACGACGTGACTGTGGCGTCCGGCCCCAGCATCGATGAGCAACGTGGACCGGGACCGGAAGCGAATGCTACGGAGGATTGGCTGTCATCGACACATCTGTCTTCGGAATCCTATGGATTTTTGAACGGCACAGGCTGGAGGGATGGATCTCTGCCACGGATGTTAGACTTCTGGAACGGAGTTGACTTTACTGGTCACGGTGCTCAGACTCCCCCGGCTTCGAAGTCAGCACACATCGCGCAGACGCCAGGATCATCCTCGACCACGGGCTCACTAAAATACCCTGTGTTGCAACCATTGATGCCATTTCTAGAGGGGACTCTATCTCGACGGCTGGTCTTCGATCTCTTGGAACTCTACTTTACCAGCGCGTTCTCTACTCATATGCACCCCGTGTGCCATCACATTCATTGCTACGTCCTACGAAAAGCGTCGTTCCTCACAGGCAATGCTCCTCGATCGACCAGCCCGGCGCTGTTGGCCAGCATGCTCTGGGTAGCAGCTCTGGACGACAGGGCCTTTGCCTTATCCATTTCCCCACCGCAGCGCAAAAAGATCTGTCGGTTCCTATGCGCGCTGACCATCAGATTGTTGCGGCCGTTGATCCATGCTTCTTTTAAAGAACAGGATAGCTCTGCGCCTCGCGACGTGCCATTTGCCGCCGTCGGTCCAGAGCGCCCGCCCTTGGCTAGCATGCACCACCCTCCTACGGGAACTGGAGATGACCGGGGCTTGGTAGGCCCGGCTGGCTCTCTAGACGACGTCATTACGTATATTCACGTTGCCTCGATCATCTCCTCCAGTGAGCAAAAGGCGGCTAGTATGAGATGGTTAGTTCCCGTGTAATGCCTATTTAGCCGGCAATACATTTAGCTGACAGTATCCAGGTGGCATGCAGCATTTACGTTGGCTCGCGAGTTGAAATTGAACCAAGAGATTGAGGTGGTGTCAGATGTAGACAGTCACCGAGAAGGATCGAGTCCACCTTTCGACGACTTCTTGCCCGGCTGGGGCGGTATTGATACAGGAAACTGGACCGACACATTCAATCCAGCGCGTCCTAGTTTGAACTGTGTGTGCGATCGCGGTCGTGACCGGCACGGTACCCTCACCGAAGAGCATCGCGAGGAGCGTCGTCGGACATGGTGGCTGCTGTACATAATGGACCGCCATTTGGCACTTTGCTATAACCGACCGTTGGCTTTGCTTGATGCCGAGAGCGAAGATCTCCTGCTCCCGTTGGATGAAGGCACATGGCAGGCGGGCAACGTTCATAGCAATAGCCCGAAGTCAGATGGTCCCCAATGTCCACTTTCCGGCGAAAAGAACCGGCGGCGTCTATTTCCGAACTTCATTTGCCATGATCACTCGATTTTCGGCTTCTTTCTTCCACTTATGACGATCACAGGAGAGTTGATCGACCTGAACCAGGCGCGGAACCATCCAATGCTTGGCCTGCGAGTACAAGGGAAGGAAGCATGGGATATTCATATCAGTGAAGTCCTGCGACAACTCGAAATATACAAGGCTAGTCTCACGACCTTCGCTGCGGCGGCGGCTACCGACCCAGAAGTATCTGTATCGACGGCCTTTCCGCCAGACCCCAAGACGGACAGACCACCAGTTATGGACCCATCGCTCTCTCAGGCATACTCGTGGCATACGCAGACTGTTATCGCTTACGCGTCTTACCTGGTGCATGTCTTACATATACTTCTAGTGGGGAAGTGGGATCCTGTCTCGCTCATCGAAGACAAAGACTTCTGGACATCATCTCCTGCATTTGCATCCACTATCTCCCACGCCCTCGACGCAGCCGACTCCGCAGACCAGATCCTACGGTTCGATCCTGATGTTAGTTTCATGCCGTACTTCTTCGGCATCCAGCTTCTTCAGGGCAGTTTCTTGCTCTTGTTGATCGTAGAACGGTTACAGAAGGAGGCTGGTGATGGAATCCTGAACGCTTGTGAGGTGATGATCCGGGCTACAGAGTCCTGCGTCGTAACCCTCAACACCGAATACCAGAGGAATTTCCGGCAAGTGATGCGGAGCGCCGTGGCGCAGGCTCGCGGGCGCCCTGTTGACCATAGTGAGATTCGTCGTCGACGGAAAGCAGTATTGGCTCTTTATCGGTGGACGCGCAAGGGGACTGGGTTGGCTCTATAAGTTGAACAGGCTTGAGTCCCACAACTATCGTAGCAGGGCCTTGCTTTTCTGTCCGGAGTTAACATCTTTGTATTGCAGATACGTTCATGAGGTTTACTTTGTAAAAATGACATTTTGCTGGTTGATATATATATACCCAGAATGAGCAAACTCCAAATACATATTATGCCACTACTTCCACATAGTCATCCAATATGCAATTTTCTAAGAACACAAGAACACAAGAAACTCCGACTATGCATCTCATGACTTCGTGGCGAAACGAGATAGTAAAACAAAAGAAGCCTCCCCTCTGCTATCAAGCAAAAGGAAGAGCATGAAAGCGGATGTTGAATTTCGTGTCTGACATTTCAATCATTAGCCTGCGAGGAGGTGCCTTGTTTCGAAAAGACCGGAAACTGAAATCTTCTACCTATAAAGAGGAAAAGGTCCTTGACGAACTGCTTTTCGATTGTGCCTTCGGCGAAGCTTTCGTAAGCGGTTTGGAGGACAAAGATCATGCGAGATACGAGCGATCCCGGGATGTTTTGGATGTAGTATTTCATGCTGCGACAGATGTTGCAGGCCGATTCGTAGCGGTCTTGCATGGTCAATACGCTGGGTAGACCGCCGTCTGTGGATGAGATCATGAGGCGCATGGCCCAAAAGAAGTTCATCGATGTGGCGAGAAGAAGGTCCGGATAGACTAGGTCCCGCGGAGTGAAGATCTCGAGGCTGCTTGGATCACGACATTTGAACACAGGGAAGTTCGCTACGGCAATTGGTTCAAGTGCTTCCCATGGACCCCCGTTGGGATACGTTCGGACATGTGTGCTTTCCCATAGCTGTAGTCGGCCTTCAATCTCGGTAGCCTTGTCCCAGATTGTGGTTTGCAATGAGATTAGCTCGGCTGACGTAGTGGCGTTCTTCAACATGGACGTAAAGCTATCCACTTCCGAGAGATATTCAGGGATATCCACAGCGATGTCTAACACTCGATGTAAAATATCCTTCGGGGCACCGTCACCCAGCCAGGGGACAGTCAGCCACTCCCGCGAAGCCAGAAAGGTCGGTTTTCGTAGAGCTATAGCGGCTGTGACCTGGAACCTCCCAGTCAGAATCGACTCCAGTATGCCTCGCAGGAAAACATACCCAGTAAAGCCGGAGATCGACGAAAAGCGATCGCTCAAGTCCATATCTATGCCGATAAGGCGTTCGTGACCGCAGGAGCTGAAGACCTCCCAGCTGATGTTTCAGAATGGAGTCCTTGGAACTTTGTTTGAAAGCCTTTCAATCAAGTAAGTTGGTTAGTCCAGGAGTCGTGAAGAGTCAACTGACCTCGATTATCGTCGACAAAAGCACTACGGCTAGAGCGTCGGTTGCCTGACTTTTCTCGGGATGGTAAAGCGCACTTTGAAGCTGTCCCAACACCCTGATATACCGAGCATGTCCGACCATCTCCAGGGACCGATTTTGCTGACGATTCCCGGCGAACGTTAAGGAGGCTGCCTCGAATGCGTTGCAGAGCATGGGAGAAAAGACTCGCATTTCGGCCGCCTGGCGTAGCCGGATTGTACCACCGAAGTTGGATGCATTCGGGGGACTGAATTCTCCGATCAGTCGTTCAATAAACAATTCCATGAGTGCGCGGGCCAGGGTCGGGTTTGATAAATTCTTCTTCTCTTTCTGCAAGTCTACACCTGGTCAATAAATATGCATCAGTGGTACATAATTGAACAAAAACACACCCATTTTTGGCGATATTGCACCGCTGCTCGTTAGCCTGACCGGACTAGACGGCAAAGAATGGCCTCGCGAATCTGTCTGCGTGCCAGAATGAACAAGCGCTTTCCGTTCGCCGGGTTTGCCGGAGCTTTCGGCATCAAACGAGTCTACATTATGAGGCAACGGTATGTCCTCCTGCTTGACGGGAGGGCAGTTCGCTTGCCTCCGGGTCTCCTCGAGTTCGTGCTTCAGCGTTTCGCAGGATTGCAAAAGATTCTCAATGACAGTAGACTGCTCAATAAAATGGCGGTCCTGCTTGCTGTTGCCATATTCACACTCGGATGGCGTTCCCCGCAGACAGCAGGCGCCACATGGCTTGACTCTATCACACTGTTCGCCATGAAGCTTATCAGCGACTATGGCGGGGACACAGGCCTGTCTGAAACCGCACGATGCGACGGGCATGAATAGTAGGAATAGTTACCTTGACTTTGCGTTTATGGCATTGCAAACACGAATATGTGGGTCGAATTTTCTTTCGTGCATTTTTTCTCCCGGGTTCAACGACGCCATATTGATCTTTGTCCTCTTTCTCCTGGCTCGACCTAGCACCATCTGCCATGATCAACGCTGCTTGAAGCTTGATGGAATGATCGCAGGAACAAAAGAAGGATCATTTCAAACGGCGAATGTCATTTTGCAGCATTGCCGTGGACAGATGCACCGAGGATTAGCAAGCCTGAATGTGACGATTCTGCAGAAACGGCGGCCCGGGGCTACAATTAAGCAATAGCGACAGTTAGTCGGTCGCTAAATATGGAGAGGGATCGGTAGTATTCACTTTGGTAAACGGTCTAATCCACCTAGTTCCAATCAGCGACGCACAGGTGTGGATTACAATAAAAAAAATTATTAGTCCGTGGCGTCGAGAAGCGCAAACCGCGGGAGCACAGATGGAGCAGTTTTACTCGCGGTGCAATAATATCCAGAACCTTGAGCCGGAACCGTGGCCTTGCCTCCCAATTCGTGCTCGTACAGAGTACTACGATTTCGGAAGGGCTCCCCGGCTGGACGGAAGTATAACCTTGTGCGCCTGCACTGCGAAAAGCCTGGAGGCTCCTTTTTGACCTGCGTGGCGAAGTTCTGCGTTAGGTTTCTGTCTGTCGATCGGAACCAGATCCCGCTCTCATTGTTGTTTGTTTATTATTTCCCTTTCTTTCGTTCTCTTCTTTCACTTTCTCGGCCATTCATTTGCTACCCCCGGAGATTGGGATTGTCAAAGATACCGTCAATGACCATGTGCTTCGGGCATGAATGATCATCGGGCCACTGACAGCAGAAGGCTCGGGCCGGGGCGTTGGTCGTTTAACAAAAATCCGTCCGACAAGAACAGACACAACACCGTCTGTGGAGTGCAGAGTACTCTGTGGAGCATATTCGAAATAGTAACCGTCTCCAGTAGTGTGAGGAGATTGGCATGCTGATTTCCTGTCTGGTATAGCGAATGCAATCCAGCTTCTTTGCTCTTTAGGCTATCGACCACCGTCAGCCGCAAAGGTTTGCTCGTATTACCACTTTCGAAGCCGAGAGTCACCCCCTCTTTCCAGGCCACTTGGAGGGATCTTCCCGCTATCCCCGCCTGGAACCTTTCGCTCGCATCCAGGACAGACTTCTTGCGGCGCATCGGGTATGAAAGAGAGGTGTATGTAAATGACACATGACTGCCAACTTTTGGACATCGACCAGCGTGTCATCTGGTGCAAAGGACGACACTGTTAGCAAGGATTCATATGCCCAACACGTAGGGATTAATATCCGTACTGTCTAATTTTATATCCTGCAGTGTCGATGTCGAGGCACATGCAATGTGCTTTTGACCGTCACACTTCTTAGTCACCTTGCAGCGAACAATAATCAGGGTTTTTAAGAATGTGACAATGTGTGATGTGCTGAGGGACACGATCTTGCTAGTGATTGAGCTGAGGAAGGGAAGATGTTCGTTTGTTCGCGGGAAGAAGTCAGACAAGGCCAAGTCACGGGACAGCCCAAAAAGGTAGGGGAGTGAATTGCCCTTAGACGTCGAAGAAGACACCAGTTAAGATACTGCGTATTCATAGACGTTTACATTCTTGCCAACGGCTCATTCAGACGGCTTTATGTCGGGAAGATTGACTATTAGGCAATAAAATAGAACAAAGGAAAGCAGACACAGAAGTGCGGCAGAACGCGGTTCATTAATGGGCCAATCTAATACAATACAAAGTATGGCAGGTACATTCTAGCAGCTACCACGAAAGAAAAAAGTGAGGGCCTATGGGGATTGACACAAAGACTCCATAGTTATTAGATGCTGATGATATCAGTCGTAGCTGATCCATCTTCAACGGGCCATACCACTCTAAAAAGCCTGGCCACCAAAGCCAGCAGGAGCCGGAAGGGTGGGCTTAGGAGTAGCCACGGTCTTCCAGGTAAAGGAGGGCAGGGCGGGCGCAGACGAAGCACCGGGACCGGCTTGAGAGTAGGCAGGGACGAAAGGAACGCCAAATCTCTTGACCATACTAGCCGAAGCGGACGGGGTAGCGCTCGAGGCACCAACAGTACTGGAAGCGCCTGCAGAACCGCCCTGCTTGCCAACACCGGCGTTGGCGACAACGTACGAAGCCACCTTGCTAACATCCATAACGTCCGCCTTGCCTTCGTCGGAGGGCCAGTCGGAGAGAACGGACTGGTCGCTGGTGGTGAGGTTGCCCGAGCTGACGAGAGAGTTGGCGACGCAGTTACGGCCCAGAGCCGACTTGCAGGCAGACTGGTCGGAGCTGGTGACAGCAAAGACCTTGCCAGAGTCCGGCTCGGAGGGAGTGTCGACCTGGGCAAAGACATTACCCTCGATCAGGACGTTGGAGTTCTCGCCAACATCAAAAGCATGGCCGCTGTTGTTGAACCAGTAGTTGTTGTAGGCGTGCCAGTGGTTGGCGAACTCGACCTTGGGAGAACGGCCGGAGGTGTGGTGGATGTAGTTGTTGGCGAAGGTCACCTTGTCGTTTTTTCCATAGCCGAGACTATAGGGAACACTGTTAGCGGCGAGTGTTTGTCGCACAGAGATGGAATACTTACACGCTCCAGTAGTGGTGGCCATCGCAAGAGGCAGACCAGCTGGTGCGGCCGTCGAATTCGCTGTTAGAGATAGTGACACTGCCGCCTGTGGAAATTGGTTAGTCTGTATCGGGCATGGAGGGTCTGGGACGGTGCTTACTAGAGTCGTATCCAGAGACGAACATCTGGCGGCCGACCAGAGAGACCTTGACGTGGTCAATCCAGATCTTGTCGGTGCCATCCAGGGTGATAGCATCACCACCCCAGATGTATTGAGGGTTGAGCTCCGTAATGTGAATGTTCTGGATGATGATATTCTCAACACCGCTGGTCAGACGCAGACCCTTGCCGCGAAGGACACCAGCGCTACCAACACCGACGATGGACTTGTCCGAAGCAACTGTCAAGCCCTCGAGACCGGCGTTGTCGTAAGTGCAAGTCGTCGACGGGTAGTCGCCGCACCAGTCCGAACCGTCAGTCTTGATGGCATTCTGGCCGGAGCTGCCACAGCTGTTGGAGTCAGGGATGCAACAGTCGCAATCCTCGCAGGTGTCTTGGCCGAGGAAGTTAAACTCCTTGTCAATAAGGATCACACGGGGAGTGTCGTCGCTCAACCAGCTCTTCAATTCGGCAATGTCACTAGGAGCCGCAGGGCTCGCATCACCCCCACCGGTAGTACCACTGGCAAAACCGAATGCGGTACCCTGGACACCTTCAGCAGCATTGGCGTAGGCGCTCAAAAGAGCCGTCGCGGCAAGAAGAGAACGGAAAAAAGCCATTTCGAAGAATTCTCAGAATCCTCACTCGACCGGGTAACGAAAGCGAAAGACGAAAAATGAAACAAGGAATGACTGAACCAGCAGCTCTCAGCGAAAGAAAGTACAGATTGGAACGAAGCTGAATGGGTTCTAACTACCCGGATTGTCAACACTTCTTTATACTTAGCTACATCTTGGACTCAGTTTGTAGTGATATCAATCTGGAACAGATGACGACCGTGATACTTCCCCTGCACCCCCTTCGCATGAGAGGCGTCTGTGCCTCAGCAGGGTCAGCTCACCCCGCCGGGGCCAATCCCTGAGATGTGGGCGCCATCCGGTTAGAGATTGACAACGGCTGTCCGGCTGAAACAGCAGGCGTTGTTCTTGGCAGAGAGACCCAGGAACCAGACATGTCTTTGTCATCTGTCTGTCATCCACCATGGAATATTTGGCTTGTTGGCTGTCATTACGGTGCCGTTGTAGCCCTTCGGTGATGGTGCCAATCAGTCCTCCGAAAAATGCATACCCATCACCTGCCAAGGTGTCAACGTCTGCAAGTACGCTGATAAGTCGGGAGAATAAGGGAAGCGGAGTCTTCTGTAGATCGACAAGGCCACTTTCTGAGTCTTTGCTTCCGATGGGCCGTTGTACTCTACTACTCTGACCATGGCTTCGGAGATTATCCACGACGGGGTGTATCAGGGCCTTCTTCAAATAGAGAAACGGCAAGTGATCAACAGGACGGAGAAGAAGTTGTTCCGTGCTTCCACGCGTCGTGGGTCCACTTGTTTTGGCTCCAAGATGGTTATTCTAATCCTCTCCTGTCTCGGTGCGGCAACAGGCAAGCTTGAAAAGAGGGCAGTGGCAGTGTCAGGCCCTGTATCTGGAACTGGAGAACCTGTCAACCATCCGTTTCTTGCATCTCGATCCAATCCAGAAGGGTTACTGACTCGGGGAATATACGTTAAATATCGCCCGAACAAGGAATCGTCTACGACCCGATGTTTTGCCGTTTATTCATTCTCAATTCGTGCAAGGCAGGACAGGGTCTTTTGGGGGGGGCGCTTTAGCTAGAGGGGCAATCAATCTGCCATTTCCATGCCGACTATGCTCGTACCTTAGTCCTTGAGTTGTCCGGCCACTTTTCAACTCTGGGGAATCTCACCGGTGGCCGCTCGCCACGTATAAGGTTGGCCCCAAGTTGCTACCAACTTCCGCGGTTATAACATGTCCATATGGGGACACCACGATGTATGCAACTGCCATGACAAATTTGGAAATTGCATATTCGCGTACAAGACAGCGCGACAGTTTCCTTGTCATTCTTCGCACCATTCAACCTCCATGCGTGCCAATATCGTTTTCAACGTCTCATACGACTTCCCGAACGTACAGGGTGTCGTTCGATGATACTCGAACCTCGGGCGCATTCCATAAGAGCGCAGCAACCAGGCTCAAAATAGTACGGAAAGCCAGATATCATTAATCTACTGCCGCAGCAATAAACGGCATTTGTGTTGATCCTAATGTGATATAATATACTCCCGTCCTCTACATGACGTTGCATTCGGACATTCCGGCATGGGATGATGTGGTAGGTTATGGCAGGGATGTCCAAAGAAGACTGTTTGGCAATGTACTTCGAGCTGGAATGCATCGCATTACACGTCTGCCCAGCTGTAGGATTCAAAATGTGTGAAAGACTGAGAATATGACTATATTGACAACCTGCTCATCAGCCCAAACTGACGTACAGTACATTCTACAGAAGCAAAGACGGCGCGGAAAATTCCTTCGACCTGCTTCCAAAGACGCTTTTATGCCCACTTCCCAATCAATGCCATGATACCCGCGCCCAGTAACATACAAAACACCGTGTACAACAATTGAGACCGACGCTTGGTCCGGCACGGATCGAACAAGAAGTCTCTCGCCAGCAGCTCTACCAGCGCGCTGTAGATCAGAATCCCAGCTGATATCGCGTTCAAAACACCCTGAACGATCAGGGCGACCTTGGAATCCGGATTGTATGTCGTCCTCACGCCCAGCCCGATGGCAATGGAAATAGGCGTAGTGAGTCCGTATGCCAGACATAATACCCAAGGAAGCCATTTGTGTCGACCAAATGGAATAGCAGACATCCGCGCACCAATTCCCAGTCCTTCGAACGATTGATGGAAAACCAGAACCGGGTAGAGGGTAGCGAACTCCTCGCCTGTGACGCCTAGGTTCAGACCGATAATGACAGAGTGGAAGATGATGCCAAACTCCAGGATCAGGAAGGCGGCAATCTGTTGCCGGAATGATCGCTCTGCATTCGAACTATCGTCAGAGAAAAATTCGTTGCTTTTGCTCCTCGTTGGTGTCGGTCTCTCGTCAGAGGCACTGGCGTGAGCATGGAGGTTGGAAGTGAGGAATGCATTCGTGGCCGACTCGTCTCGTTCAACGCCGTATTTGTGCTCAACATATACTTCTGCAGCCAGGTCCATCAGGAAGATAATCATGACCGACGCCAGAACAATGGCAGCACACCAGGAATAATCTCCCCAGTGACCAGAACTGCCAATGCAGGTATTCGGACCAATGCTGCTGTATGCGGGATCCAGCAAATGGATGAAAGCTGTCGCCACGATAACCCCAGTACCAAAATACCGAGCGAAGAGGTAGACGCTGTGCGGAATCTTCCATCCTGGGTTTCGTTTGGCGATAACCGGGAAGAAGGTAAAGGCAGTGGAAACAAAGAGAATCACAAAAATGGAGGAGATGCGCGCTCCGAGGTGGCCATTGTAGTCATTTTCAGAGAGGGCCAAATAGCAAAGGACATCTTCCTTGCTGGCCGTGCTGAGGTCCACGTTGGAAGCGTTGAAGGAAGACATGAGGATGAGAGAATGGGGGATTGGTGTCTTGTAGCCGTGTGATGGCCATGGTCGTGGGTTTCCGCATTATACCCGTTGTGCGGGAGGACCTTGGAAGCTCATGAAAGGATGATGGACACTCAAATCCTCGCGGACTGTATTCAGAGTGGACCAAGCGTATTCCGGCCGTGATCAAAGCGTGGATGCCTACAAGCCGTGCGAAGCTTAGCGGATACTGGCGAGGCATTTCACAGCGGGGACCGGGAGACCGGCAGATGCTTCGCTGAGTCTGATTGAGCAAGTTCAATAGACATGGAGCCTGTGGATAGCCGCAGTGTGCCCCACGAGCAGAAGAGATTTCATCCGAGTGGAGGACCCGGACTGCGTATACCTCGGAGATATTGGAAGTGAAAGTTAGCAGTTCGTAGGGCTGAATCGAACCATGTTTGCAATACAGCTGGTAATACCAGATCCTGTAAATTCTGCTGCCTCAAAACGGTAATTTGATATGTTGGCTGCAATGGCCAATGCATTGGCTACTGCAAAGAATTATTACAGCGCTAACCCGTATGGTTTTGCGTCACGCCTTTCCTCCGCCACTTCATCAGTGTCACCTCCTCTTTCCCTCCCACATCCTCTCTTCTCTCACCCTACTCTACTCATCTGCCATGGACTGTGATGCCCATGTCTACCGTTCGTCACACATTCTGTCCTATCGATTTTCGATCTTCATCGTTTGATCGTCTTGTGCATCCGCCATGACTTCTCCCAAGGAATACGGACTCTATGAGCCGTTCGATCTTCTATCCACCGTCCATCAAACCTACAGCGATTCCAAGATGATCGTAGTGGCCTGTCTGGCATCCTGGCTTCTCTGCCGTCTAAACTTTCGCTTTATCTGGATTATATTCATTCTCGCCTGCTGTCGAACCCAATATGATGTTTCTATCCGCCGGGTGGAACGTGTGATCCGGGATGAAGTGCGGCGATACCATTCACGGAAGACGCTTCAGCGAGGCGAGAGTGTCGAATGGGTGAACACCATTGTGGGCAGGCTGTGGCATCTCTACGAGCGACGGATCTGTGATGAGCTTGTGCGATATGTCAACAGCGAACTGGCGCGGAAAGGAACCATCGAAGGTAATCCGCAACGGGTAGTTGTACACACACTGGAGGTTATCAAGCAGCCGCTACGCATCAACAAAGTCCGAGTCATTCAGAAGCCGGAGTCGCCCAATTTCATTCTGGAAGCAGAGTTCTCTGTCAACATCCAGCACCCGAATGCGCACCAGCACTTACGCTTTCTTGACGACCCTCTGCTGGAAATGAGCATCGTCCACGAACACCCCGACCGGAAACACCACGACGTGGCAGTGCAAGTCAAGCAGTTCACCGGTTCGGGAACGGTGCAGTTTGAATTCGATTTCGAGTCCTCCCAACCGCACCTTCTCCAGCCACACTTTGAAATTCAAGACAAGCCGCATATGGACTGTACGATCAAGACGATCAGCCACCACCATTTTCCTTTTCACTTCGCGCACCACGTTGACTGGAGAAAGGTAGTTGAACGGCAGATCCGCGAGGGAATACACCGAGTCTTCCACCAGCCGCTACCTCTACCGTTCAATGTGCTAGGCGAGGGACTGATGCTCAAGATTATGACCGGTATGTGGTATTGGCATCGCTACCGAGACGGAGAAGGCTGGCTGTGATATCACGTGTGTTGCCACGCCATGTTTGAAAAAAGATCAGCAAAAGGGGCCAATCAGGGGCTGTTCCTAAACATAGTCTGCCTCGTAGGGCTGATTCTACAAGAGTTGCCATTGGCTGGAAACGGTGTTGCCTAGATCGGGTTTGTGGTGTTTTGTAAATAACATTTGAAAATTACAGTAAATACATCAATACTTGTATGCACCCAAAAATGGATTATCGCATAGTGTGCATAGTGCATAGTGAGGGATCACTCGACAACCCCTGGCCATGCCATCCATGCAACCCCAATCCCCCCCTTCAGAGCCACCGCTGTCCACAATGCCCCCGATAGTCCTGTGGGACTCTTCGCCCATAGACCCCCTAGCATGGTGCCTAGCCCCAAGCATAGAATCGCCGCAACACGTCGCCGCTGCTCGAGATTGAGCCCAACGGGACTCGAGAAGAGGTCGCAGTACACGCTCGTCAACACCACGCTGGTCAGTCCCCGGCATTCGAGAATGCGACTTGTCACCGCCTGACCACTGCTCTGGAAGGCTACCATACATAACGGAACCAGAACGCTCCACTCTTCCGCACCGAGGCGGTGGTGACGATGTAGTGTAACGATCACCGCGGCAATGCCGACCAGTAGCGCCTGAAAAAGGAACGACGCGCAAAGGGCCCAACGTCGCCGCGCAGATGGACCGCAGAATTGATAAAATGCGCCAAAGAACCACGATCCCACGCAGAAACTGGCAATCGAGAGCCCAGATTTCACCCATCGGCGGTCGGGATCTGCTTGTGCTAGTCCTAGACCTAGATACACCGTGTTTCCGGTCTGCATGCTCACAAAGGAACTCCAGATGAAAAAGGCGGAGCTGTCCAGAAGTCCGGTAATGACATAGCAGAGAAGGAGGACGAGGTCGCCTCGACGAGGTGAGACTTCCTGTTTGAGATAGGCGCGGAGGCGTGACGTAGGGTTGGGGTGTGCACGCGGTAGTAGGGGCTCGTCTTCGCGTGGCATTGTCGTTGCAATTCGAAAAAAGAGATTATTGACTTTGGTGGTCCGGGAAGTCATTAACACGGATGATGTAATCAGTTTGCCTTATTAGTTAACTAGACCATGTTACTTCTTGGCTGAGACTGACTGATTGTCGGACGTTGGAATGTACAAAAATTTTGGGGGTTATCTCGTGTCGGAAACAATCTCCAATTGCGTTTGAGCATGTGAGAAACGAATTCAGACAGCTCCCCTGAATGACAAACCACATGTTAGAAAGCAGTATCCTGGGCCATATCAACCAGCGCACGAAAAAGGTGACCAGCTGGGAGTTCACAATCGCAAGCAGGGTTATAGTTGAAACACCATCACCCTTGGCCAAGAGGTCAGTGTAAATGGCCGGATGAATAGTGAACATCGGTATAAACTCACTTGAAAACAATAGTCGAGCACTTTCCTACTACGGTGACGGCGCGAGAGCCTTGTTGTTGAGTCCGTTTAGACATTGAGCGTCAATGTTGCGCCTTGCGAGTAGCCAAGCAAGCCGTGATTCTGATTGGGACAGTCTTTTATGGATTGATTGATGATATCAAGCACAAGTTTCTCGCCGAAAGCCGTATTCGGAGGCTAACACCACCAGAAACGCTGTGGAGGGTCTTCTGGATCAAGGTATAAAACATGGTCGAAACACCTTGGGACTCAACGGTTCTACACGCATCATTGAGCTCTGTTCGATGTCAGTAGCTTTCTTTCATCTGGGTAAATATAAACCAACCGTAATCACTCGCGAGCCTCCTTTGTAGGAGTGATATTGGCATGAGGGAGAAAGAGGAACTGCGACTGTCTGCATTGGCATTCAAAGGACTGGACAAGAGACTCTGACCCGGATGGCAAAGTGTAAGCCAGAGTCAGAACTGCGCATTTTCGACATGTATGGTCACCTTTCCCATCGCCAGTCTGCTTGTATTTCGTGTCCTGTTCCTATTCGCAAGCCAAATGGATATTCAAAACACAAAGTATTGCAAGCGGGACTGGATCAATGGCAGCAGTCTACCCTGGGGGCAGTTATGTTATTTCCAGAAATGATGATGGGTGTGGAGTATAGACCTGTCCGATATATATATCTGTGCTGCGGACGTAGTGATACCATCCATTGACGGACAGTTATAGATCTCCGCTCAATACTATTATTCATCAATCATACCTATAGCCTAATAGCGCCCTTCCATGCTCACTTCGTGCTCCAATCGCATACTTTATCACAAATCTTGTTGATATACTGCCGATGTGATGCCTCGGTGCCTGAGTGATGTCATGCATCACGTGTCGCAATCACTGGGTCTGGATCAAAGTTAACTGCACTCTTGCAGATTCTTGTCTAACATGAAGCTGCACGACATGCTGTTCTCTATGTGACCGCTCCTCACCCCACAACTTCGTTCAGTCACCGATTCGATGATTTCACGGGGTATCTCAACACACCAAGATGGCACATTCCCCAGAGTCCTCCAGCCGGGCCCGAGACCTCGAACAGAGAGAGGCTGATATTCTCTCCAAACACCTCGATCCCCAGTACACCGGCTCTTACGATGAAGGATCGCCGCTTCGGGCTGAACCAGATGTTAGCCTAGGACCCTCACGCAGTACTGATAACCCCGACCAGCTCTCCTCGCTCCGGCTCCAGGGTGGTGACATCCACCGTGACCTGTACCGGATCGAGGCGAAAGCGAAACACCCGCACCGACGAACGAATACCTTCTCATATATCCCCCGAGATTCCGAAGACTCGATCGAAGACGGAGCCGCTGCCAACGAGCCAGGCAATTTCAGGCGCCATTTCCTTCGACAGAGGCATGAATTGGACCCCGAGACGGTGCCGTCATCATTCCTCGACTTCTTGGATTTGTACGGCAGCTTTGCTGGAGAAGACCTCGCAGAATCGGAAGATGAGTCGGCAATAACGGATCAGGAGGAAGGACAACCGGGGGAACGCAGGCCTTTGCTTGGACGCCGGAAGAGCGCGCGAGCAGCACGCCGCGGCGATGCGTCCAATATTCGGACGTTCTTCACCCTATTGAAGGCCTTTGTGGGTGCGGGCATCATTTTCTTGCCGAGGGCATTTCGTAATGGAGGGATTTTGTTCTCATCCATTACCCTGGTCACGGTAGCAGCCGTCAGTACACTATGCTTCCATCTGCTGTTGCAATGTCGAGCAAAGTATGGTGGTGGATATGGTGACATTGGCGAGCAAATATCAGGCCCTCGGATTCGGACGCTCATTTTGGGGTCGGTTGCGATCTCGCAACTGGGATTTGTTTGCGCTGCCATGATATTCACCGCCGAGAATCTCCAGGCGGTCTTTGAGGCTGTCGCAATCCCTGCAGGCATGTTCGGCTCGACTACAAGTCTGATCCTGATTCAGCTATTTGTCCTCATTCCCCTGGCATTCATTCGAAACATATCCAAGCTTGGACCGAGCGCGCTGTTGGCCGACGTATTCATTCTTTTCGGACTCGGGTATATTTACTACTACGATATCGCCAGCATCGCGTCTCGTCGTGGCTTGCACCCGACTGTTGAGCTTTTCAACCCGAACTCGTTCACACTCACAATTGGTTCTTCCATATTCACATTTGAAGGAATCGGGTTAATTCTCCCTATACAAGCATCCATGAAACGACCCCAAAACTTCGACATGCTCCTCTATACGGTCATGACCATTATCACCATTCTGTTTACGGCGGCGGGTGCTCTTTCATATGGCACTTTTGGCGTCGACACCAAAACTGAAATCCTCAGCAATTTCCCACAGGCCGATAGGCTTGTCAATACCGTCCAATTTCTGTACTCCCTTGCTATTCTGGTGGGCACGCCCGTGCAGCTTTTCCCGGCCGTGCGTATCATAGAAGGCAAGCTTTTTGGATTGGCGTCTGGTAAAGGTGATCCGTCGATCAAATGGAAGAAAAACGTGTTTAGAACGTTCGTGGTATTATGCTGTGCCGTCATCGCCGCCGCTGGAGCTGGAGACTTGGACAAGTTTGTCTCGTTGATTGGCTCCTTTGCCTGCGTTCCGCTGGTCTACATCTACCCGGCATACCTGCACTGGAAGGGAGTGGCAGAGTCCCGGTGGGTGAAATACGGCGATCTGACCATGGCCGGAGTAGGCTTTTTCTTCATGGTTTACACTACTGTGGCCACTGTTTCTGTTTGGATCCACGGAGAGAACCCGTGAGTCTGAAGCAGAGCTGCATCTCATTTCCCAGTCCGTAATCTGTTTCCTTGTTGCTAAACCTGATATAATTCTATAATGCCTATCCGCCCTATGCGAATGTACTTTAGATACCCTGGAAACTACAGGTACGAATAAGGCCAGAGATGTTTTTGATAGTACATAGAAATCCAACCATGCCCGATGGGGAATAGTTCCTTGCGCTAATCCCAAAGAGGCAGGCGAGCACCACCGCGTCTTCCTGTCGAACTCAAGAACACGACCACCGTCTTCCCCTCAACTCTTGCCATTAGAGTCGTCTTGTCGCTTTAGGTACTATTATCATGTACCATATACTGCCATTATGAGCGCAATGAAAGTGAATTGCGCGCTCAAAGTGATTGAGTTCGAGAGACAGTGGGGAATGACACCATGACTACGCCAGATCCACGCGAACCCAGTGAGTTCAATCTCTGGATGTCACCAAGGCCACTGCCAAGCGACATCGATTATGCAAACGACTCGATGGTCCCAATACGGCAATACGCGAGAGTTGGAGAGACTAGACAGTTCACGTCAATTCACCGATAACCGTCCAAAGTCGCTTATGGGACAGCTGCGAAAAGCTACCACGAGGAACGATGAAGCACAGACGATTTATACACACATGACTTGACCTTATGGCGGAGATGCCCGTCCTCATATGGTACCGGCGGATCCGATCTCACGCAGTGATAGTCGATCGTCTATCAACCACGGATCCGGGCTATTGAATGACGATTGCAACCCTCTATATGAACTGGATACAGTGGCAGTGACTGGTGCTTCGGAGAGGATAGAGCATGTCAAGGCCCTGTCTGTTCCTGCTGGACGAGGGGAAGTGGAGAGAGGGTGAAGTGCATGATGTCAGGGAAACCACATCCAGACTCTTTTACCTATTTAACCCTCAATTTCTTAATCTCGAGGCTTTTCCCCCTTGATATTATTACTCTTCGCACCTGATACTACTATTTTCGAGACATGTCCATGTTGTGAAGCAGTACAGCATGTCTTCTACCGACATAACCGGCAACATTGCTGTCGCCGGGAGCCCCGGCAAGGTTCCAATCCTCCGGGAGAGACTCCAATCGATTTCTCAGGAATACAAGACTCGAATTGGATACTCCACCCATGATATTAGCTCCAAATGCACGACAGTCGACACCTTCTTCGATACGATTGCTGTTGAACGACTTCGTCGCATGCCTCGGGATGGCGGCCGTTTGGATGCCGTCCTCCGACGTGCGTCGCGGTTCGCTTTCGCAGTAAGCTCGCTATGCGATGCTGTCCTTGGAATTGTATCTGCGGCAAGCGAGGCTGCCTCGCTCATTTGGGGAACGGTCTTGATCCTACTAGAGGTGAGTCGTACTTGAAAATGTTGGCATTACTTGATACTGATACGCCGCTGTAGATGGGTATCGACCAGCCAGGTAGTCTTGAAGGTATCTTCGGCCAATTTGGTCGGGTAACCATGGGTATATCCTTGTTGCTACAGGGAGAACACTATTTCAGTACTCCCGGTGTTGCACATGAAGTGGCTGAGATTTACGCGGACCTGGTCGAACTGGTCAGCCACGTCACCATGGAATATAACGATGCGTCCAAGATCCAGGACGGGGAGACAATGGATGAGAAAATCAACGAGGCATTCTATCTGTACTTCAACCGATTCAACTTGCATTGGAGACGGATCACCAGGGCCATCATGACCAGCCAATACGATACTACGCTTGATATTCCTGCGATTTACCAATTTCTTGACTTGCAGGACCGTCCTCTGCAGATGATCCTCGAAGGCCATAGCCACGCTTTGGCTGACGGTTCTTTCTCATGGTTCGATTCAGATTTGGCCTCATTTGCTATGAGCGAGCACGATGTGCTAGCCGTGACGGGTGATCCCGGGACTGGTAAAAGTGCACTGGCCCAATGGACTGCCGAGCGGTTGCAGGTCTCGGCTGAATATGATGTTTGGAATGTTATCTCGTTCCCGATTCGTAAGTTTTCATCTATTTCAATGTGATGGACGGTTTGCTGATTGAAATCTCAGGTGCCGACGTGCCAATCACAGAGCTGTCTTTGACTGTACTCAAAGGCCTGGTACACCAGATGCTTGACAGGTCAATCAATGACCCCAACGCCCAGAAGGCCATTCTGGAAGCTACCACTAGAGCGGTTGTAACTGCGTCTGCTGCCGCGCCCGACCCTCAAGTAGAGGACGTACTCTGGACAGCCGTGGAAGCGGCCCTGGCGTCCAACATCCACTTCATGATTGTCATTGATGGTTTGGACCAGATGAGAAACGCCGATGCGAGCGCAACACGCTTTCTCAGCCGCCTCGAAAACGCCATTTCCGGCCCACGTACCCCGTCCAAGCTGATAATTTTCAGCCGGGTTCTCCCGACAGAAATCGACCTTTCCAGCGCCCAACTTCTGACCATGGACGCTTCCAAGACCGAAGACGACCTCAAAGTTGCGGTGTGCGACATGATGTCTCTCGACTCTCAGTTCCACGGCCTCGATGCCGCCAATACGGACGCTATTGCGAAGGCCATTGTTTCTAAAGCTCGGGGGTCGTTTGTTTGGGCGCAACTGGCAATACAATATATCGGACAGCACAAAACAGCAAGCGAAATGCTTTCTGCTGCTCGGAAAGCGCCCACATCAGTGGACGACCTGGTTGATAGCCACCTAGATTCTATAGACCTTGATCAACAGGAGGCTAGGCTTATCATTGCCTGGCTTG